AGTTCTATAAGACCTCATATTAAAATACTGTACATATCCTTGAATTCATAAATATCTAATAAATATATCCTATGTACCAAGGAAATTTAAAGAGATTTTAATGACAAAGTCTATTACACAACATGTATTTTGCACATAACAAAAGCACCAGAGAGATCTCTGCCTTTTTCATCCAAAGAACATTAACAAAATAGTGTATCTCAGAAAGAAGACGCCATGGCAGGACACCAATATATAGTATGATAAATGACTCAGGTTAGATTTGTTATTTTGTAACTTAACACTCTTGTAATAAGACGCCTATTTCTCCCGCTTCCCTCATTGTAACGTTACAAATCGAGGATTAAGGAATGATATCAAAATTGTGTTGAGATAATTCCCCTAAATATAATTTATGAATCAGAAACACTCACAAAGCTTTCAAAAACATATTGTATTACATCATTTTAAATCTTTCCTATAAATGATGAGTAATGGACATAGGCAATGACTTTTCTTAGCCGGTGATCTTGTCAACTCAATTTTTCATTTGCAAAACAATGATGGCATAGGATGGGTTGACAAAAAAGCAAACAATTATCCCAGTATGATAAAAATATAAGCCAGGGATGTATATAGCCAAGCAGTTGAACCTATTCCAGAATGCTTTGAAACATTTGAAACAGAATAATTAGATATATGTATCAGATTGCAAACTTGTCATATCAAGTACATAATATCTGACTTCACTAAAATAGATTTCATTTCACTTCTGACACTGTAACATGGAGAATCAAATCAACCCATGTTCCACCTACGGTAAGTAACATATGCTGTTGCAATTAGAAGAAATTATGAAAATGATTGTTTTTTACATAACATTTCTTTAAAAATCTAAAACTAAGTTTCTATTTTGTCATCCATCATATTTCTGCATAAGACTGACACTGACATATACAATTTTATTAATGACAAACAAGTATTACTAATTCACGTTTTCTACTTCTGAAAAACAGACATTTGATCATAAAACATGATACAAACTGGCATCACAAAAATAAAGAAGCTCATTAATTTCTTTCATTGCAAAGTCAAGCTAACGCTATGTTATGTACCTTAATTAAAACCAGGTTGTGTGTGACTTCCTAATCTAAGTGAAACTAAAAAGCCAATGAAAAATAAATTGCACTCTGATGGCAATCAAGAGGTTCGCACCAAACTGTGAAAGAGAAAAAGGTAACTTCAAGCTCGCAAAGATTATTTGTTTGCCGAGATAATATGTTAAAAATTCTTCAGTAATCAAAGACTCATTCACAAGGATCATAAATATTTCGAGCATTACAATCGATTTATCATCGTTCCATTGATGTACGATCATATAAAAAAAAGTAAAAGATAAAAACCAACCATAAAAGCTTGAACTTGATTGTGATTAGCGTCAATGATTCTACAAAATACAAACAAAAGTTTCCTAATGTGGTTTAAATTGACCATTAATTGGGTGAGGCAAAGTTGAAAGATTATTAATGTAACATTGGGGCAATTTCTCAAACATGGATGAAATAAATAGAGATGAAATATTTATCTACTGATTTCACCTATATTGATCTTATCTAAGAAATGATAATCAGAAATAGATTAGTACTTCATAGTATTTTAACATTGTAAACAAAACCAGAAACTTATTGTAAACTTTTTTATAGGAAGCGAATAGTCATACCAATGAAGTCTAAACAATTTTGATTTGAAAATTAAAAACATAATGGTCAATTCCAAAAATTGCTATAGAACAAAAATTGCCACTATGCCACTGTTGAAATAACTGGCTATAAATCTATGTGGTAACAATGAAAATCTAGTATGACAACATTATTATAACATGATATTGTATGCAATGATCAACTAAAATTTGAATATTTTAAAAAAGATGAGCCACTTTCAAAGTACAAATCCAGATTCTGTTATCAGCTTACTTATTATTTCTTTTACACCGAAAATCGTTATTAAATTTGAACATTTCGGCTGCTTTTATTTTGTAATTATAACATTTACGATGCTTTGATATGAAATGTATCTATAAACATGGGCGGTGACAGATTTATTAAAATTGCTTAGAGATTAAATGATGTTGCCCATAATACAATTACAGACTATTAAAATGCTGTTAATTACTTTGGCAATTATTTCGATTTCTACTGATTTGATGCAGTGATATTTGCAGTTACTCAATTTTATTTCAATACTGATTGGAGTATTTCTTTTTCCGAAGGTTTATTTGGTAATAATAACAATCAGATGCCAAACGCTCGCAATAAAAAAAAACTATCCTTTTAAATTTCAAATAATATATTTTAAAAATAAATATTTGACCTTATTGAAGTTACCAAAAATCAATTTCGAATGTATCCAATATTCATTTATTTTTGTGCATTTCAGATTGTAATGTATATTATAGTTGCAATAATTCAAAACATGAAACATTCAAATTTGAAAAGATTTTTGGCGAATTCAGAGTTTATCAATATGCTCAATATACAAAGTAAGATTTGAATGGCATTAAAATTTTATTACCAATACAATTATTTTAAAAGTGGATCTCACTCAATATAGTTACACAACAATCAACATAATCTAGTGTAACTCTACACAAAAAGGCCTTGAGGCAATACAGAGAGTTTTACGATGATTGTCATAAAATTACAAATTACATTTACCAGCGAAGCAGGAGGTAGTAGACTGCAAAATATTATATCATCTAATCATCTATGTGTGCCACAAAAAACTATCTGAAATCAGAGATGCCAAAAGTGATCGACCTGAGATTATTTTTTGGACATTTGAAGTGCAAATGACAACACACAGATTGAAAAAAACATAAATTTGACATGACCAAACTGCAGATATATTTCCATACAGGGTAAGCTGTATGTATATTTTATATGAACTAAAAGCCATTTATATTTTGTAGACCGAATCAGAATTCCCGACTTCTAAATGCTCAAACCTCTATCAATTTCCCTTCAGCTTACCATAAAACGTGAAAACCATCCTGAGCCTACATAAGTTCTGTTTATCTATTTCAAACAAGCATTTTACATGATGGATGTCTATCTGAATAAGACGTTTATAACTTAATACGTTGATATTCTAAAAATCAATTATTATATATTATCAATCAATAAGAATTATATATTATTACTATAGTCTATTAAACGAGATGGCACATAAGACTACTTTATAAGGAGATTTCTTAAAAAAATTGCCATTTATGAAATATAAAATGCTATTTTTAAAACCTAATTTAAATTTCGAAAAAAAAATATATAATTCTAGAAACCGTATCAATCAAATCAAAAAAATCCAATGCAGTCTTGAAGACAACAGATTATGCAGGTGCAATAAAATAATAAAATTTGTCATTCGCCAGTCAGACACCCCCACAAGAATGCACCACGATTAACTCATTGTGAATTGCTTGCATTACTTCCTGAAACCTTCGCAATTGAAACTATAATTTGCAGGTGGGCTTCCTTCCCTTATTCCATTGTATGCTAAAAGGTCGAAAGTCTGCCGAATCCCACATAAACCTCTAACACAATATTTATGTGGTAGCACAATCTCTAATGGCAACATTTTTAGACTAAGATGCAAACAACAATTCTGGTATAAATATATAACAGAATTTTCAAATCACCATCTTCGCCCCTCTGAAGCTGTTTGTGCGCCCCCTGCTCTTGGAGAGGGTTGTGAAAATTTCTTACAACTACATACTAAATTTAGTTTGATTTCCAGATATCTAAACTACCAATTGTTGAAATAACATTAATGTTTGTTTTTTATTCCCGGTTCAGCAATGTCAGCCATCATTAAATCTGAAGGTAACTAACTATATGATATAGTTATAAGTACTTTTCTTAACAGGGCCCTTTGAAACAAAAGATTTTCAGAATGCAGCCTTCGCAAAAAACGTTGACCACCTTCGAACTAATCTGACAGCGACAAAATAAAACCTCTACATATATATCCAACTCAATAAATATCTACAACCGTTTTAAATTATTCTATTCAAATTATATGTGGTGACGTTTCATAACAACCAGATAAAAGTAATTGATTTGAAATTACCGCTCAAACTAAGTGAAGCATGTCATGTAATTAGGGATTATTACCATTCGAATATGAGTTGAACTTGCGGAGCAAATACACAAAGACTATATTGAATCACAATGTAAGCAATCCAGCTGCAGCTTTTCGAAATAAGTTACAACCGGAAGAGCCATTAACTAATATAAGACCTCATAAAGGCCTGTCCTATCACAATTTCGAAATTTTGTTATGAAGTTTTTAATACATCTTAACCTGGTTTTCTTTATTTTAATCAGAGTATAATACTTCATTATAATACACCTTTATATTACCACCATTAATTGCACCAAGCACACCAAAGTACTTTTACCTAATTCAAACAGGGGACTTACTCATGAATACCCTTATAAAATGTTATATTTATATCTTTGGTGATAAATATACTTTTGCTGGAATAAAGATTTCACAATATTTATATATATTTTAATATTGCAAGCCTGTAGGTTACACAAATGAAAATTATATTATATCCTAATTCTTTTGTGTGGCCTAATGGAGACTAACAAACATGCTGTGATGCAATTGGCGAGAGTAAGTGATGTGTTATATATAACAGGGCCAGGGTGAATAAAAAAACAGAATTTATAAACTTCATAATTACTCCTATGAAAACGTGGAAATATATTTAACATTGGAGCACTTGAACTTCTGTTTGTGTATGATTGTAAAGTTACTAAAAGTTACAGCAATCTAGGATGACTGCAAAAAAGTTATATCTAAAATATGTTCCAAATGACCTGAGTTGTGTTTTATTAATAATGTCACCCTGTACTAAATGGTTGCTGATGAAAAAATGCAAGAAAATAAATAATAGAACAATTTAATTAATGGTTATTTATGTTCAATAAATTCATTTGCTTTATAAAATATTTCACCTTTTCGCTTTTTCCAAATGATTTCGATGAGAACAAATGTCTGGATCAACCATAAACTGATGACAACGAACTTGATTGTTTCTCTGTTAAAATAGAAATATGAAAAAATTGAAAATTACGTTCGTAAAAATAAGTGGCAAAACTTGAAGAGAGATATTAGAAGTATTAAACAATCTTCAAAGAAGCAATATGATGGTGACGTTTGAAATTCCTTATTATTTTTCCACGGAATTCACAAAAAAATGAAATCTGATTTCCGAGAAAGCAAAAATCGAGTTGTGTGTCACGTACGATAAAAAAAAAATAACAAAAATAAAAACGTCAAGTAAAAACCAGAATTCCAGAATTGAATCTTAATTACAGGGCAATTAAAATTAACGATACCACTTAAAACGTCCGTGACTGATTAAATTTTGAGAAGAGTGCTTAGTGCCATAAATGTTCATTAGCAAGAACATCATTACTGGTGCCAGGCAGACTATATACTTCAGTCAAAAACTTTTAAACAGATAAAATAATTAGTAGAAAAATTTTTGATATCATATTTTCATCTCTGACACAGGTCAATAGATAATTGGAAAATTTTCAATTTATCACAAATTGTAGAATATTCGGGTAGGACATGCGAAATTGCCTGCTTGTATAGAAACTTATTCGGAATAGCCCATTTGAAAATTTTAAAAAACTTTAAAATACCATACATTATTAAATGTTTTGAATTTAGTAACAATTTAGGGTTGGCTGTGAGACATTGCCTGACTGTATACAAACTTATTTACGGTAGGGTATTTATGAAAAAACTTTAATTAAAACATTATAATTTTCAAATGTTTTGAATTGATTTGCTACACTTATTTTTAATTTTTCCAATATTAACCAGTTTTAGGAACACCTAGGATAAATATACCAACCACTGAATACTCAAGCTTCTATTTAAACTCTATATTGAATAACATCCCTACTTCATGAGTGGCTCATGTTTGGTAAACAAACTTCTTCAGCGGTAATGTAAAACACATGGTATGAAGTTACTTAAGCAAGCACTTAAATCTCACTTGAGAAGCACTCACTGGTAATTAAGAAGTCTGAGAAGCAAATCTATCCTTGGAATAACCTTGCTATAATAGGTAAACATATATAACTTATTTACATTCCAAATAATCAAATAATTACACAAGGATTTAAAGGGAACAGATTTAAATGCCCCAAGCTGAAAGCGTGAGTATAAATAACTTCTAGATGTAGTGTCTTGAATATTAAAGAAGGGACATTCAGGCCACATTAAACATGGGTCAAAAACCAAAAAAGCAATTTTGTAGTGCAATATTAATAATAAAAATTAAAGATATGAATGTTTATGAAAGTGGAATTTAAAAGAGACAAACGAACCTCACTTATATACAGGTAACGAAAATTTTGAAACCTTATTTGATCCCAAAACAGAACAATTTAAACGACAATCAGGAAACATCAAAATTAAATCACTCTCACATGCAACTATATTTGAACATCCTGCACTAAGGATACATTGAACAAAAAACCACCCCCTTGAAGGCAATCATAACAACAATACAATGGTTGTCAAAATGTCCAATCACTAAACAAATTATACAAAAAACAGGGTGACCCAAACAAACAGAATCCAGAAACATATTCTAACAAGAACATAATTTTCATGAGAAGCGTTCTAGATTACTGAAACTTTATATTCATACACAAACATAAGTTCAAATGTTAGATTATTTTCTCCAATTTCAAAAGCATAATTAAGAAATTGATGGGTTATGTTTCTTGGGTCACCCTTTATAAAAACCTTTTAATACCACAAGTGAAATTTCAAATGAAATAAAAATGAAACAAGCTATAATAAATCTTACATGCAATGTTACGATACAGAAGAATCGGTTGTCTTCAGGACAAGCAGAAGAGTAACAGATATGGTGCCCATCATACACTGCGATAATATCTGCATCTGCGCTGTATAATTTCACAGACGTTTGCATAACCTGAAAAAGAGAACAAATGTTCAGTGAAGGAAACTATAAAAACCGCAATTTCCTTCCTAATATACAAAAAGGAAATTATTGTCAAAAACGTCTGGTATTCATTCCAAGGAATGTTTTCCCATCTGGAAATAATAACCGTCAAAAATTACATAATCCGACACATAATGAAGTTGGAATCATACCTTTAACAACACTCTTTGGTGAATATGTTGTTCTCTTCTAAGCTGTTGAACACAACTTTCAATGGCTGCTAGACTAGAGTTGGGTATATCTTCATGATGCAATATCATCATTTCCACAGTTCCAAGATACGCGACAATAGATTGTACAAAAACATTATTTGAAGAGTTGGCACTATAATTAGCTTGAAAATTAACATTTTCAATTGGCATCGATAAATTTCGTTTATGTGAAGGACGTGAATCTTTAAATTTGGCACGTTGCATTGAATTAGAATTAGAATGCAATTTAGCAATTGGCACATTAGACATGTTCATATTTGATTCTCTGTTTCTACTCGAGTGCTTTGATTTTGTCCTCGATCCGTGGCTCGATTTGCTTGAGGTAGATGAATCGACGTCATATGAATTAGCATCAATAGCAGATAACACACTTTGAAATAAAGCACCAGACTTTAATTCACTCAGCACCTGTTCAGTTCTATTAAAATCATAGTAAGAAAGTTCTGTTGATCTGGACTGACCAGAATGTGGAGGTTTGGCCATGATTCGCCTTTTGTTAATATGAGGTTCGGATGCAAATTGTGCTGCTGCAGCTCTCAAGTTTTCATCATCAGATGAAGACAAATCTGTAGATTTACTTTCTTGTATTTCGAGACTAAGAGCATCAGTTGACATTCCTGAAATAATAATTTTTTTGTAAGATATCTGGGAGTGCAAACATACAAATTTTAATATGCTTTCATTCAGTAAACTCAATAGTGATTTTTCATCCCCCAAATGTGGGATAATTACCGGTAATAGTATACAATACTCGAACACTGCAGATTCAAAAATGTTCCCACAAAATATATTGAGGAAGTAGGCCCTACTCTATTTTCTGATCTGTTTTATTTGATCAGATTACCACCCAATCTTATTCTAATCTTAACCTACCCTATGATAAACAGAACTAAAGAAACAGACAAGAAAACAACAGTATAGTAACTATATTTGAAATAGCGAATTGTTCAGCACAGACCAATATCTACAAAAAACAAAATTTAATATTATACCTATAAGTTTAACAACATGTTCATGACTGGCATCATATACATTGTGTCCATTAACAGCAACAATATAATCTCCCTTTCTGATTCCAACATCTTCTGCCGAACTTTCTTCTGCAATCCAACTTATACAACAGGGAGCCTAATGAAACAAAGGCATTTATCAATATGACGAGCATGTAACCATGTAACAAGAAGAAATGTCTTCCAAATAATGAAGGTATTTATATTACCACTGATATCAATACTATTAATAAAGTGATATTCTATAAGTGCATCAACTTGCACATACTCCTCTTTGTTGTAAGGATGCATTCTAGGAAATGATTTTCATTTTAAAATTCCAATTACATTTTATGCTTATCATTTATCAGTATCTTGTATGTAAAACATAAATAGTTTTGATATTTGAAATTGAAGGAGGTTGTGCATTCTTAGAAACTTATCATTACTGCATTATCATCACTGTATATTTTCTTCTTTAAATTTAAATTACACAAAATGATATTACATTCCGACATTCTTTGTGGTTTACGTGACCACAATGTAGATATGTATGTATGTATATTTGCCTCAAAAATGTAACAATATCTGAATAATAATTAGACAGTGTAACAGAGACGGGATACATATTCACAACCATACCGGCCTAAGACACGGATGTGCGGCATGCACCCCGAACTAGTATAACTGCGGTTTAAGACTGCTGTATTATAGCAATAAACAAATAACACTCTAGTACAATACACAAGACAAAGACAGAAAGAGGCACGGCACAGTGACAATGTGTACAATCGTCAGTTTATGGCATGTTCGTGTTCAAAGTACGGGTGTGAAATCATACAATTGTAATTTATATCTATATATTCAGATTCAGATCAGTGCATATTTAAGTTCCCAAGTCTGCAAGTTGTATTTCAATATTTCTGTATTTACCTGTCCAGACAGTGTAAATCCATATCCTCCTCTACCTCGAACTAGTCTGACGGTACGAAAGTTTGGCATCATGTCATGCACACTGCTTCAACTTGTGAAGCTGATCATTCAGTCCTTGGATGTTGGATTACGTGCTGACGTGTAGTGTTATCTTTTGCAGTTGTACATAAATTCATTAGTTCATTGCTTTGACCGTAAATATATACTACTACGCTTTGACCAGTTGACAATACTTGAGAAAACACAATTCTTGGTAGACCTACAAGTATTCAGACATTTAATAATCCAAAATACAGAAATATAAATATGCATTTAAATTACTCTAAATTACTGAAATTCCGTAATTATACCGGTATGACAACAACCACAGAAACCGTCCTAATATCTGCAACATCTATGTAGGCCTAGTTAGTTAAGCATAGCTGTCATTCTTATTATTACACAACAATTAGCAAAGTGGAGAAGTGCATAGTACAGTAGTACAGCAGTAGCCTGAAAGCTGTAACGCCAGAACGTCAAAATAGTCTACTCTTTTCCCTCTCACGACCCTCAAACCAATTTCATACTGTTAACGTACGGAAGTTCAGTGCCTACCGTATATTAGTGTGCCTAATCAGATCCCGATGTCAAAATAAACTAACTTCTGAACCTACTACAACAATCAGACAGTTTTCATACGCGGCGGTGCGGCGGTGTGGCTCAACGGGCTAAGCGGCTTAAGAATACGCTCGCCACCGCACCTCTAATTACTCTGTGTGGGTTCTCAGGTTCGAATCCCATGCAGGGATGGTTATGTGCGAGAGGATTGCTGGACTCCTCGCCGTCGTTGGGTGGTTCACGTAACCGCTGGTCGGTTACGGCTTCCTCCACCACCAAGTCCATGCTTCCGAAAACAAACAATACAGTAAAAACTAATCCCATACCCGACTTGGAATGGTAACCGGACGAGAGGCCGTGGTTCGCCATATGGATAAGCTGTCTTATCGGCTTTCCTCCCCCCCGGGATAAATATGTAAATCCTATCCTATCCTATACCTCGTCTGGACAAAAACTTGGCAACAATCAGAACTAATAACAAAAGTCATTCGTCGCAGTTTGAAAACATGCCTACGTCACTGGCGTTCAAATCAAATGATTCCAAGCTTGGGAAGGGAATGTTTCAGTCGCCAGAAATGGTTTTATTATTGCTGTAATCTCTTTTTTATGACCGTACGCCACAAAATCGAATAGTCGTGGACATATATAGTTTGTTATTCTTTTATTCAACAAAACAAAATCTCATCCGTATAGAAAATTAATGAACAATGTGGCAATAAGAATACATTATGAATATCTGTTCACATTCTGACAATTGTATTATCATGCTTTCTTATTACACGTGTATGACTTTTGTTTTCTGCCTGAGCAATGATATATCCTGATGAGGGTTGTCAAGGCGCGGCGGTTGGCTCAACGGGCTAAGCGTTAGGAATACGCTCGCCACCGCACCCCCAATTACTCTGCGTGGGTTCGCAGGTTCGAATCCCATGCACGGATGGTTATGTGCGAGAGAATTGCTGGACTCCTCGCCGTCGTTGGGTGGTTCACGTAACCGCTGGTCGGTTACGGCTTCCTCCACCACCAAGTCCATGCTTCCGGAAACAAACAATATAACTAATCCCATACCCGACTTGGAATGGTAACCGGACGAGAGGCCGTGGTTCGCCATATGGATAAGCCGTTTTATCGGCTTTCCTCTCCCCCGGGATAAATATGTAAATCTTATTCTTATTATAGATACCGATTATTGTAACTTGGCAAGCAGTCGAACTATATGGACCTTTCCCCGACCTTTGACCCCTGAAAAATTCTTATACTTCACCATTGCAAAATTTTCGAGGCTATTTTAATAGTGCTTTTGCGAGTTGGCGCCTGTAAAATGGGGTATGTGTTTCAAACCATCATTACGATTCATCGCATACAACAATCTGTTTTTTAAAAGTACCGGTAAAGAATTTTAGCCTAATCTATCACAGCTATTTCTACACTAATTTTTGGACACGTAGTGGACATAACGATCGTTTCAATATTATGTTGGTCTTGTTGTTGTTGTTGTTCTTTGACAATTTTTGGACATCTAGTGGAAAATCTAAAAAACCGCTTTTCTTTTTCATTACTGGACCGATTGCTTCGAAATTTTTACTGGTTAAAGATGAAATTTTTTTTCAGAAAGCTATTACTCTTATTTATTTCAAATATTTCTGTGCGAAGAAAAGCGTGAGAAAAGCGTCTGAGCGGATGCGAAAAGAAATCATTGTTACGTCACTTTTTGCATCTTGCTGATTGGCCAAGTCACGAAGTAAACAAGGAAGTCGATGCTCGGGGAAAGGTTTATTGGGTTCTCTCCTTTAAATTTTTAATTTTGTGTTGGTGATTTTAATTTGATGTGGTTTTCTACCTCTTATTGTAAGCATGCACTTCATGTTTATGTAAGCTATTGTTGTGGAGATTACTTGTTGACCAAAGTGTAGATAGTGTGATATGATCAAAGTTGAGGGATTTTATTCTTCCGTTTTTGTTCTCAAAGAATCCTATGAAAAAACATCCTCAATTCCTTTATTCTTGCACACACCCTTTATAACCAATAAATTACAATAGTACGTCACCAATAATATATATACAATCAGACGTTGAAAATATATGCACCACAGATGAAAAATACATGTTTCACTGATTATTTATAAATAATATATAGGATCAGTTAGCCAGTTATTTGTTTCAGGTGCAGGACTTGATGGTAGAGGAAGTCGTAACCGACCAGCGCCGTGAACCAATCTACGGCGAGGAAGAGTCCAGCAATACTCTCGCGCATATTAATCTCTACGGGATGCGCGCCTGCGAACCCGCGCAGGGTAATCAGAGGTGCGTCGGCGAGTTAGCACGATGCGCCACACCGCCGGGCCGAATATCCGAGCTCCAATAGCTCAAATTCGAGTGGGTGCAATTATGTTACGCTGGTTCTGCGCTTATACTAAACATTCGACTATATAGTATATATATATGACTTTGTCGCGGTTATTTTTTGTGTTTCATTCACATTTTTGGAATATAAGCGCCTACCCATTTCAGTAAACAAAAAACATCATCTAATTCGAGAAGTGTGACAAAATGGATGTTTTCCAAAGACTCGATTTCCTTGTTTATTTCCGTAGCAATGGCCAATCAGCAATAAGTCAATAATGTCGTAACAATTGGAATTTATGCGGGCGCTCAGACAGATATTCAAGCATCGTTGTAAAGTTGTAAACATTGCCTCGTACTCGTTGTTTTGTGTGTTATTTGCCAGTTTTCAGTTGTGTTTTCGGAAAGAAGTTGTAAATTAAATAAGTTAATTGTCATTATGCTCTTCGGGGAGCTTTAGTTTAGTTGCAATAATCAAAAATTGGCCCTGCAAATACTGCGATAGAGTTGGCTAAAAATTGGCTGTCTGTACCTGCAAGTGGCACGCGGTTAAACACTTTTAATAAAAATAATGATTTTGAACATGTACACCAGTTTATAAGCGAGCGCCAACTCTCAAAAATACTCTCAAAATATGAATACAAAATGTTGCCATAGTAAGGTATAGGTAGAATTTTTCGGAGGTCAAGGTGGACAAATCCAATGTCATACCTGTTATGGTCATGTATTTCTACTTTTTAATGAACATTTTAGCTAAAGTGGGAGTACTAGGAATATTTTTTTGAAATAACTTTGAATAACAACGTAGAATTGCAAAATCTTGAATGATCATCCAAGCCACAGACGTAAATTTGAGCTACTCCACCATATCTGCATTGTTTTTGTCAGTAATCATTTTTAGAGAAATCATCTGTATGTTATATTCTTCCACATTCAAGAGCATAAAAGATCAAAAGTGAAATTTGATAATATTGAAATGTGACTACTGTGATTAGGACTAAAATTAGAAGATGCAACAAGTGAGTGAAAGATAGAGAAATATTAATAAGCAAAAAAATCCCTTTTCATGTCATTTTACATTTTTTCGTCACTAAGACTGAAGTCATTATCCGTTCCGTATCTGGTATCCCAACCCTCGTTTTCATATGCTGGCAGATTTTTTTCAGATGATCCAACACTAGTTGACCGGCATTGACGTTTCATTGACAGTAGATCAACGGCCCTGAGAGGCCTTGCTCTGCAATTGGAAATAGAGATGTGGCATTTGGTTATTACTTATCGATCTTGATTGGTAAGTATGTTGTTAGGTTTTTGTCTGTTTGTTTGTTTGTCTGTTAGATACCGACGATATCTCACGAAAGCGAGGTTAAATCTGCACCAAATATTTCATGTGCATTCATCATATCTCGGAACAGAAGCCTATTGATTTTGGATGAATTATGTTGTATAATTAGCGAGTTATTAATTAATTAGTGATGGGACACACGGTGTCGCTATGGAGTAATAACTTTCGATCGATAAGTCTTCGGTCTCTGACCGATATTCTCGATATTATATTGTATCTTAGTTCTTGTCATGAAATGAATAACTTTCGAAGTTTCGACCAGCAATGCGATGTCGTTTCAATGGCCTATTGCCCTATTCAATTCGAGGAGGTAGACGTCGGTATGTGGCATCCGTTCGCAATAAATATATTTCGAGATAAAAATATTTGTTTTTGTATTAATGACCAGAATTATGCTATTCAAGTAAAAGTTGATCACTAACAATTCAAGGGCGCTATTTGTAACTTCGGGCAAAGAAGTCAAGGGTGTCAGTTAACTTTAGACCAGAATATGTGATATGTCAAATTCTTGAGAACCTGTCATACCGTTGTAGATAAATAATATAAAAGATTTTATACCATCTTCAATGATATTGGGCACTATTAGTTAATAACTCGAGCATTTTTTCTCCAAGTAATCCATCTTTTTATTTTGTGATTAAATTTTACTGATTGGAAATGGTAAACTTGACTTTGAATATGTTTTGTACTTGCTACAACTTACCGCATTTTTATCAGATCTCCGGGATTGTTCATGTTTTCGTAACCATCTTTTCCTCTTGCGTGAGATATCGACCTCACAAGGGTACTGAATATAAGCAACAATATCGGTTTAAAGTTCATACTATTATGACATTTTAATACCGAATTTATTCGTTTATAATATACTTACATTCCCCTATCCTTTCGCGCTAAGGCTGTCAAGCAGTACGTCAACATAAAGAACAACACTCCAAAAAATTCCACAAATGTTACGACAGACATTCCGACATATAAACCCATGGAACCTCCCAAACTACTCAGAAGATCCCAAATCTAAAATCGGAAATAAAATACTAAAACAAATTTGCAGACTGTTTGTACGATTTAAAATTACTTAATTATTCTGAAATCAGTTCAAATGCTAATATCACAATGGCCATATTAGTATCAGAGGACGACTATTTAAACTCAGATTGACATATAAAAGAAGAATTCTTGTGTTTACTAAATTATCAATTAGTCAATTAAATGTATAGAACTTCATATAAAAACTGGACTTTACTCGATGACATAACCTAAATAAAAAAACGGGTTGATTTGAAAAAGCCGATGAAGAATTATTTGTTGATAATTTTGATATCTTTAAATATAAAATCCGTTATGAAATTTCATGAATATTGCACTTATCCCTTGTCACTGCATTGAGCACAAGCCATTGTAAAACGTGTTTGCGATGAATACTTACTCCATATTTCTCCACTTCGGTAAATATTTCTTTGTTCAATTCCATGTAATTGATGTTCACCCGAACAACATTTTTCCTAATCAAACAATACAAAAATAAACAATATTTAATTGACAACCGTTCAAACACAATTTTTATAACTCAAAAAAGAAATTCATGATAAAAATTAGAAATTGAGTACTGGTTTCATTGCGCCACCGTCTGGTTCAATATTCTGCCATAATCAAGCCTACTTTTTAATGGAATTTGTTTGAAGAAATCTCACTTCATATAGATTTATAGTTGTGCATTACCCACCAGCAAAAGCCGACTGACGCGAGACTTCAAGCAATAATACTCACGGAGTCTTATGGGCTTCTTTCAATACGGAAGCTACTTTAGAGCTTTTTGTTGCTATGTCGGCAAAGAGGTAACCTTCATGTTGATCGGACGGCCACAAAGTTGCACTGTATTGACTGGAGTAGTATGTTTCGCTAAATCAATAAAACAATAGTGGAGTATAAAGACAAGGAAGTAGGTAAAACGCCTGTTACGTGATTGCTTTCTTACTTGCACAGTTGATTACAGATACATTTCAAGTCATCATTTTCGAATCTTTTATACACCGAATTGACGCAGTTAGCTGAAATTAAAATGAAAGCATAGGGTTCATTGGTTGTATACAACAAGATACAACTCTTTACATCAGATTTATGAGATTGAATCTCAAACCTAACGTCCCGCAATGAAAGCAAACATAACCCAGTATTCGGTGAGTAATTCAGACTCTTCTAGCTCCATTTACATGCAGGATAGTTGTAACTCATTTTGATGGCAGTAATGGCGTTATTTAGCATTCATAGTTATGTAAAATATATATGCTTTATTTGAAGTTACTGTCTTGAATAGTATAAAAAAGCGAAAATCAAGTTCTATACTTCTATGAATCTGACATACATTCGCTTTCAATCATAATGTCGCAAATTTTAACATCCGTCAGAATAGTGTTGATGTCATCAACACATCCACAATTTCTCAAGAGTTCACGTTGGATGCAGGATTTAGTACATGCCTATAAAATACAAGAACAATGAGATAACGAAATAAAGAAACGTGTCACGGCAAGGTAGTGTGCGTACCAAAAAAGAATAAGCTCCATCGTAGACTGGACGATCTTCATAAATGCCGTCGGTACAATCTTCTCCTCCGTAAGGTAGTTTAGTGCGATGAATTTCATGCTGTAGATTAGTTTTAAATATTTAGATATTCTCAGTATATCACCGTACAGTGGATTATTTCGTAGGCTGTGTACAAGTATAAATGTGGAATATATATATATATGCTGTTTTTCAGTGTTGTATACATGATTTATAGAGAATGTGAATATACAGTCTTCATTCATTTGAAGGGATCAAAACAGAATATGATTGATGCCAATAACACATCTAAAGTTAAAGCTTTGATAAGTTATGCCGACATTGGAATCGAAAAATAAAATGCACCCGATTGAGTGCATCGCAGGTGCTAGTAAGAAACAGCAGTTTGTGTGGCATTACATATAACTTCAAGATTTTTGAAAACATATTCCAATTTAAGTATAGGTTATCCTAGACTCTAGAGACCTAGACGCTACCTTTTAAAAAATAAATAACAGACAAGAGTTACAGACTTGAAAGTTGTTACTTCAATATGCCTTGCAAAATATCAAAATGTGCAATAGGTATGCATATTCAGGCCAAAAATACAAAATTGTAATCGTCTGGCAAATAAAAGCAACGTAGGGCGCTCAAATTTTCTGAAATAAAAAATAGAGAAATACTACCTGTCTTATGCCAAATGTAGTCGATGTTCCAGGTCTACAATCGAATCCATCATCTTCCGGAAAAGGTACAGTGAACGGACGATGAACTATAGTACGTACGCCTGCCTCCTGCAAGAAATATACTTATGTTTAGAACGGCGAACAGGAAACGCATTTCATCTATGGTTTGTATATCGTCACGCTAATAACCGAATTGCGTAAGTCATTTTTGGCGATTTTGAGTTTTTTATAAAATAGGTATTTATGTGATGCTGCGCACCTGTCTGTTAACTCAGATTTTATTTCAAGAATTCCGAAACCCATAAAAATGAAGATTTAGTATGACATGCACATTTATTTATGTGATGCTGCGCACCTGTCTGTTAACTCAGATTTTATTTCAAGAATTCCGAAACCCATAAAAATGAAGATTTAGTATGACATGCACATTTGTGCAATTGTTTCGTCATAATGAATTATCATTGGTCCCTCAGGACTATTGTGACGTCACAAAGGTAAAATAACCTCGGCGAAGTATTTTCGAGTTTTTGCATCTCGGATTCTAGCTTATTAATTTGAATTTATACCACAGTATAAGGAGGCGTGCACTTGTGATATTCACTGTCCGAGTCCAATACACCTTGGTTGGCTTTTATATTGGGTGCATTGCTGTTTTATTGGACACGTAGTGGACATAACGATCGTTTCAATATTATGTTGTTGTTGTTCTTGTTCTTGTTGTCCTTGTTGTTGTTCTTGTTCTTTGACACGTTTTTAAAAAGTCGCTTTTCTCTTCGAATACTGGACCAATTGCTTTGAAATTTTCAGTGGTTGAAGATAAAATTTTTCTCCAGAAGGCTATTACTTTTTTTTCTCGCTATGACGTCATCAAAATTATTGCCATTGGGTGGCGCTACGTGTCCATATATTTGAGCATAGCTCTCTTGTTCTTTATATTTAATCTTAGTCTTATTTCGGTGGGTGTACAGAATGTGTTATATTAATAAAATATATATTTTTAAACATAAAAATAATGTAATTGAAACTGATTAGCTAATTTGGGGATTAGACATTGTAGATACCAGATATTACATTCGTTTTTGGAATGTTTAGTTTTCAGGACTGGTGCATATAGTAAAGTTGCAAAATTGCGTATGTCCCCAAGTCATAGACACATTTCTGCCTAAGTCACAGTGCACCATTATGACGTCACTTAACTGCGTCATACAAATTAACTTAAATCCGGCTACGATCAAAAAATTGAACCATGGCAAATTATTGACTCTCAATGGCATAACAATATCATTAGGAAGTTTTTTACGTTTTTCTCAAAACTGCTAAAAATGACTTACGCAATTTGGTTATTAGCGTGACGATATGAGACTTGGTTAGGGTTACCATATTTTTGTGACTTCAAAGCGGGACGCCTCCAAAGACAACGATCCCTTAGCAGTGATTTTGTGAGTTTACATTTTTGGATTTTACTACATAGGCCTACATTTAAAGCCATCCCGACTGTCTTCATTGACCATATTGCTATCGAGAGTTCTTGCGCATATTCTCTGTCCAAATATCGGGTTCAGTTCGAAAAATAGAGAGGAATTGATGTTAATGATACAAATAATTCGAATTTAGATTATTTTGTCTTGTCCCTGACTTGTCGGGACGGCGGGACAACACGCTAAAAAGCGGGACTGTCCCGCCTAAAGCGGGACGTATGGTAAGCCTAGACTTGGTATATCACGTAGCCGTGGCGTATTCGCGTTTCAGCAATATTCTGTTGATTTGTCCAATAAAAAAGTCATAAATGTAGGCTTACCATACGTCCCGCTTTAGGCGGGACAGTCCCGCTTTTGAGCGTTTTGTCCCGCCGTCCCGAAAAGTCAGCCAAAAGTCCCGCTTTTTAGCGTTTTGTCCCGACAAGTCGGCCAAAAGTCCCGCTTTGGCGTTCAGTCATCCAGCATGCTGATCCATCCATGCTGCTGTGTAGCGCAACGCTAGCCTACTTACTGAAGGTGAATGCGTTATTTTGTTTGTTTCGTTGTTTCCGTATCACATGTAAAATCAATTCTAGTTGGTCCTGTTCGGACGTTCACGCGAATGCAACATTGAACAACGTCTTTTTGAAGGTGTTATTTACAGAAAAGCATGCTTGGGCGAATGCTTGAAAAACAGCAGACTAATTCATTATTGTTTATTCCTTTTGCTGTACATAAAAAAAATCTAAATCAATGTTCTATGAAGTAAAATTGAAAACTGTAAAGTTACAGGATCACAGTTAAGGGGTCGTGTCTTTGGAGGCGTCCCGCTTTGAAGTCAAAAAAATACGGTGACCCTACCTCAGGGGTTCTCAAACTTTTGGTGTTGCGGAGCCCTTGAAAAGTTGAATATTATTCGCGGAGCCCCAAAATAAATGTTAAAATTGTTACTTTCAGATTAATATTCCTGGGCAAGTTAAAAGTACTTTACTTATTTAAAATGCTGAACCTTTTTTAATAGGATTAACACAAGCCATAAATGAATCTGAATTTCATACTAAAGCTGTAAATTTGACACTTGACGAACATATTAATAAATTAGGGGTCGAAACTTTTCTCTTTTGACATTTTTGGAAGACTTAACAGGCCGCTAATAACGTGCGCGATTTTATTTTGTTACAATCGCCGATTTTTTTCGTTTCGTCAGCATTGCGTGTTTTAAACATCTTTACGCCGGTGTTTATTCACCCTAAATCAAAAATTTCCCTCGGCATATACATGTATTGTTACACAATGACGACGTTAATTCCTTTTTTGTTCTCGTGGGAAATTATGAGTTCAATGTGAAAAACATGTTACCATATTATAGTCATCGCCGACGAAATGCTACATAAAGAGATAAATCCGCAACTCAAATTTCTTGATTGAAAAACGGCATTCTAAAATATTAAAACTGAATCTTAAAATGGAAGATCACACGTTTGGCTTCAGCAGACTCACCTCAGATTGAAAACGCTTTTATAGACATTGTAAATCACAAAATTTGGTTTTATGTTAGGTTTTCGTCGTAGTAACTGCGAAATCGAAACACAGTCAATTGTGCGCGCGATGTACCTTTTTTCCCATCCTGAAACTACCGACGGAGCCGCACGCAATCAATTGTGGGCGCGATCCACAATGTACCTTTTTTTCATTCTGAAACTACCGACGGAGCCGAATGCAATAAAATAAATTCTAATTGTTCGTATTTTGCCCAGACATTGTGATTTTTTAAACGGCGATATCCTGCTTAAAAATAATCTCAGGTGCGAAAGAACAAATCAAGTTTGACAAATCCCAAGATCGCGAAAATACGACTCCACTTTATTTATTGTTGGCAGTTTATCACATATTTTATGTTATTTTAGAATAGTATTCTTTCATTTTAGATTTTAGTAATCCTAATACCAATCTCGCATCAAACTTGAGTAACGATGATCACAATTACATTATAACGAAGAGACACGTTGAATGCTCGCATCGGTCATGGATTGAATATTTTACGCAACAGAAATCTCGTTATCCGTTTTTTTAATGGCGAAGAATGTTGCGCGGAAATTTCCGATTCCAATTTTGAACCACCTCCCTCTTAAGAATCCTGGCTGCGCTCCTGCTTATAAATAATGTCATTTTTAATTCCGCCTCTTTACCATATTTCGAGGCTGTATTGTTGTCAGATTTTATCAACGTTGTTATTGCTTGTTTCAAAAGTTACAAAATTTTGAGTCAGTATTTCGAAGAGTAATCGAATAGCTCGCGGAGCCCCTGGGTTTCTCTCGCGGAGCCCTGGGGCTCCGTACGGAGCACTTTGAGAACCTATGCCCTACCTAAATGAGTTCAAACATATTAGTATGAATGAAACGGTTGTATACTAACTGGTGTTAGGAGGCCAATGTACTCTTCTTGGTCAATAAAAAGGGTCATCTTCAATCCATATGAAGTTCCTGAACGACTTGTAAATCTCAATTGATCACCCAATGTACCATGATTGAATGTAAAGCAATTCCCATATCTCTTATGCTGGAACATTCGAAAATCCCTGTAAAGTAAACGAACAACTCAAATACAGAATGTATATAGTATGAACCTGTTTCATTCACTTCGGAATAAAGTGGTCAAAAAAGGCAGTTGCTTACATAACCGAAAATATAGGCTACAGACGTGTACACAAAAATATATGGAACGATTACGGAAGTGTTTTTACCATAACCCACAGAATCGAATGGGTTAATCAACTTTGGCAGTGTGCGATCGGCAAAATTATTGACTATTAAATAACTAATTAACTAGTTGGTTATTTAGCAAATTAGTGCTATTAATAAGCCATTCAAGGAGCTCAATTCGGTAGAGTTCGTTTGATACCTGTAAGAGCATGGACTATTATCAAAACTACATTGGACAATAAAATCTTCAGGTTGATGTCCAAGATGTTTAGTTTCATTTGCTGTTGCCCGAACTAAACTTCCTATCAAAGCCAAGTTATCGGCCGATGTTGAGTTCAGTAATCCCCACCAGTCGTTTACTCCTTTGACCTGTACCATAAATGAAAAAATTGTAAAAATTGAAGTATTGCAAAAACATATAATGAACCACACCACAGCTATATAGCGTATTCATTGCCTCAGGTCCATTAGTTTAATTTATAAAGCCCATAATATATAATGAGAAGCAAGGTCAATAGTTTGAAACGTTTAAAAAAAGACAATCGTATTCCTAGCTATACCAGCCGTAAATTTGCGAGGATGATGATATTTCTGCAAAGATAAACAAAAAAATATTTCCAACGAAGTCGATTTTTCATTTCACTGGAATTTACCTCCCTAAAGTCGCGACATGTTTCTGCTATAATCCCATATATATATGATTGTGCACTCGAAAAACATATATATATATGTATGAAAATATGTCGAAGTACTGATATTCAATAACCTATAAATATTTTATATTTCTACATTCTCACGCTAAAACAGATAAAAACCCTAAATACTGATAGCGATAAATCTAATCAGGACTTTTAAAAGTTCTAATAATCCAATATATAAACACCTTGCTGTAATCAATCCATCCAGAATTTGGAGGTGTTGTGTCCATAACGTGACTTCTTTTCACTCTTTTTTTCATTGGTTCTAAAAGACTACAAAGATACAATAACTTTAAAAATGTGAACAAACGCGTTGTAAAACTTGTATTAGTAATCTGTTTTAATTTCGAATCTCAATTTCAGATTTCAAAATGAGCAGACGATTGGCAGATACAATAGTGATATGTCAAAGGTTAAGATCCTCAAGATATCTTGGAGGTCAAGAGTTCGATAAGGCAGATTTATTATAAAAAAGAATTAGGACCTCTTCTCTCGCGGTTAGCAGTCCAAGCCGGTTAAGAGAATTCTGGTATGGTCACCAATATTCTGGTGAATCATTCTGCAACTGTAAGGTATTCCGACAATCATATCGCAGGCCAGTAAAAACTAATAAAATTTAACGCAAGGCGCAATAATAAGCAACACCGTTGCGAGCGTTTCCAAGGGCTAAGGACGATATGCCAAATGTCGATTTTGGCTATATATCAGGGGTGGGCACACCGCGGCTCGCGAGCCGCATGCGACTCTCCAGACTTTTTGTGCGGCTCTTCTCGCTAACATAAATATTATTATCCAAATTTTAACTAAGAGAAAAACTTTAATGTAAACTCTTTTAATTTATTAAAAGTCGTAGAGCAGTTTTTGTCAATGATTAGGACAAATTATGTTTTAGTATGAAAATCGCTGTAGCGTTGAATTTTGAATTTAAGTCAGTCAAGTCATCAAATCTTCAGTCACAATGGTCAATGTCTATTGTTGCGTCGGCGGTATTGCAGCTTGATTACGGTTAGTTAGTCTAAGTCAGTGTTCTCCAACCTTTTTTTATCGAAGTATACCTTACAGTGGGATTTGGGATGGGTACAGTTTTTCAAGAACTTTGTATATCTTACAAATACCAATGTTTATTTAAGGCTCAAATAAACAATAAATTTTAAGCACATATTGTACTGCAATATCATCATGCAATCTAATAGGCTAGTGACCGCAAGTTATAAATTTGACTGACTGCCTTAGCGTCGACGGGAATAATGTTCGACGTAAATCAAACAAAGTGCACGGCAGCCGAAATCACCAACCCAGACACATGACCGTTAGACCGTATTATCTGTATAATTTGTGATGTAACAACGTGCTCTTAGCGTTAATAACATTTTATATTTCATGTGCGCCGCGTTTCATTGTTGTCTCCAATTGAATATTTTATAATTTATTATATATATATATTTATTAGAGTCTAGATTTCCTGATTTAGGCTGTACACCTTTCGTATACCCATTATCAGTTGCATACCCAACTTATGGTCTGGTATACACAAGTGTATACCGTTTACCCGGTTGAAGAGCACCGGTCTAAGTTACTGTGCGATATGTCCTCAATTGAAAAACGAAAGTACGGAGATGGAAACAGAGTTGTCAAGTCAGAATGGGAAGAAGAACACGCATTTACCAGTCAGGAGAATAAACCTTTGTGCTTGATCTGTCATAAGCTACTAAGTCAGAATAAAGTCAGCAATGTTAAACGGCACCATGAAACGAATCATGAAAACATCTTACGAGACTACCCTAGTAAATCAGCTATAAGAAAACACAAATTAAATGAGCTCAAATTGTGCATATGTTTGAGTATAGCTGCATTGTTTATCTATTTATTGTTATTAGACTCTTGTGTGAATTTCTTTTCTGTTCATGGTATTTCGATAATATTAATAAATTCACAAATTCTGCGGCTCTTTTAAAGTTCTGACTTATACTAAAAAATTGTGCCCACCCTGCTATATATATATTATATCAGCTATTGGACGCGTAATAATCTCAACAAAAATTGTTATTTATTAGGCCTATATTTATGCCAATGGTTCCCAGTCTTTTTAGTTAAATTCCTCTTTTCGCCTACTTCGGATCTTCTTATTTCTCCCTCACTGTACATAAACTCTACTTTATTTATTCAATCTTCAATGAATCTTTAGCTAGTGTTATGCACAAGTCGCATTCGCGCTTTTGTACAGTTTGAGTAGTTTATGACGAGTGCATATATAAGTATTATAAAGTAAAAAGTAATAATAAAGAAGTAAAGAATATTGGTTATACCACAGCCAATTACTCTCCAAGAACGACTAAATTTCTGCCCGATTGGGAAACGTTGGCTTATGCCATAAGAAGTGCCGTTAGCATAGTTGGTCGGTATTTCATGCTTCTTCTGATAAAATATGAATTAAATCTACCGTGCATGGAGCTTATCCAATACTTCATGTTCACTGTGATCAGGCATTTCTTGTCGCATATCGTCATACTCCTTTTGGAATCTTTCGATGTATGTTTTCTTATTCAGGTGGTGAATTCGTGTCCAGCTGTGAATATATATATATATATAGTTTTTAATTATTTTCAAATTATTATAGTGAAAAAGAACAGACGAGTATCGAAATAAGGTGGTACGCGAACAGTGAATAATTGTTAAATTATGGCTGAATTCAATCTAAATACTATCGAATATTAAAGTAAATTGCATGAACGTATTTTTAATTTTATTACCTTTTTACGGCAACTGCTGTACGTCAAGGATGTTTCCACGACCCTTGACCCCAGGAAAATTTCCCCTATACATTACTTTTGCAAACATTTTGATACTTATTTTTGGAGTCAATTTTTACCTAGTCTATCGCATCTTCTTAGGGACTAATTTTTGATCATAATCACAATTAAAATAGTTCATTTTGCAACGGTTTAATATCTGTCGGAGCGTTAGAAGCGTCCAAGACAAGTGTCTGAGCGACTTCACCAACTGCAATTGTCAAGTCACCGTGGGCCACTTGGCTGATAGGTCATCGTTAGGGAAAAAACAAGGAAATCGATGGTCGGAGAAACATCCATTGTTTTGAAACATTAAAAAATTCAATAAACTAATGATCGTGGGTTACCATGACAATGCTTAGTATAAAACCTATTTAAAATTATTTTAGGTACAAGTGTTAAATATAGTTTTTCGTACTCGATTCCCGATTCCTGGACATCAACGCATGATTCAGCAGTGCTTCTTTTTCTTCTGCTTTTTCCATCGGACTGAGCGGACAAACCACCCACGTATCTACACGCACAGAAAGCCTGCCAAGTATTATATTGGTGTATGTGATTTATGTTAGTATATATATTAGTAGTATGTAGTCCTACATTAACATTGATCACTAAGAGTAAAGTAGGGTAGTGAGTAATATAATATACTTGTATTAAGCAAAGCTTCAACGTCTTTCAGCGTTCTATTAAAAATATTGCCCAAATTATACAAACATATACTGCACTTTAGGTCATTCCCAGGTTCGATTTTTGGCCCAGTATTTTCGAAATTAGTTTGACACAGGGACATCAAACTAACGAAATACCAAAAATACAGTGGCAATCAAATTTGCTATGAAATCCCAGATTACCAAGTTTGATATATATATATGATTTTCGATATGAACATTCAAGTATAATTTACGTCGATTGCTCTATCTTAGCCATTCCACTTTATATTCAATATCGTGTGACCAAATAATCTCAAAAAGAATTGAATTAGCAAGGCATTGAAGCCCAGAAAATATATAAATATATATATATTTACTTTTATTGTGCATAATCATACACCCATTGTAAGAACTGACAAATTGTTAACCGCATTTCAAACTCAGCCTTACTTTGTCTATGTCAGGGATGTCTTGAAATCTTGTGTTTTTAACTTTCGATGACATAAGACGATTCTGGTTGCATACGGTGACAGATGGAAATACCAAATTAGGTTCATTCACAACCCTAAATGCAATGCAAAAACAGGCATATATATATATGTCGCTCATCTAAACGTTAAACTAAGATTTTTTAAATCTATATCTGATAGAATACAACAGAATGTTACAGAATATAAAGTACGGATATATATATATAAATATTGTATACCTGATATTCATAAGTACTGGATAGTCCAGGTAATCCGAAACCAGGAGAGATATCTGATAGCAAGCGACAGCCAACACTCCAAGAAAGAGTACGTACCAGTACATGCGGCCTCCGAATCCCGCTGCTATTGGTACGTGGCTCAAACTGTGAGCTGAGAAATGAGTGAATACAATTAGATACTGTCTAATCAGGCTGATTAGCATGGTGATAATACATGCCGATGACATACTGAGAGAAACAGTGGAAACACAAACAGTAGAGTGATAAATGCGAACACATTATTTTAACAAACCTGAAGTTGTGGACAGAAAAGTATCCCATATTTTAGCTACTCCATCTTTCTTGTCAGCTTTATCCTCCATGTCCCTAAGTTAAATGGTACAGCGAAATAAAACTCAGAACTACTGGAAAATATGCAAGTATGTTAAGGTGTAACCGACGTTGGGATCTCAAAACTCGTTATTGAATTCCTTAGAAAAGTATTACAAAAAAGTTGAAATTTAAACGCGTTCATCAAATATTCATAAAAATAATCCTTCCTTTCATCGTATCTTGACAACGATGATTGTATATCAGCAGGGTCGCCTCCTTTATAGCATTAATATTTTACCATTGACACGATTTTTTTATTATTCTCATTTAAAAAGTAACAACAAAAATAGGCCAAGTAGTTGATGAGAAAAGCGATTTCGATTTCGCAAGGATGAGACACATTCGCAATTAAGATGGTTAAGCCATCGTCCACTTACGCCATTAAAAAGTAGTATATATGACATACTATATTTTGCATTGTGACGAGGATTTTTGTATAATGACATGTCCATTTTAATAAATGTTTACCTCATCGACCCCTCTACTAAGGTCTTGCTAGCGACAGTACAAGTATCGCTTGGAACAACAAGAGAGCTACGCCCAAATATATGGACACGTCTGTTCGCAGTACAGTACGGTTTACCGTACCGTCAGATCACAGTCTACAAATAAATTCACAATAAGCGAAGCAGTACAGTAGGACACAAAATGGCGTCCGATGTCCACAGAACATTTAATGACGTCATAGCAAACAAAAACAAATCTCACAGAGCTACCAGAAATATTTAAAATGAATAAAAGTAATAGCCTCCTGGGGAAAAATTTCATTTTAAACCACTAAAAATTTCAATGCAATTGGTCCAGTGATTAAAGAGAAAGGCGGTTTTTTAATATTTCCACTAGGTGTCCAAAAAGTGTCAAAGAACAACAAGTACAACATAACAACAAGACGATCGTTATGTCCACTAAACGTGTCCAATAACCTTTTCGCAATTTTCGGATAATCATTCATTTCATCATATCAGTGGTTCCCAACCATTTTCTTGTCGCGTACCACTTATTCTGTTGGTATGTAGCCTACTGCATAATTTTGAGACAAAAAGTTTTGGACTGCGGTTGGCGTGACGAAATGTTTTCCAAATATATATTCCACAATAAGATTACTGTATTTGATTGCAGATTACTGAAAGTTAGGCCTTATATGTTTTTCCCATTGCACTATTTCTTTACTGATATTCGATAATATGACGCTCATCTGACATAGTTTTTCAACGCACAGTCGCCTCTTCTTAGTTTGTGACAGCGTTTCTTAAAAAGGGACTCAGGCCTCCTTGGAGGCCACGGATCGGCTGTCTGGGAGCACGAACAAACAGATGGAAATGCGAATATATTATCTATGTACTTTTATAGAAGAGAAGAAGCAAACGTGTTGAGAGTCTTTGGTAATTTGAAAAGCATTGACATGGAACATAAACATGAATTAGGCCTACATTCTTTCCCAGGGATATACTATAAAATGTAGCAATTTTATCATTCGTGTTCTCGTGATAGTATTATCTTTCACTGCATCGTCGTGATCATAGCAATCCTTGCTAACAAATAATTGACTGTCCTCCACCGGGTGTATATTTGCGCACAAACTGTGCGCAATCCACTTGAACCACTGCCGACTGCATTAGCAAAGCTGGGTCGCCTGAAAATATTTTCGGTACGATTTTTTCCAACAAATACCTAAACAATATTGATTTTAAATCCGAGTAAATTTGGTGCTGCCGTAGTATGTGCACCAAGATGGCGCACAATCTGAATATAGTATGTGTACCAGGTTAGGGTTCAAGTTATGCGACATTATGGTGCACAGATTTGACGAAAAAACTAATACAAATATCACGCCGTGAAAAAATTGCTCAAGGCTGCAAACTCCACACCCATGTAGAAATGATCGGCGATGACCCCAAGATGAAAACAGTAATCACAAATAATAATAAAAAAATTATGTATGAAAACAAGGTTGGGCCCAAAAAGGCCCCTTATCTGCCAGACTATATTATATAGTGATAAATCTTACTTATTGAGATTGTTGTATTCAATACCGTAAACTTCAGAACTTCATTTGGTTATGATTAGTACCGTGAGCTTTGCCCAACACCACTCAACATTGCCGCATTGTGGTTTGTTTCGTATATATACCGTAACGTACCGGTACCTTCTTGGGAAAAGAAAGTTATACCTGCTTGTGCACTGAATTGTACGATTGATTCATAATCAACATGCTAACACAGTAATCAGGTAATACTAATTGTTAATGGGTTGTTGCATTCTGATTTGACAGGCCATGTGAATATCTTATCATCTTTACCATACAGTCATACAGTATAAAAACTGAATAATGAATCCATTAATAATAAATGGAGCATATTCTGTCATTTGCTTTCTTGTGACACTCAAAGCCATTCCGTCATTTATGAGTTTATTCGTCGATGCAAACCTGTTTGGACGTGATATGAACAAAACTTCAAAAGAAAAGGTTCCTGAAGCACTGGGTGTGATTTGTGGTGCTATATTTCTTATAACTATGTTCTTATTTATTCCAATTCCTTTCGTGAATCAATCAAAAACTTTATCTGAACTGGATTTTAATCACAGGTATGATAATTCTTGTATGATTAGTGGTCTCTTAACAACAAGTTTTTTTTTTAAATAACTGAATTGAAATTGTAAAATTTTGTCAAAGAAACTTACTCAAAAGTTTTCCATGCTCGCTTAATTTTCCGCATGAACCCTAGTTTTATTTGTGCTCGTTTGTCACGAAAGGAATTCGTTATCAGTTGATAGTGAGACCTTATCAGGTAAACAGGTGTAAAGTGAATTCTTATATATTTTAAATAGAGAAAAGTATTAATATTTCAGTAAATTGCTTCTTTGAACATGTAGCCTACATCTGGCGTTCAGTCATTTTTTGAATATGTACAGTATGACCTTGTTCAAAGTGAAAGGCGTGTTCAAGCGTCATAAAGAAATATGACTGAATTAATAACTTCGTTTGACATTGCTTTTGTTTAAAACAATCTCCTTATTCACTCATCATGAACAAGTGTCACTTTTTATTTTATACTTCATACCTCATTAACAAGTGTTGTGTGTGTCTTTCAAGAAAGGCTGAAGTTCGATGACATGTAGTATTAATATTTTCGCTCTTTTCAGGGATTTCATCCAGTTTATTGGAGCATTGCTTGCAATTTGTTGTATGGTATTTCTTGGATTTGCAGATGATGTATTGAACTTGAAATGGCGACACAAACTCACTTTACCTACTATGGCATCATTGCCGTTATTAATGGTTTATTACACCAATATTAGCAACACTATCATTATTGTGCCAAAACCACTTCGATTTGCAATAGGAAGAGAACTTGATTTGAGTATGCTATTTTTTTATTATATTTAAATAACTGTGTAACACAAGGAGTGACACTAAATAGGTTTTATTAAAAAATATGATAAACCGTGGCATTGTTCATGTTTTAACTAGTATTTATATTGAAATTATATTATGGAATTATAGTTAAGAATCAGTTTTCAATCCATTATATAGATTTATTTGATCAGTAAATTCAAAAAAGCAATATTACGATATTCACGCTGAAACTATTTTTCGAAACAAGCTCTAACCTCAAACAAATCAAACATATGTAGGTAAACATCTGCAAAAATAAATGGGTCTCTGTGATTATCGGAAAAGTGAAAAATTTCTTGCCATTGCCCTCATCATTTTAAGATTTAGTTGCCACGTTGAAAAAAAGTGATTTAATAATGTTTACATTTTTCTCAGGTCTTCTCTACTATGTTTATATGGGGATGCTAGCCGTGTTCTGTACAAATGCAATCAATATATTAAGTGGTATAAATGGGTTGGAAGCTGGCCAGTCTGTGGTTATTGCGATCTCCATAATCATTCATAATTTACTTGAACTTGATGGAGTTGTGGCAGCAAACCATGTGTTCTCATTGTATTTTATGCTGCCTTTCCTTGGCACAACACTAGCACTGCTATATTACAATTGGTAAGTTGCCACTTATTTTCTATGCAATTGGAAATAATTAAATGAAGATTATTTCTTATGAATGATACAATATAACTATCTCAAACTTTGATAAAAAATTAACCCAATATTTCACTGATTTTTTCATTTCATATTTAACAATATGTTAGATATGTCGTACATATGCAGACTGTTGTACCTGATATTTTCATTTTTATGCTGATAGTGGGTTAAAGCTGAAAAGATTGCTTAATTAAAGGGCTTACTTACCAATCCATTTTGGTATGGGATTAGTTAGCCGGTTATTTGTTCAAGATTCATAATCAGAGGTGCGATTGCAAGTGTATTTGTCATACTTAGCACGATGTGCCATCTGCCAGGCCAATTTCAAAAATATATGCTTTCTGATTGTGATAAAGCTCATTCAAATATGCAATATATTAATTCGTTAAATATCAACATAAAATATAAATGCCTGTGTAGACATATTACTTGTCTTTCATTTCAAACTGTACAAATATATTAAAAATTCCACAGAAAAGAGAAAATGAGAATGCCAATGCCCATAATAGTTCTTGAATCAAATTAATAGTAAAAATGTTGAGTGATGGAATCATTACAGCAATGTTTCATTTTATTCAATTCAAGAGTCTTGCTGCACACGAACACAAATATATTTCTGTAATGTTTCGTCTGACCGAGGTCAGACTTCTCCAAGTCAAGTCAAGTTTATTTTTTCCAACCAGTAAAAAACAAAACAAAAAACACATGCAAATATAGAAAAAAAGATATTTAAATTACTGGGGAAGGGAAGCCGCGGGGAACCAAAACTGGTTATCGAGCTGCGACACCCAAGGTTCTAACACCTAGTTTGACAGATCGGGGAGAAGAGTTTCAACGAATAGATACCATATAAATTTTACTAAATAGCTAACTAATTGCAATTGTTATATATTATTACTAAAAATTACCGTGCATTAAATGTGCCATAATAGCAGCGAATAACGGGGGATTTCCCGTTTGCATAGACGTAGCTGTAGCGAAATGTTGTTCTGTAGAATAACTGGGGAATTTTGAAGGTGACCTGATCACAACGTGGTTGTGCTATTAAGCGATATAGCAATGGACACCGATCAGGTAAATAAATAAAGTGAAATTAGCACGCTGGATGTTGAAATGAATATTCACCATTGGTGTCCTGACGCGTTATCTCAGTACCGGTACCGTACTGCAGACAAGCATTTTACAACTATAACAAGAAACGCAATTGCATGCACATAAATATTGGTTGCAAATGTTGGGTCTGTTTGCGATAGAGAGATATAAATAAAATTGGGACAGTGCCAGAACAATAGGAAAGCTAAATTTGATTTAAAATCAATAGATACCCCACAGTGTAGTGAGTGACAATTAAAAAGAAAATTAAACAATTTCATGCTGTTATCCCGTAACTCCGACTATGGTATCGCCTAAGTTCATTTAGGGGTCATGGCTGCAATGTAAGGGAGTTGGTGAGAGTCTGTTTAAAAGAAATAACTAGAGATTCACTGTTAACACCAAAAAGAAAACACAATGATCAACAACTATTGCCATTCGTTATTTTACCATCCTAATCAACCAAACTTTGGAAAAATTTTCTCTAAATATCAATACATACTAGACAACAATGAAAGACTCAAAAACATCTTCCCGGCACCCCCCAAAATTTCATACAGAAAGTGCCCAACATTACGGGACAGACTAGTTCGGGCCAAGTTGAAACCGGAATCATCAAGAGAAGTAAAATCAGGTTTCTATAAATACAACAGGAATTCATGCTCAACCTGCAAATATTCAGAGGAAACTAAAACAAGCACTAGCACTATCACAAGACTTCAAATGAACATCAATCAAAGAATAACGTGCAATTCAGAAAATGTCATATACCTGATAGCCTGTAGAAAGTGTGGCATGCAGTATGTCGGTGAAACAGGCAGACATTTAAAATACAGAATTACAGAACACATTAGAAGCATCAATCAAAAAAACAAAGATCTTGCAGTTGGCAAACATATCAATCAATCAGGCCATTCCCTCAACGACTTTTTGGTAATTGGAATAGAAAAACCATATCGAGATCAAGTATACCTACCGGCAAACGGAAGAAACCTATTTTATTTTCAAATTCAAAACATTAAAACCTCTAGGGATGAATTTAAGAGATGGATAAATTCACAATTTATGCTGATTTGAACATTACATTTCATTATCACTTACACTTGATTTCTATTTCGCGGTTTAAGTCATTTCCTTACATTGCAGCCATGACCCTTAAATGAACTTAGGCGATACGATACCATAGTCGGAGTTACGGGATAACAGCATGAAATTGTTTAATTTTTTTTTTAATTGTCACTCACTACACTGTGGGGTATCTATTGATTTTAAATCAAATTTAGCTTTCTTATTGTTCTGGCACTGTCCCAATTTTATTTATATCTCTCTATCGCAAACAGACCCAACATTTGAAACCAATGTTTATGTGCATGCAATTGCGTTTCTTGTTATAGTTGTAAAATGCTTGTCTGAAGAAGTCTGACCTCGGTCAGACGAAACGTTACAGAAATATATTTGTGTTCGTGTGCAGCAAGACTCTTGAATTGAATAAAATAGCCATTTACACTCTTGCTACAGCATCCTTGCGTAATTCGCATACGGATCCACCTGCGCAAAGGCATAGAGAGCAAGGAAAGGTAGTTAGTTTCACGCAACCTCAACTGTTAGTAATGTTTCATTTAGTTCTGTTTTATTTTTTCATTTTTCAGGTATCCTTCAAAAGTTTTTGTGGGCGATACTTTTTGCTACTTTGCTGGGATGACATTTGCAGTTGTTGGAATCCTTGGACATTTCAGTAAAACCATGATTTTATTTTTCATTCCACAAGTTCTTAATTTCTTGTATTCTGTCCCGCAAATATTTGGATTCATACCTTGTCCTCGACATAGATTACCAAGGTAAGCAGGTTTGGTAAAGGCTGGCATTCAAAGCTATGTTGGATGTTTTATAGATTAACACTTTCGCTTGGGCTGGTGTTTCCTGCTATACTCATTGTGTTTGGTTTCCTTTCATCGTAGTTATAGGTCCCTAATTCCTGTTTACAGTGCATTTTATCATTTAGATTTATCAGGTAAATTGAGTACAGTATTGATTAGAGCAAATTTTTTCATACAAAAACCTTCTTATTATCCATTACTCGACTTTAATTACCAGTATTCGTCAACTTTAATATTGTTTGTGAGAATAAAATTGCTATCTTATTAAACTGAGCATCCTGCCTGTTACTGATCTTCATTTTGACAGGTATGATGCAGAACTGGGAAAAGTCAACATGAGTTATGCAAAGTTCAAGCCAACAGAGATAAAACCATTAGGAAGTTTATTCTTAAATATCTGTGAAACTTTTGGATTAGTTCGAGTTGTACGTAATACAGGAGAAGACGGTTCCTATATAGAATGCAATAACCTGACACTTGTCAATTTTTTTCTAAAATTTTTGGGACCGATGCATGAGCGAACTCTGACTGTTCTACTTTTATTGTTTCAAATATTTTGCACTTGTATTGCTTTTTTCATAAGGTATCATATTAGCACATTTTTCTATGATCAATGTTAATCTTCACATAGTATGGATTTTGTTTTTAGAAAATAATTTTTTTTGCATTGAGATATTTGCAACGAAGCAATCATAATTATTGAGCAAATGAGGTTATTATTTTGGTATTAATAATATTCAATTGATCAGGATTTCACATCGTTTGATTTCTTATACCTAAAAACATATATGAGATATATTGGGTGTATGGCTTGAGATGAGATTGTAGTTCCTAGAAATTTAGAACAACTTTGAGAATAAAAAATTAAATCTGTCCTTCAGTGTAAATGTATAATTACCGTAATTAGCTGACTTTTCAAACTTAAATCATAAATGAAACTCGTGGAGTCCTTTACTACACCTCATGTGACACATTCCCTAAGTTGGAAAACATTAATCAAAGTTTATGTGTGGGTGACACTGCCCTCCGATCATTCTGGATGTTGACAATTTGATAGTTTGCTAGACCCAGAATATTTGCAAGTTGTTGAGGGGATCACATTAAAATCAGCTGAGAAAAGCTGAGCTTTTTGCTTGTTTCCACTGTATCACGCCCAGTAGTTGAAAATTATGTTGTCTGGCAATCATGAATTTAATTTGAGCCATCATGCTACAAAAGGTTGACTTATACCAAATATCTCCTAAAATTAGGGTTCAGTTCACACATTTGAATAGACACAATTTTTCTTTGAACAGAAATTTCCTATTAGTCTTGTATATCAAGGTCAACAAAATTTCAAAAGTTATTTTCGATGGTGAATTTTTAATCTCAATTTTCTGTCTGATATGTTTTTTGTCTCAAGACGAGGCCTTATGAAATGTAGATTTTGTACTCTTTATTTAGCTAGTGAATTGCAGTAGTAACATTTTTATCACATGCAATAAATTATTATAAAGATAAAGAAATTTGTTTTGATTTACATTAGAGTTTGCAAAATCCATATTTATCCAGAGGTCTATTACAGAGGTGTAAAACTCGTGGGTTTTCGAGGGCCACATTGCATTTTGGGAATCATGCCAAGGGCCGCAAGCGCATTTTTTACATTGTTATGCACACCAATTTAACCTCGTTATTAAAAATATGTGTCTTGATACCCCTCTCGTCCGTATATTTTTTGCAAATGTTTCGGGGTTTTCTTCATTTTTTTCCGTTTCGCCGAAGCGCTCTGACCTCCTTCGCCAGATATGTAGCCGCCGTCTCCCAGCTTGTGCACCAACACAATCGTTACGACGAGACGGGGATCGTTACGTTTTTCGGTGTAATAAAAAATATTCGAAAAATACCTCAATATCGGTTGCACAGACTGTCTACACTCTACACTAGCCATATTCTCCCGACATGGTTCATTTTTCGCTCGCAAAGCCTTCGCTGAACGTCGACGGGGCGACGCCGATTTTGCCCCGGTTGCTCATTGTATATCGTATTCTCTCTTTTATCTTCCACTCGCCGCGTTTGTTTTCTGTTTCTTTTACTAAATCATCGGGGCCGTTCGGGGCTAGCCCCGAAATTATGACGACACAATGCCGACGTTTCTTACAACAACGTGTTGACATATTCACGCATTCCTTCTCGTTCGTTGGTTGCTTGAAGAGTTGATAGTTTCCTCGCCTTCGTTTTTGTCGCTTGTTTCGCTATTTGAATCAGTTAGAGACCTTTAGTCCATGTGCTTTCGATTTTCCACATTCCTTTTGAGCTCCTCACTTCTTTCCGGCTTCGCATTTCTTAGCCTTAGACCTCATAATGAATAAGGTTGATGCACTACTTCGCACTCCGTTTTCGCAGCTGCCGCTGGAACAAAAATTAGAGGTACAACGTCTTGGGCCAAAAATTGTTCACTGGAACAATCCCATGACGGAGGAAAGCGTCGGCGTACATTCTGCGCAGAAACTTGGTATAAAAAACACAAATGGTTGTGTTACAGCGAGGACAAAAATGCACTTTTTTGTTTTTATTACCTACTTTTTGCTACCGCCCGTGACTCACGTTGGTGTAAATTTGGTTTTAGAGATCTTAAACATCTATCCGAGCGTGCCAGGGATCATCAATCTTCTATGGAGCATCTGGACAATGCAGTAAAATACCGAACATTCGGAAATGTTAATATTGCAGCACAGTTGGATGAAGGACGCGCGGTTTCTATTCGTCGGCACAACCGAAACGTCGAGAAAAAACCGCCATGTTCTCGGTCGATTGATAGATGTTTTGGAGTTCATTGGTTGTCACGAGCTGTCCCTCCGTGGGCACGATGAACGGGCTGGCTCTTCTAATAGAGGGGTATTTTTGGATATGGTGGAATACACCGGATCCCTAGATACAGTATTGAGAGATCATCTTGATGCCGCAACTGTTTCGAAAGGGACATCTAAGGATATCCAAAATGATTTGCTCGACTCAATGTATAAAATTTATTTACAACATTTGCCTCTGGAAATTGAGAATTGCCAGTTCCTTTCGATTCAGTCTGACGAGACAACTGACATCACGTGCGTTTCCCAACTGGCTGTGATTTTTCGGTTTGTGAAAGATGGTAAACCTACCGAGAGATTTCACAGCTTTGTACCAATCGTTGATCGCACGGCTTGCGGGATATCGGCTGTACTGAAAGAAGTGTTACAACCTTACAACGCGAAGTCAAAATTGATAGCTCAAACTTATGACGGCGCGGCAGTCATGAGTGGGTCGAAACATGGTGTTCAAGTTTATATAAAAGAAGATTTTCCTCATGCGCATTTTTTACATTGTTATGCACACCAATTTAACCTCGTTATTAAAAATATGTGTCTTGATACCCCTCTCGTCCGTATATTTTTTGCAAATGTTTCGGGATTTTCTTCCGTTTGGCCGAAGCGCTCTGACCTCCTTCGCCAGATATGTAGCCGCCGTCTCCCAGCTTGTGCACCAACACGTTGGAACTTCCAATCACGCGTGGTGTAGAGCGTGTCCGAAATTAGGTCTGAGCTCATTGAGTGTTTCAATGGCATTCAGAGCTCTCCGGTTTGGGACGAACGCTCTGTGAGGGAGGCGGCAGGTCTAAAGCGTCTGCTAGAAGATGGTGAATTTTTATTTTTTCTCCACAATATTCTATCACGTGGATGTATTATACGGCGCATTGCAGTCAAGGCTAATGGATGGAGCGTCTGTGCAGTCGTGTATTTCAGACTTCTGCGATGCTGTATCTCGTATCCGGGAAACAATAAAATACGACACATGGAGTGCTTCTTTACGCCGCGGGCAAACAACGCAGCGTTTGATTTTGTCTGCAAAGGAATGCTGTGACATTCTGGTGAATCAAATAGGCGATCGTCTGCGCACTGAACACCTTGCCGCGTTCTCTTTGATGAACTCCAAAAATTTTTCAAAATTTGCACGTCATTTTCCCATCCATTTGTTGGCTACTGTCTCCAAATTTTACCCCATGATAAACGTGGGTAAATTGGAAAATGAATTGCGATGTATATACACCAATCCAACTTTTTTGAACATCACATCAACTTGCGCGCTCTATGGGTTCCTCATAGATAACACTCTAGTAACTACCTTTGCGGCGTATGCAAAATTTCTGGACATCATTTTGACGACGCCTATTTCTTCCGCCGACGCAGAGCGAACATTCAGCACGCTGAAGCGTATTAAAACGTATCTCAGAAGCACAATGAAGCAAGATAGATTAAATTCCTTCGCTGTTTTATCCATTCACAGAGACGTTATTTCTGGGATGCATGACTTTAATCAGCGCGTTGTTGAGCATTTTGCTTCCAAGAAACCGCGGCGTGTTGCATATATGTTCAAGCAGTAGAAGTCTAGCAACATATATATCTATGAGTGAGCGACGCATGTCCTTATCTTTGCATTAACTTTCCTTTCTTCATAGTAACGTTTTAAATCTTATTTTAGGTTTTGTCTGCTTTCCCGAAGTTTCTGTTAATATGTCATTGTATTTATCTGGATAAATATTGCCTTTCCTTTTGAAAGAGGTTTCAAAATAAACTATGTCTATATTTATTAATCCCTTGACTTGGACCGGTTTTAAAGACACTTTCTTATCGTTAAAAATTGTCGCTTTTGCCGATTGGTTGTTACCGATGGAATGGTTTTTATAATCATAAAATGATGGGAGAACTTACATCGCTCATCCTGTCCCCGTAGATGGGGGTGACTTGGTCCCGCAGTAGTTTGCCCCGGTTGTTAAAATGACCACGCGCCGCCACTGGAGTCCGGTGTTTTCAAAATTAAATTTCGGCATCCCTAAAACGCGCACTTTCTCGCCCGACTAATGATTATTAGGTAATCAAAATTGTTTATTATGGTGTTATAATTCTTTTCGTATATATTCAAAAACATAGAAAAGTCATTTTATAAAATGAAACTTTAAAAGTGGGTCTAATGATGAAATAAAGAATTAGGTGCGGTCCGAATCAAATACTTAAAAGGTCCGGATTCGGACCGCGGTCCGCCAGTTGAGTAGCCCTGGATTAGACGACAATCCGTATACTTTGACGGGCTTTGTTTCGTCACTGTGACGTTGTAGTGACGTAATTTTTGAATGACGTAGTCCGATGGGGGTTAGAAATGACATATGCGAAAATGGTTATGCCACGCCAACCAGAAGTACCTGGCGGCATTTAGTTAACTAGTCTCTTAATTTCTTGCACTATTATTGAAATTTACTGTATTCATCACGAAAAATCATAAATTTATATACAACTCGTTGAGAATGTTTGATAACTTCAGAAATGAAAACACATCTATATGTGTTTCCAAACATTGCTAGGATATAGCATGCAAATTTCTTGATCCTAATATTTCTCTTCTTGAAAAATAAGAGGAGAATTCAGGAACTCCAACAGCATCATACCTTTACAATAGAGTCAGATTGCAATTTTAAAAGTTCATTTGATATTTTCATCTGCTAAGCTAGCATCAAATGTAGAAAATAATGAAAATTTGCATTCAAACGTAGAAAAGTCTTGAGAATCTACGCTTGAACGTATTTAAAAGTAAAGCAATATTGTTTACAAATTTCTCAATGTCCAATTCACTGCCATTTTCTTGAAGTTTGCTTTTTGCATCTTTTAAAAATGGAAAATGTGCCAAATTTTCGTTCTGTTTCTGAGTTTTCCACAAATTTGAACTGATGGGAAGGTAGGAAATTAAACAGTGTGCAGTAGAATTTTGAGAAATGCAGGAATATTGCAACTCCGATTTTTTTGCGACCTTCTTCGTGTACTTTGCGTTTCTTCTTAAACACTAAAGTGTTTTTTCAAGTATTCTTTTGCTGGCTTGCGGTGTATATATCCATAATTGGGTCAAAATGAGAACAACAAAAATTGAAAATTTTCAAAACCACTTTCTGTAGATTGCCGTTTTTTGTGTGAATAATCAATCTCACTTTGGAAGGTTTGAAAAATGAATTACATTTAGATGAATAACTTTACAAAATATCACAATTATTGTTAAGTGTTTCGAGGGCCGCATTGAGAGTTCCTGGGGCCGCGAGTTTGACACCCCCGGTCTATAATATAATAAAATCTTACACCAACTATCATACTGCCATATAGACTCCATATTATAGTTGGTGTCAGATTTTATGGCGATATAAAAAATGGTGCTCCTGAAGTATGCGTACCAAGATGTCGGACACCGGAATGTAGTGTGTGCACCAGGAACTAGCCAAGTGACTCCCGTAGTATTTGTACCTAAAATTATGGCCCAACCCTAACCTGGTACACATACTTCGTTCCGGTGTCCGCCATCTCGGTACGCATACTTCAGGAGCACCCTTTTTTATATCGCCATAAAATCTTACACCAACTATAATATGGAGTCTATATGACAGTATGATAGTTGGTGTGAGATTTTATTATATTATAGACCAGGGATGTCAGGAGTATAGCAAAAAAATCAATGAATAGGTTAATTCTGTAATTGGGTAGCCAAGCCTTCGGCGTTCAGATAGAAATTCCGACGCGGTTTAATCATAGGGCGAACCGCGCCATCTTGTTCACTTGTGTGAATAGGTAACCAGTTCATCAAGTCAGAGCAGACGGGAACGCTTTTTCGTAACTCTAACTCACCCGTACAAATCAAAGCACAAGTACAAATCGAGCACAATAAATATGAGAAGCAGTCAAGATTTTGCGTGTAATGTGCGTCGCATTTTTACTCAACAATTCCAAATACGCCGCATTTATGCCGGCTACAATTTTTTTAATTTCGGCGCCTTCCCATTTGGCTTCGTTTTTAAAACGCTTCCCAGCATAATGCAGCCTGTCCGTCCATCGATATAAATCTTTAACTAAAAGAAAGTTACGCGTTTATTCCAGAAAAAGCGGTAAACCATCCCAGGTAGGTCCGGACATTTCGAAAGCTTTTGACAGTGAAGGTCGAAGTATTTTCCATGACAACTCGCAACCTTAGCGTTCTAATACAACTTAGATGGCGTAATTATTAAGAATTTGGTTACCATGGGACTATTCTGCCAATTTGCTTTCCAATTTCGCAGACCAGCGATGCTCACATAGAGTACTGATGCAAGTACCAAAGTCCGCGTTCCTCTGATGCAGTGTCAGGCATTTCAAAACTGCGTTGAGGGCGAGCTTGGACATGCCCAGGTACAGCAACAAAACATTGGTTCATTGTTAGAAGAAATAACAGAAGAATTGAAAACTAAACCTGGTCTATCAAGCAGAAGTACCCAAGGAGTTTTTCGGACAACTGACACTTATAAATAATAAGGGGCAGACAAGAAAAGATGAAAAGGTGGCTGGTTCAAAGATACAAAGTCACAACCACCAAATAAAATTGTCTGGAAAAAGACAAACAAATGGAGAATTTGGATTAAAAGAAAAATATGTATGTTTCGCAACGAGCGTCGAGCGCTTTCAGGCGATGTGATATCAGGATCGATCCTCCATTATTCAGCAAACAATCCCTCCTCTGTTAGGATTTGTTCGTTTATTGAGTGTTAAGTTTTTAGAATGCCGAAATAAATTGTATTTTCCATTTCCTAGTGTTGTTGTTAGAGTGGGTACCGTAATGTCCTACCACAGGGGTGTGCAAAGTGCGGCCCGCGGGCCAAATGCGGCCCGCGAGGGAAAATTGTGCGGCCCGCGGAGGAGTGCCAATTTTGAATGGTGTGTGGCCAAACTAGTTTTTAATTTAGTTTGATCTGTTTCCCTTTGCGCTGCAAAGTTTGTATTCGAGTCCAATTTATTAGCTTTGCCTATGTCACTTGCCGAGCAGCGAACATTTAAATGAAAATACGGAGCAGACGCTAATGAATTTGTTAGAACGGGCAATTGCAGATTAGGCACCTGGAAAGCAGTTTGAAAATATTCACTATTAAGGGAAAAAAGAGATACAAAAGCTAAATGAGTTTTGGTTCCAGCCTATCAGTTGATTTTGTTTAAATCTAATCTAGAATAAGATTTGACAGCAAAGTATTTGGAAATGAATCTTGGCGTATTATACCAAAAACATTTCAACCAAGATAACTTCCCACATTTGAAAAAAGTCATGGCACTTTGGCACTTTTGGGTTACATATTATTTTTAAAATAGACGTTATATCGAATTGATAGCACTTCCATTTAAGCAAATTTGGATAAAAGTAGTTGGGAAAAGAATCCAGCAGCAAATTTCTCACTGAATTTGTTTAAATTGGGTGTGGCAATATATTTAAATTATAGTTCTAAACAATTTATGCGTTTTAACTCATTATTTCTGCAAGTACCCTTTATGATGACGAAATGAGTTCAATAACAAAAAGACTCTATTTTCGTGCATGCAACTCATAGAAAGCCCATGTTAAGTGAAGGTGCGGCCCGCGGTTTTACCCAGTTATTGATATTTGGCCCGCCTGCGAAAAAGGTTGCACAACCCTGTCCTACCATATAAAAATGTATCTCCTTACATATCAATGGCTGCTTGTTTGGGGCCTCGTCCGGAACGAAAGCTAACCCCCCCATATAGTAAAAAAATCCGTTCGATTATCAAAGAGATGTCATGATTTCTTTACCTTCAAAATCATCACCCCACGGTTAGTATCGAAGCATTAAAGGTTTGGTATAGTGGCTGAGTACAATCGTGCCTATCAAAATGCAATCTGAACATCCCCAACTTACAATTTCGTTTCCAAATAATGATGTCGGTTTGCAGAAAATACTTTTTTCAATGTAAAAGAAAAAGTGAAGCAGAATTACAGTTCCCTGTGTAGGCGTCGGGATAACAAGCCGTCACAATATAATAGCAACAACAGGCAAAGAAAAGCAGCATTAAAATTGCACTATACTGAAAACGTAGTCCGACAAGCTAACAATATTTCTAGTAAGACGAGCTATTTTTTACAACTCAATAACCGTCTAAAAATATACAGACCTGATACTGCAAGACAATGAAATAGAAAAAAAAAACGAAGAAACACACAGATAAAATATTAAGTACGAAATAATACTGAACAACCACATTTTCGTGGAATTATATCCATGGTCGGATTTCTGGAATAGTTAGACAAACGCCCCAGTTGTTGGGCTAACATAAAAGTAAATGAAAGTACGTCAGTTTCAAGATTAAATGGTGTACAAGTACAAGGCTATGCGAGATATAATCAACGAAACAAATTATTTGATTTTTATCTAATGTTTCATATTGGGACGAGGTAGTAAGCAAGGGTTCTATTAACCCACTGGGTCCTCTTTTTCCCAAAGTTCATTTTTATAGTAATTTGCGAAGTTTTTGAATGCAACCTATACCAAAATAATACAAATTTTGCGAAGTCTATGATTTTGCTGGAAACAGTGGCGTATTTAGGGTGTGGCAGCCGTGGCACGTGCTATGGGCGCCGTTTGGACAGGCAAAAAAGACGAAAAGTTTTAACCGTGAAATGTTTCAATAAAATAATTTCAAATTGGTAATAACTGAAACTGGTATTTTTACTCAAATAATAACGTACACTTAACTCATTTCCATGACAGTGATTATGAATTGTGAACTAACTATCAAGTGGGGCGCATTTTTAAATTTTGCCATGGGCGCAATTTTATGTAGATACGCCACTGGCTAGAAATAATGATCGGGTGTTTTGTTGAAACGAGTTGAACCCACTAGCTTGTGTTTTATGCGAGGGGGATTTGTATTCACAGAATAGACAAATATTGTGCAAATAAACTAAAACTTCCAAAATTATATTTCCAGAGGGTTCGTATTATTAATCTGTATAAAATAAAAAATCGTGCAAAACAGAAAAATGTGACACGAGCGACACATATTTTAAAAACAAGCCGAATGATACAAATTTTTGAATAGGCCCACCCAAGTACACGTCATACAAAATATTGTGTTAATATGTAGATAAAGTGATGCTATATTGAGCCGAGTCATCACTGAACAAAAAAAAATCAGCTTGAAGTCTGACATAAATAATCCATAAGATACCTTGGGAACAAAACATACATTTGTCATAAGTTTAATAGAATATTAGACTGGTAACATTTGTAATAAAAGTAAAACCGGTGTTGAAGTAACGAAAACTCGCCGGCCGTAATCTAGGCCCTTGTCGAGTTATTTCATATATATAACATATTGAGCCAATTTTTGACAAACGGACAATTGGAAATGGGCCACAGGAAGGATTTTAATTATCATACTTCCTATACTTTCACATTGTTATTATTGTGCGTTCATGTATGACACATAAATAAACTGTTATTTTCTACTCGTCGATACTTGATATCATGCACAATACAATTTGCAAAAATTCAAAAGTACTCCGTTCTGATCTAGAATGGAGAATGCCACAGCGATTTGTTTAGACCGTCGAGTTGTTTTATGATGTGTAAAAAGGAAAGTTTATTCCTCGCTTATGTTTAAAAAAATGCCAAAGCTCGGTTTTCGATGATCCCACGAGACGTTTGATCAATCACGTTTACATATGTCAGACACAGTCATGAGACAGACACACAAATGCTTTCCTAACCTTCGACTGAGATGTAAGGGATATTTGAAAATTATCAAATGGACATGTTTATTTGATTTGATTGCTTGATAATGGAATTCCATAGTACGTCGTTAGATTAATATTAAGAAGACAGTTGAGAGCGTGGCGAAATAATGTTGTCAACAATCAACATGTCGAAAAACAAAATTTACGCTGCAGTAATGAGAAATGTCCTGGGTATGATTATTTTATGAAAGGCATCCACAGTGGGGATAAACACGCGCGTCATATTGATAACCCTGTATCTAGCATGGCAAATACTGTATTGTACATTGGATGATAATAAACGTACATATCATGTTTGGTCCATATTATTTCCAGACGATCGGGACGTGATCGCACTGTCAACAACTGTCTTTCGATATTGGTCATGGCTGATTGTTTATGGGATGTATGATTCATTCAAGCATTGTAATGTCCTACATATGCGTCTGGGTTATGATTCAGAGTTGACGCAATAACACCTTGATGATACCAATTTCAATACAAAATATGAAATCGTCATAAAACAGAGTTAATAAAAAATAAAAACATATGTATTTACAGATATTACAGTGCAAGTCTTTTTTTTAACTCTCATTCAATCCATCTCATTAATACATTCATTACACCAACGAGCTACAACAACCCGAGACGAGCTAGATTTCTTTCAAGCGCGAATCAAATCAGACAAGACTAAATAAAAATGTAGTACTGGGTTTTCACAATAGATTCTTTCAAGCGCGAATCAAATCAGACAAGACTAAAAAAAATGTAGTACTGGGTTTTCACAATAGAGGCTCATACAACGGTAACGCCATTCATAGAATAATCGTCATATCCGACATCAATTGCTGAATCTATCGACGAAGAATTTCCCTTCTGCAGTGTTGGCCGAGAAAAGGTATGATCCTGAAGGGTGCGATTTCCCTCCCATATACAGCGTTCAGTGGCCCTATCCATCGCCTCTTTATCAAAATCGAAAGGACCTGTCGCCGTTTCTAAATTGGCAAAATATCGCCTGAGCGAGAACGACTTGGCAATCCGATTTGCTAGTTCAACTTTATCGCATTCGCATAATACATCATTAGGAATAAGATGCGAATGGGCGACTCTCTTTTCACTGCAATAGTCTCCCCGACTCGATAATAACTTCTTTAAATGACTATTTTGCTCTGTATTGACACAGTTCAAATCTATGGGAGAGTTTGTTCTGTCAGGTTCACGCATTTTTCTCGCTTGGTATCGACTACGCAAACATAAAACCGTAGATGTAACGGTCAAAATTACTGCCACAGAAGTAAAAATAATACCAATTACAGTCTGGTTTGTGATACCAACCCTGCCAATTGATATTACCATTGAAATGCCCGGAAAGTAACAAAATATAGCGACCATCGCCAATGCTAATCCGCAAGTCTTCGGTCTAGAAGCAGATGACGGCGTCACACCACCTGTTAAAATATTGTTAATGTACTTGAATGTGTGATCGCGTACTAATGAAATGCAGTGTATTTTTGCACAATAAAAGGGTCTCATTCGATAGTCTAATTATAAGGCGAACCACTGCCATGCCCACACGCGTTACTCAAATATTGATTGAAAAATATCAAAATAGAAAAACGTTTGCAATAGAAACGTGATAGAACGTAATTTGGATACATCTCATTAGCATGGCACTAGGACCTCACGAAGAAATGCAAATCTTTGTTTGAATAAACGAAAACTAGCCGAAATGAAATGTCAAACCCTCCGCTTGAAATTACGACTAATGAATTTTTGCAGTGTTTACCACCCAGAAATCCGCTAAGCTCAAGAAGGTCGTGATCTCAATACATGCACTACGGAAATTAACAATGGCACTGAAATAATGCGTAAATCATCACACGGCCAAGGCTAAATAATCAAGATAATTTACCCATTAAAAGAAGACCATCTGCATGCATCGCTTGGTTTACAAAAGCATTTGTCCGGTAAAAGACGACATGGCTTTCGTAACGAGCTTCGTGTTGCACCATGTTTTCGTAAGTGAGATCGACGACACAGTCTGATGGCTTTGACTTTTCAACGCGCATGTTGCTGGTTTTGGCACAAACTTGGTTTGTTTTGGGTTTGAATTCTCCGTTCTCATTGAGAATTTATGTTTTTATAGCTAACAATTAAAATCAGGTTCCACTGAAAAATCGTGTATTTTTCCCATCCTTGGTAACACCCTCCGAGGCGCCCCAGGCAATATTTAATGTTGATGTTTTTCAGCTGTGATAATTATGAAACTACGAATACAATATACTGGAATGAATAGAAAGGTTACAGGAATATGGATCGTAAATATCTATGTCACATGAATATGATTAAATTATACAAAAACATAATTCTATCTCACAGTGGCGGATGACTAGGGTATCGGAGAGTTACATGCCATACGTATCATGATGAAACTCTAAAACTCCAGTCGTGCGAAAATACTAAAATGTGATTACGCGACAAAGAAAAGTCGTTTTGTCTGTCTCTGATAGCCCAAACACCGTTTCCACAGCTACCGAACGCCTTTTGCCTTCAATAATTGACTGTGACTGACAAATTAATAAATAAGCCGTTCACCCTCCTTACGCAATACTATATTTTCCATAAGTATTATTACGAAAATTAAGTAAGGTGTCACCATAAACAACGTCAAAGCTTCTTCCTGTTTAGCGTTTCAAGACTGTTATTTAAGCAACTATGTTATCATTTAGCCTCAGTCTACTTTTCATACTGGTTTATTGCGTTTCAAAATATCGCGAAATATCAAGTAACAGCAATACTTTTATCCTTTTTTCGCGCTGATGTTGCAATACAAACTCATAAAACTGTAAAACCATTTTTTTGTTTGTTTGCTGAGCAAGCACAAAACCAAGAACGCCGCAGCATAATCAATATTGATCGTGCCAACTGCTTGGAATTGGCAAATCGACATGGAGCCTGGAATTTCTCGACAACAAATCTCATTACATATCCTTAAGCGTATAGTTCAGTAAGCTCTGATCAATAATAAGCACACGATTTCACAGCAAAGAACTGAAATCAACAAGCTCGTGACTAACCGGCTTCGTCTATGTCCCCTCGGGTAATGCTAACAAATGACTGAGAGATATTCTCTACGCTTTGTCTTCAATCAGCTGTGCGAGTATGTGACGCAATTCGGAAAACAACATTTCGCTTTACTACATGACATGAATCGTCGCATGTTGCTAAGGCTTAGTTGAAATCATAACGCAGATAAGTACAAGTTATTGTAGTTATATTACCCTGTCAGGCTGTCAGTCAATTGATCAGTCGTTCTGGTCAATGACGAAAATTAGCTTACAATAGTCGAATAGCTCGTCGAACGGTCCAAAGTCCAACGAGAAACCGCATCATTTCCGCGGTATGACATAGGGAAATAGAACCAACGAAGCGTAGAGTAGAGTGCATAAAAATAATTTGGGTCCTGGAAGGAATTGAAAAAAGGGAATGGATACGCTTAAAATGTGATGATTTGCGAGCTACCAAATAAATTACTCTAACAAAGGTTCCATTACATTTGAACCCACGTACATTTGAACCCATGACAATTGCACCTGTATGCTATTGCACCTATGGAATTTTTTTTGTTTCCCGGATAGTTAAACCCATACTAACCCTAACCCATGGGTTTTAGCACCCGCATATAGATTGAACCCGTGGATATACGCATGGGTTCAAATGTACATGGGTTCAAATGTACGGTCACCTAAACAAACGACCCTACACAAATATGCCCATTTTAAGTAGAGTGTAATGTACCCAGTGATTCATTCAATCTATTGAAATATTCTATTGGAAAATGTTTTGTATGTGATTCAAATCTTTAAACTGAATCAGGTTTTAGAATTCGATGATGTTTTTCGGTTTACTAATAGCAATGACAATATACCGAATATTAACGATTTAAGTCATTTGTATTGCTCACCAACATATGGTAAGCTATATGAAAGATTCGAGAACTGTATGCCTGCTGAATTGGAGGTCATCACCTGGCACGATTTTGCACGGCACGGTTTTTATAATGCGACATAGATCAAGTTTCTTCGAAATGAGTGTATTGGATTTTTGATGTAAATCAAAAATACGACATTCTTTCAATTTGTTGAAGCAACGCACTTATTTTCAAGATTCCATCCAACTCGCTTAGATCAAATTTCGCTCGTTCATGTCAAACGGAATGTTTTGTATCGATGCAGTTACGATGCTGACTGCTCAATGAAAGCTGCTGGTGCAATAGCCACAGGTCAATATGGTTGATTAAACCCGTTTAATCAAACGCAATAGAAAGCATTGTCTGTGAAAAAACGTTTATTTTGCCGACGCAATATTTTCATGCCATCAATGTGACACTTCCAAAAGAATAGAAATGAAATGAAAAACAACAAATTTGAATTTTTTTCTGCTGCAGCGAACATATTCCGATGATGTGATACATATCTGTTACTACAAGCAATAAAATAGTTTAAAAGATTTCTTGGGGTACATGGACGAAATATTCAAAACCAGTTAAAAACAGATTAATCAAATTGAATGCCTACACAAGTAGAAGTGAAATAAATAACTATTTTGTGACTGGGTAAGGGCATTCATATGATAATAATGATGACACGTAAACAATCTTCCAAAGAGAAGGGCAATAACAGTAATGTTTCAATTTAAATTTTTTCCCAAAGGACTGTGACAGCTCTCGATTAGATTTCCAATCCACGATTTTATATTTCTAGTCAAAACATACACATACCGTGTTTCCCCGAGAATAAGAGAGGGTTTTATTTCAATTTACTTTTAAAAATTGACACCAGGGCTTTTTTGGGGGGGGGAATTTCTTTTATTTTCATTTATCCAAAACAAAATTACAAAGTAGAGAATCACGAGATTTTCAAATATACAAAATATGAAAACCGATATTCATTTATTTATAAATAACACGTTTTTATTTTAAAATTGCTATGCACAGATTATTCAAAAATAACCATATTATCACTTTCTGGAATGAATGTCTTGGAAGTCATCAGATTCATAAATTTCAATGAAGATTTCATTTAACTGAATTTTCTTGCTATCGACTATAGGTCAAAAGAAATTTCGCGCTATCGACTAGGTCTTATTTTCAAAGGAGAGGGCTTATATTTTAAGATCATTCTTAAAATTCAAGCTAGGTCTTATTTTCGTGCGGGGAAACACGGCACATATAATTAGGACTAAACAAAGACGCATTTCACTCGAGGCCACGCTGCGGTTAACAATTTTAGGCGGGTAAAGTGTTTTCTCTGAAATTCCCACCTTTCATGTAACTAACAATCCACAGCCTTAAAATTTACAAAGTTGGGCGATAGCGCTTTTTCATGTAATGGGAACACGACCTATTGGTTTTGTATATGTACTCTCAAAAGAGAGTTGCCTAATAAGTGATATTCAAAACAGATAAAATAAGCGGCATTACTGGACAAAACAATAATTAAGAATGCGTATCATGCGTTCACATTTTGTTTGTACAATGGTTCATCGTAATAAAATGAATTCATATTTCAAAGCATATCGCAATGGATAAATAGAAATATTTAAACTACTTCTACAACAATCAAGAATTCACAACATACAAACTGGGTCATTTTCAAATGTAATTTTCAAATTACCACAAAATTATATAGTATATATATAAAATGATACCTCAACAGTCGAACGATTCGATACTCGAATAAATCGGTAGTCGACCAAAAATTCTAGTCATAAATGCTGAGGTACTCGAACACCTGAGAGCGCTGCCGAGTGTGATGGCGCCTCCCGGACCGCGCATCTCGGCTGCCTCTTGACCATTCAACAAAAGAGCGATTCTTAAACGAATGAACACGGAGCCTAAAACAAAGTAGTACAGGTATGCAATCTGTCGCCGTAGACTACCGATACGGCAATCTTCACGGCTAATGCAAAAGCGGAACCGCCAAAAGGTGCGCAATTTTTGATAAGGTCATGGCACATAAAAAACGTACCCACACAAATTTGCTCAAACGTACAGTAACTGATTCAAAATTATTCATTTTTAAAAAATTATTGTTGTTTGGGTACACGCTTTGTTAATATTTTGGAGTGTATAAAAACGAATTGAAAAATAATTATACCCTTGGATTTTTTGGTAAAAAAGTTTTGGTATTTGAACAAATCGGTAGTCCGAAACCAATCCTGAACGGATTATGTTCGACTACAGAGGTATATATGGCGCATCATGGCCTCGTCGGATACAAATCCAGATCGGGCGCGGTTAACCTGTCTAACCAGTTAATCTCCGTGGGACTTCACCTTTATATTCATGTTGGGAATTCATTGGTAAGTTGTCAAGAAAGTTCCGCTTAGCACCATGTGCCGACCGTGATTAAAACATTTACCTTTTGGTAACTGAATAAGTGAAACACTAAAACTTGATTATTGTCCTATTATTCTCGTGTGATTTTGTTGCTTTTCAGCACAGCTAGTTAAATCCAAACTATATTTATCAAATCCAGATATTCTCAGTTGTTGGGTGCACCAAAGGAAGGAAAAATGCTGTATGACTCGCACGGAAATCAATTGAAATATGTACCTTTTATGACTTTCTTGGCCAAAAAGGTTCCCGGACCCCTGCTGTATACAATACATGGTGCCGCTTTAGTATGTGAGTACCGAGTTTCCCCGAAAATAAGACTGGATCCTATTTCAATTTTCTTTCGGAAATAACACTAGGGCTTATATTTTCATTTATCAAAAACAAAATTACAAAGTAGAGAACTACAGGTTTTTCGAATATACAAAATATAAAAACCGATATCCATTTACTTATAAATAATACGTTTTTATTCAAAATAACTGCAAAAGATAGATTAATTATCAATCATTCACGACGTGTAGAAGAGATTTCTTGCTATCGACTAGGTAAAAAAAATTCGCCTTATTGACTAGGTCAGGTGTGGGCAACCTTTTTCGGATCGCGTGCCAAAATCGGCTTAATTTGACGACAAAATTCTTCCGCGTGCCGATCAAAATTAAAAACAATTCGTTGCTACTTTCAAAGCAAAGATACAAAATAATAAACCTTTTTAACATGTACAGACTTCACTATTCAGGAAAATATCAGTCCGACAAATAGACTTGATTACTCTTCTTATTTTATATTAGTGAGGCTTCTGCTGCTGCATTACCGCTGAAAGAGATTGGACATTGTGTTTATATTTTGTAACTTTCAGAGGAATACACGAACTGCTGGTTCCATCTTTCGGGCTACTACTGTTACAAGACTTGATAAAGTTCATAACTGAGAACAGAAATTCACAAGCATATGTAGATGAAAACGTGGAGAGTAATGCAGTTGCAAAGTTTTTAAGACACGATGAATTTTGGGGAATGACATCCCAATCACGCAATAGTTCGTTTTCTGCACTTCTCCCTTGTATTCATTTTCCTAATCGCTTATATTACTTTCGAAATCAATTTATAACAGTAAGTTGGAGTGTAATGCTAATCAACATGAGCTGTACAACTTCATAAATAAGGCGGAAATGAAGAAAAATGGTGACGCAGCCGAACTATATTACGTAAGAATGTAGCCAAATGAATGTTGCACCCTTCTCGACAAAATTTCTCGAGAGCTCACTCATTTGTTACGTCATAATATATTTGTTTGTATCTATATGTCATGAAAGGACAAAAAGGGTTGAAAAAAACGGATTGTTAACCAACGATAATGAATAAACGAACACCGAGTTCCATCAGATAATTCTTGAAACTTTTTATCTGAAGGAGAATGATCGCGTTTCCGAGGCTTCGCTCGCGTGCCGAATAAATGAGCTGGTATAGGAGAATCGACACTTAATTAGGGTGTAGCGAATACATAAGGATTGTTACTATGTGTTCAATGGTCTTCACCACGCATTAGTAATAGTGCATGTTATTTGCTTGAAACAAGATCGTTGCGCCAATTCATTTCCTTTATGGTATTTTTTCCTCGCTCAGTGTTGCTCGTCTTTATCTTTCCTCGTTAGTTAAAAACTTAGTTTCATCACATATACTTGCGTTAAAGTTTTAAGTGCATTTCGTTATCTGTTTTTTCAATTCGAATATACGAACATTTGGCATTCAATGTAGGCTATTGTGTGATTATAAACTTCTGGAAGAGTCAGTTGGGGTTTTACTCTGCAAACGTGTGTATAATAACACGGGAGCAAGAACACGCAGATGGGGGCATCACTCCCCTATACAGTAATGGTAATGCTTCAAGGTTCCATTTCATTCAAAGATGGAATCATACAAAATATAAATAATTTGCGGGGATAAATGGGGGGGGGGGGGCGTGTCATACAAGCGCTAGGCGGATACAGCAAGTGCACATTCAATACAATCATCGGCGAGCCGTACCGAAGGAAGGGTATAACAAAGTTATGCATAACCGAGAGTCAGCGATTCTCCTCGAATGCAAGGTAACAATGGCAATGTTTCTAAAGAATTATGGATAAAATGTCAATTGGTAAGTGCTGTCTATTGTAGCTCTTCAAATTATACCTGTTTAAAACGCTTAAAAGTAGCCGACGACAGCGGATCCAAGCCAAAATTAAAAGCAGGCGTTGGTGCTAAGCAGTCGCTCAAAAATTCGGAAATATATTTACGGTTAAACCGTCTTATACAGATCGCAAAGAGTTAAGTCTTTTGTGATTCTTTTCACAAGCAAAACTTATTTGCGAAAACTTTTTCATTCACTCTGGTCCATTCAGAATCTCACGCAAGTTCGAATACCTTGCGTTTTATACCTAAATAGCGTGTCCTCTTGTTGTTACTGTTCAAGGCGCCGATTTTCACAACAGAAGCCTCGTGGTGACACTAACGAGCAATAACGAGCAAGCGTTTTCGGTAAATATAAACTGCGTCATTGTCAACTTGCCGGCAAGGTGAGCGTAGTACGCTTTGGCTGAATGGTGTATAGAAGTCCTGGTGTTAAAGTAGAAACGAAACTGCACGATTTTTTTATATTCAAAAAGCATGGTGTCTGGTAGTGATGGCACAAAAACGGGTAAATGCGTGGTGAAGTTGAGTTGGTGTAAACAGCGCCGTTTCACTGTTTCAGGTCTTTAATATTACAATTTCTAATTAATCTGTTAATGAAGCGAATAGAGATGAAATTGACAGACAGACAGAGGTGAATGGTAATACCGCGTTATTGTACTGTATTCTAAATCTGCTAATATAGTATTCACAAAATTAGTAGGCTACAGTCTTAAGTTATTGTACTTTTATAACGTTATAAATCTGCTAATTTCAGGAATTTAGTGTTCACAAAATTAGTGCAATATTCCAGTATTCTGGGTAATATTTTATGTCTTGGGATCAGTGTTTTAAAAATAGCGGACTATAATTTTTTATTAGATTCTCAAATTTTAAAGGGCGCTAGCCGATCCCAGCTAGAGTGCTAACGTTACAACCCGACTATTGTACTATGCCTACTCGGATTTAAAAGGTGCATGACGGATAAAATAATACCGTATGACACATACTGACATAGGTTAATAACAACATTGTTAGGAAAATCATCTTTTCTATATTCTTTTTTTGCGCTTGATGTTATTTATATATTGTATTCTTACAGCCTTGAAAATGAGTCTTTATGAATACAAAAATCATGACTAGGATGACTTAAAATTAATCAAATTAACTGATGAAACAGCTAAATAACATGTCCAGCAATTCCAATCAACCGATTGACATCAATTATAAATTATAAAAAACAGTATTGAGGTTTGCTCATCTTCAACCAAATTATGAGTAGGCCTATGCAGAATAGTTTTTTTATTTGATTATTGCGATTGCCGATAATCTCACTGAAGAAGTATTTATGAAAGTGTGTATCCTGGATTTAGATGGGATATTTTACAAGCCAACACTTACATCTCTGTCGCAGGCATAATATTTTACTGTGATTTTCGTAATATTTTGTTGCGGATATATGGGCCTTATTGAGTGAAAATACTGTAGATCATTTTAGCCACATTGATAATAAAGAGAGAAAATCCAGAGTAAATTCTAAGAACAATAATACCACTTTTTTATTTGCTTCACTATTAATAGAAAAAAAAATTGCTATTGGTATTTTTGATCGTGATAATGGCTATTGGCATTAAATAGCAGTCAAATAATTTTCACAAAGATATATATATTCATATATTACTTTATAGTACTGAACTTAAAGTGATGAATTACAAATACTTTCTACATTAGTTTAAAAAACCCAGGATGGGGAAAAACCAAGGTCCTAGAAGCAAATTTTTATTGGAAAGCCCAAACGAACATTGTAACGTAGTAATGCTTTACTAATTTTGGGGAGAAAGTTTGTAGTTTTTTTCTTTTTGAATGTATTAGATTTGACTTCATAAGACATCATTCGAATGTAAAAATTAGTTACAAACTCATGAGTATGTTGCTATTGTCAGATGTCAGGAAATTTGAATGGGAACAATAAATAAATATTATAACGGAAATTATGAATATTAGCTTACTGCTAAGAAGGCATTAAACGAAATATTTTTGACATCTTTATTACAGTATTGGACATCATTTTACATTAATGCTCTGTAAGAATGTGTCTATTCTTCACATTTCATAACTTTATTCAATTGGTCCATTTGACTGTTTGCTAGTATCAGCACTTTCCGTAATAATTTGGCATTGTCACATTTTCTGTGCACAGACTAAAAATAACATACACGCATATATTTTCTTCGAAATATCTCATCCTTTTCAGACATCACTTCCGCGACTGGCTTTCTTAATTAGTATTGTGAAATAGAAGTGACATTGAGGAAATGCATTATTAAATTGTCTCATGACATGTGATATTCTCTATATTTACGATACTCGAATTTCTGTTTCATAGTATTGGTATCCGATGTGGTCTCATACCTGGCTATTGATCGATATGGGTATGAAATTAAACAGACTAGCATATTTGAAGAAATTAAATTATATTCCTGAATTATGTTTCTTTTACTTAATGGTGATTACTTCTTCAAAATCCGCTTGACATTAAGGACGACCATATCCAACATGAATGTGGACATAGAAATTTGCATCACAATTAAATTTCAATTTTTCGTATAGGTAAATTTTATCGCATGGGTAACTTGATGTCATACCAAAATAGTGCTTTTGTTTTTTGAGTTCTTGAATAGAACTTTTTTAGTAGAAACTATTCAAATGAAAATTTTTATATTATTGAGCTATTCATAATTTCAATCACCATAGTCCAAATTTAATCAATAGCATAACTAGCCTGAAATTTTTAATCAGACACACGTAAGCGGAAAAGGAAGCAGTATTCATGATGAAATATTGTTCATTTTCCAAGTATCACTTAATTAGACTTCCATATTGCAAGATAAAAAAATGCTGTCCAATATCGACCAATAATTCACAGTATTCCAGCACAAATTCTATAGAATTGAGATTAATGCTCATATAGATTGTTATTTGTGTATGTATGATTAATTTATAATGCTAACTTGGTGGGATTATTGTAGTCCATAACTGTCAACCGTTTTGTGGGATGTAACTAATTTTGTTCGCCTACTTTACATTAAGTTGTATAAAGGGATTGAAACCTATGGGCAGGGGGTATATTCACTTGGCTAACACAGACAGTCCCTGAACTCGTAATAGAACTAAAATAAGGAAAATCGGGATAAAATTATGGCCTAACCCTCACCTGGCACACACACCACGGGAGTACCCATTTTCTTAATATACCCAGCACAGTGCTTAATATTTATTTAGTTCTTGCCCCAGATGTAATATGTATTTCGTGCTGCTATACTTTTCCATGACGGTAGAAAATTATTCTCTGTATAAGTCCTTATTGAAAGGTACAGTTACCTCTTTGAATATCATATTAATACGTGAAATTTCAAGAAGGCAATTGATGTAATGATGGTAATATGCCAACGCTATCATTAAGGTATGTCAGGTATGTGACCTCATCACGTAAGAATACCAAGAGTAAAGGTATGCAAAATGTTTTTGATTGATGAACAATATGTTGTGCGCCAAGACGTTTATGAATTAGTGTGTAGCAATCTATACTGCTAATATTGTTGTGCATTTTTTTTCAAAATTGCATCATCTTGCTTTGAACATTAAAGACATTAAGTAATTGATCATGATTTATGTGACCCTGACTCAAGGAAATATTATTTGTTAAAATAGGTTCAGATTGAAATATATAAATAGTACAGAATTATACGACACTTCACATTATGTCCTGCCATCGTTTGAAGCGTTAAATGATTAGTTTTGTGAATGATTGTTTTATCATGATTTGAGTTAACTATTGAGTGACAGAAAACTCCCTACTGCTCAGTTTCATATTATTATCATTGATCATATGATCAGAGATTCAGAATCTTCGTCGTTGCTATGAGTCTAAAAAAAATGCGCACCAATGTCTATAAAGTTTTATGTCTTTTATGCGATATCACCACACCATTCAAAAGGTATTTGAGTAAGGTATTTTACAGCGTATTTTGTGAATTCAGGTGTCAGGTAATCGTAACTTTTGTAATATCTAACTAACATGATAGAGATAGTTGTTTTTCAATTTTTACTTGAATAGATAGTAGTTACAATAACACATTGTTTAGGCATTAGTGGTCTTCAACAAAATCGCATAGCCATATGATAAAGAAAAACAAAAACATTAGGCCATGTCTTATGATGGTGCAAGTAGGCTCACAAAGATATTTATTTACCGTAGTTGCCTTAGGCATTTTGTCTCCATGGTAAACGGACTTAGTTCAAAGTTTTGAACATTTACTCAGTAAAGAGGCTTTGTGAGTTGAAAAACTGCTGGATTATTTGCCTTTTTTTGTACCATGGTAATCGGATGACAAGCTGTCATGTAATTTGCCACCTATTTCCCACAAGTTGTGAGTAATGTACATGATTTATATGGGGCGTGTTATTTATCACTTTGTGTTTTTTCGAGAATGGTAAGTATCGCTATTGGGTATTTAAGTTTCATCGCAATTTGTCAACAGTGATTTTGTGGTTGTTAAAATATATTTAATGAAAAGTATTTTTGTCTTTCTTGTTTGTTGAAGCTAAACAGCTACAGTATGTGATATATGTGGTTGTAAAATGTATTATCGGCAGCATAAGTATTATGACAATGGTCTACGAATCGAGAAAAGTTGTAGAAGATTACGTCCTCTATAAAATTAAGAATCACATGCACTCAACTTCTAATGGTGATGTATCTGTCTCTGATCTCACTCAGCAAAGACTCACCGTTCATAACTATGCACATTTTCCTTTACCTCAAGATCCTCCGAGCGATATAAATTACGCTGTGCGAAAAGTTGCGAGCGAATATGAAAAACGTTACAGAGAAAAATATCCGGATATATTAGAAGGCATACGAGCAAATCATATATCTGCGGGGAATGTCGATAAAGTGTTCACTAACATAACAAAAGATTTATTTAAAATATCCAACGGTGGAGGAAAAAGGTCGGTGACATCAAGTCCCTCTGGGGGTAGGAAATCGAAATCTCCATCTCCAGCTCTTGTAGACCCAGACTCCATTGATGATAGTATTGAAGATGCAAATATCAATTGGAGTCACGTAATCGGACTGCTCGTATTTTCTGGAGTATTAGCAGTACGTTGCGTGGAAATAAATCAATATGGTCAAGTTGACGATATTGTAAACTGGGTATCTAGATTCCTTGATACCAGATTAAGACGTTGGCTACGACGCCAGGGTGGATGGGGTGGATTCGTTCAATGGTCTATAAAAGGTGGTGCTGTTGGAACCTCAGAATCGAATGAAATTGGGGCTGGTATGAGAACTGCTCTCAGAGTTGGCGGTGCAGTTGCAGCAGTAGCCCTTACTGCTATGATGATTTCTCGTAAATGAAGCATGTTATTTATATAATACGAATATTGTACCATTCTAGTTTTTAATGAAATCTTGGTTGTTTATACACTATTGAGCTGAAGTACAAATAATAATTGCAGTGTAAATTACTTCGCAAAACATCAGTAAATTATCATTATTTGTATTGCGCAAAACTGCCATTCATTTATCGGATTTCAATACAAACGCGTCATGTATATGTTTTTGTCAAAAGAAAAGGTTTGATTATATACATAACTGGATGTTTTGTATTGTTTATTGAGAGATTATATATTATTTCGATGTTTTTTTATAATTGCATTCCATATATGAGTGGAATAAAGTTGAAAATTAGATATATTTTTTGTTGTCACTTTATCCCGTCATATGACCCATCTTTTCACCTTCCGTCTGTACTTCTCATGTATGTATGATTGTTCTTTGTTCTGTATTTAATTTTTTTTTAAAGAAACAAGGATATGTAAAACTCGATTTAAAGTAAGCGTTATACTCTTCTATAGGTATTTGAATGTTGAGCCACCTTTCAGTTTTGCTTGGTTGTGACTGCATCAACACATAAAAGCATGGTATATTTGACTATATTTTTCTAGCTACATCTAATGCTATAAAGTCGATTGTATTCAAATATAATGAACACTGCAGAACACAGACAGTTAATCTTCACACTATCTATTATTTGGATTCAAGGTTGTTATAAACTCAGTAAAAGACAGTAAACTGCTGTTCTGTTTCAACATTTTTTTTTTAAATACTATATAACTTCAATTCCAAGTTACGGTGCTTTTAGGCTTACATTATTTTATTTCATTTCTTCTAAACAATGGGGCCGAAATGCATATCTCCAGCACTTCGTTTTATTTTATCATGTGCAATGTTAACCAACAATGGTAGCAATACTAACGAGAAAGTCATCATTCATGAAGTGTTTTTGTCATAACAAAGTAAACAATAAGATTGCTTTTGTTGGTTCGAATTCCATGATCTTTTTATTGAGTTGTATTTTCATGTTTGACTAAATCAAGGTGTGTTAGAAATTTGAATCTTGTGCTTATTAGACCATTGGACCAGACCTACTTTGCACATTTTGAACAGGAATAAAATTGGTGCATGAATTTAAAACTGAACGGCAGTGAAATTTTAACATGTGGAATTTGACATATAGTAGTTAAAATTAAATTTTCTATTTTGAAATTTCTATGTACTTTGCCTACTTGTGTTCTTTGATGAAATTCATGAATGAAAGTACTACTCGTATCTAATGGTATTCAATATTAAATACCATCTTGTTTTAGATCTAGAGTTGCATAATATGGTGAAGCTATTTTTTACCCACTTTCCTCCCGGGTGTGAGCTTTAAACAATGTTTTAGAATCCCATGTGAAATATTTTCGCTGGCCTTTAACTGGTCAAAGAAGTTCAGTCTTCTGTGCTCATTGAATATTTATTTGAGTTCATTTCTGTAAATTCTATTTTTGTTGCATCGTTTGGTTTGAAGTACATATCATGTTTTTATGTAGTACTTGAATTTTCTGTACATTGTAAATTTATTATATAAAGTATTTATTTCCCACTGGAAGCACTTACACCACATTTTCTTCATTTTACATTCTGGTCACTTTTCAAAGTACTTCCAGTGGATTTCTGTTGTGTCTTTCGTGATATTGATATCCTTATTATTATAAAATCTTCAACAAGACTGGAATGTGCTATTTGATACCATAGAACAAGGAGTGCAATACGCCATTGGAATGTAATAAATGGCGAGGTTGGAATGCTTGTACCATATGATCATCTGTTGTATATGATTCCTTATGGATATTATATTACTTCACGTACGTCCTGAAGTTATTATAAAGATACCCGCGGAGGAATCGTGATATAAATATAGCCCACAGACATCAATTGTAGGGTCGCTTGTCCACGTCGAGTTTGGCGGTCGATATTGCGGTGTCAGTGATAATATCAACTCTTCTATTTTGTGTTACGTTATCTATATCCACATAACTGGAAACTGGGTAATATGGGAATTTCATATCTGCGTGGGGTGGGTTCTATTTCTTTCGAGCCTGTCCCGAATCACCATTGTAGGTGAATGTTGCAGATGGGTGAACCAGTTAATAAAGGTCAAGAACGAGTTGGGAAAATCGAAAAGGCATGTTGCTTTTGGCCATGGCGAGATATGGTCCCTAGTTGAGAATCGCCAAATAATACTATATTCCCGTGCATACACCGGCAACAGCCCAATATGGTGTATATATAGATGCGCACGAAATGGAAAAAGTGCGTAGATCCCCGTATTTCACCATACATATTTTTTTTATTACAATCGGAAGCAACGACGGGCGCGGCAAAGAGTTTGCTTGACATATTAATTCTGAATGGCCCTACACACAATACACAGATTCTTTCTCACCACTCGACCGGCTTTTAAGCGCTGTTTATTCTTGAAGTGCTTGCCCAGGCTAGCCTAATTTAAACAATGCTTGTTTCATCTTACGTCCCAGTCGGCAACGTAATTTTGTGTTTCCGCGCTTTATACTATTCAATGCGAGCTTTGGGTTAATCCACTCGAGCGCATAACTCAAATACTTCTTCATGTAAAGCCGTTTCATCCTGTGAGTCGGGTTGAAAGAATGTATAGTGTTTTCTATGTGCGGTTGCGTGGGCGGTGGGTGAAATCTGCGTTGGAGTATGCCAAGTTGAATTCCAATTTCATCAAAGCCTTTGGTATAATATAAACCTTCCATGTGAAGTGAAGTGGATCACCGTAAAATATATCTAACGGTTCTCTCGACAATTTCATTATCAGAGCCAGTTTTCAATGGGCTGTTCGTGTTTAAACATTCATTGACACTCTCTGGAAAATTTCAAGATGTATATTACCCTGTAATGGCAAAAACCTACAGCCGAATACAGTAGTTGTATATTAGATAGATATACAGTAGGCTACTTCAAATTGAAGTTTTGGTGCTAAACTTAAAATGGATTCCTTCTTTATATCGTGACATGATAGTTACTCAAGTACCTCTGTATTTTACATGGTTTTATATGACTGTTACTTCCTGATCGCCAAAAATCCATCAAACTGATTCACTCATATCACTTTGCTTCTCATCGTTGACTTTTATTTGGAAGTAAAAGGGTTGAACCGTTTGTTTTTGAAGCATTGCATGGTCGCAAAGACTAATACAGACGACTGATCGATTTTTCTTGCATGCCAGAATTTTCTAAAGAATTGATTGAAACGAGGTGGCAAAAATCTACTTTGACGTTTACTAGTCTTGAAGATATCGATTTTTGTTGCCATTTTTTGATGTCCGGAAATAACAACGTTAAATGCCGTAGTCCAGTCCGAGCGGACATCGTAAAGAAATGACAAATGTTCCTAATTTTGATTATCGGCAAGGCCTTGACTGTCTTACGGAGCAGCAAGTCTGCTGAAAATATTTGTGGACGAGCGACGGAATAAACGATCACACTTGTAAAGATGAATTGGAATTGAACAGCATAAATTTGGTTGATATATCGTGTCCCATAGAATATAGAGGATAAACCTAGAGTAATAACCTACTAGTGTTTTACCCATACTGTACTTGAGTATTGAACATTCAAAATTTCGTCACGGAGAAAGGCAATTTTTTTCACGACAACTCTTAACTCCAAGAATTTAGAAAAACGATTCATAGGCACAATCCATGTTAATAACGAAGAATATTCTCGCCAATTATATCAGTAATCAATCAACCGTATCGATGTTGAATGAATTGGAGAATAAAGAAATAAAATGACCACCAAAGCCTCATAAATTGTTCTCAGGCGGAACTGTGATACCAAGGACATGGATTTATACACGGCTGAGCGTATATCGCGATCGGCGAAGCTGGGGTCGTCGAGGTATTAGTTTTAATTTAATGTATGTGGCTCCAAAATTAGGAAAATTCCCAATAAACGCCATCGGGCTACTCATTTCACATTTTGTTCCCATCTTTGTCAAATGATCGCTTTTTATAAATATGCCACCCACCTATGAATCAAAAAATGCAAAATATTTCCGTATAAAAAATTGCCATTGGTGATATGACTGACTATTCCAGCTATTATTCGGTGCTTTCCGCGTAGTCACGCGAGTTCGACGCTATTTTCCTCATGGTATTACATTCGATTCGATCACAGGATTACATGATGAGACGACACACGATTTATTCAGGATTGTTTGTGATAAATAGCGCATTCTTTTAGCTGCTCTTCGTCACGTTGGCGTCACTTCAAGGAAATTCAGCCAAGCTTGTTCTGTATTGCACGTAATTTTTTTATGAATCAAACAGTGAATTGAGTTCATCCAAAAGCATGTTGCAATTTTCTACTCATGTTGTATTTGTGGGAACCAACAAAACGAAACAACACAGTTTCGATTGCGCTACTCGATGCAGTTTCGCGTGATTGTTTTGACATAGATTAGAGAAACTCGTATCACATAAGGTAGGACCGCAAGCGCACTATTTTTGGTCGACTGCCTTCTCGATATAGCTTCAACACTTGAGGTAGTTTAAGCGGCGATATTGTTAATTAACTAGTAGCTGCAATGTAATTAACTCGTTTTTCTAAAAATTATTGCCCGAAAAATCTTTTCCGATAATAAATCGCAGTGTGCGGGGACAACACCATTAATGAAGTATACTCGACATGTACCTCAGGATCACGATTTTGGCCGTTAAACCAGAGTTAAAAACCAGCTGTACTCAAATCCCTAGCGGCGACTCCACAAATGGGTGTCAAGCCCAATTTTCACTGTGTAACTACTTTAATAACAGCGTTGAGCCTGAAATCCCAAGTCACGGGGCAGCGCGTCGTACCATCCGCTAAGAATGCGCATCTCTGATTACCCTGCGTGGATTTACATATTTATCCCGTGGGAGAGGGAAGCCAATAAAACGGCTTAATCATATGGCGTACCACTGCTGCGTGAGGATTGCTGGACTTCTCCCCGGTTGTTTGACTGTGGTTCATGCATCAGAAAAAATAACTAGTCCCACGCCCGGCATGGACTGGTAATAGGAGAAGCTGAGATTCGCCATGTTTAACCCATCTTATTGCATTTTCTCGGACAAATATAAAAATCCGATTTCGAACGGGAGTCATAACATGGATAAATACGAGTCCTGTATTTAAGTTATTTTGAAAATAAAACTTTGGTACCAACGTAATTTTAAGTTAATGCTGCATTTTTCTGCAACACAGATGTACGTGAAAATTCGCATTTTACCGAATTTATTGCTATTCGGAAGACTGGTCTCAAGTCAAATAAATCTCTGACGGAGTTATTTGAGTTTCAGATAGACATAACAACAACACATTGTTGACCACAATTTTATTACACATAACAATAATCAAAAGTCATACACATGAAACAAGACGGATTCCACAAAAGTATAAAAAAAGTCATGTAAGAACTTTATATCAATGAGACACCTAGTGATACGTTTTTCATCTCTCCAGCTTGGAGGCACCGTTATTGAATAGCCGTGGGAAATTTATTCCACAATGTTCTACAACAAAACTATTAAGAAAGGTATTTTGAGCTATTAAATCGGCATAGCAACAAAAAATTTGTTGTCAAGTTCGGTTAAAAAATTCGCTGTTTGTTGTGATTTCATTAATACTGTTTGAGAATAGAACTCTGTTGTCATTGCGCAACTACTTCTTGTGTGACTGACCAGTCCTTCGCAAATCAATTGGTGTGTCATCTTCTGATGTTGATTTTTTTCTATCGGGATCTAAAAAAATAGAAAATTAGATAAAGTTTTTGCAATTCATAACACAGAATCGCTAGTCAATTACAAACAACTACCTTACGCGACGCCCAATATTTTTATATTTGTATGGGGAAGAGAAAAGCTTAAAAGGCCGCAAAATCACACAGCGAGTCAGACCAGTTAATTGAAACATATGCATGAACAAAGAAAAGCTGAAACGAAAACCAGTGACATCTGGAGAGTTATCTGTGGCCATACTAGACCCAAACAGTAATCTTGAGCAAAAAACTATGCGTCACCAAATAAAAAGCTATTCATCTTTTTCCTACTCTGCTACCACAAAACAATGCAAAATGAGTAAAACGAATTCAAATACTTCTCACAAGATAAAAGATTTAACAGTAAGTCATGTTCATGGTATACCAGAGAGGGCTGCATAAAGTAACTAATTGATCTTTATATTGAGTAAATATTTGATTGAAAAAACTACCGTGACGTTCTTTCTTCCTGTTTTCATATTCTTTTTGTAACGAAGACGAATGTAATTGTTGATAGACTGATCTCAAACTGTCATCAAAATCACTTTGATTCGCAGAAGATGTTTTTCCTAGCGGAGGAGCCTGAAAAAAAACAAGATGAACAAATTTACTAAAAAGAGCCAGCTTCTGAAATTTTTCTGTTGACGAGAAATAGGTAATGCAGAAACCAACCAGATTACCATAAAACTGTATGATATATACTCCAAAAACTTCTATCGTTGGAATTTCGATAATTTAATCAAGGGGTCAATGTAAGAGAAATAATTGAAACCTAAAACTAGAGCTGCAAAAAAAAATGATTTAAGCCATGACCTAGTAGTGAAAAACTGGTTTATGTTCACTAAACGACCATCTTTGCATATGTTTTTTCAACCCCCATCCGGCTCCGTCATCCAAAGATTACGTCACTACGATCTCACAATCACATCAAAGAGCTTGCCAAAGTATAGCCACGATCGCCCAAAATGGCATCTTCGCCAATTACTAAGTATATAATCAAAATCTTAAAATTGACATGATTAAGCAAGTTACCATGGGTTGTTGTTGCAATGCTTCTTGTGCTCGAACAAATTTCTGAAATTCAGGATTATTTATATCAAATCCTATATTGGCCATCAATGAATTCTGAACTCCGAGTAACTCTTGTAACGCATTCAGATTTTCAGCATTCTAAATAAAGAAGAAAAATGATGAGATTGCTTTAAACAGATCTAAACTCATGCCACATCTGTCTGTCTAATATTAAAAATGATTTATTTTTCATAGTGTACAAGAATATATATATATATATAGAGCATGTAGTCGAAAAAATGTCTTACCTCCTGCTTTTCTAACTTTTTGTGCATTTTGAATCTCACAAAACCTTTTATCAGCTTAGCCATCTACTCGTTATTCTTTCGTTCATTTCTTATACTCAAATTGAAATTTAGACTAAGCCAATATAATGGTCAAAAATAAATACCTTACAGAAACGATGACCTTCCAAGCATTCTAATAGTTCCGACTTGCCATAATCTGCTTTTTTGTTTTTTAATTTGTGTATTAAAAAGGTAATGAAATAGTGATTCAGAGTAGAAAATGTCACACATCCTGCTTCTAAATTCTTGCACGCCTCTAAACCTCACAGGTATAATCATATCATGGGTCTGACTCACCAAACCTAGATCTTCCATTGCTTGCTATGTCTTCTTCTGGTCTAAAACTACCTGGTTTCTTTATTATATTTTATCGTCAAGTAGACTTAACGCCTGCATACATAGTGAAGATGAAATAACAGATTTTTCCAATCTTTCAACTGACGTACAGCTCAAAATGGTCAAAAAAATGAGTTTGTGAATTCAAATAAAACACTCAAACAATTATTTTTAAGTACTAGTTGACTAGTGCTCAAGTGCTAGACTTTTATCATACAAAATATGATGGAAATATTTGTGTGGAAATGTAACTGAATATGTCAATATAGTCATTTAGATTCTTGCTACAGTAACTCTGCAGTAAGTGTATCCAATTCTACCTCCATGTTACTTCCACTACCATACCATCCTTCTTTGTTTTCTCTAATTATATGAATAAACAGCTATGTATATACAGATTTGCACTTAACAACAAATGAAATTTACCTTTAACTTGGGGTATTCGTTTTCTAGAAATGCTGACATATGTGCAGGGTGGAATAAATCTGGCATAGCTGCAAGTTCAGGATTGGCATACATTCCATATAAAAGAGGGTTCATTGCGCCAGGCATTCCTAAACAATGGAAAAAGCGCAATTTTTGATTGTTACAAATTTTTATAGAAAATAATAAGTGCTGTTGCTCCAAACAAGTATTTATTTATAGTTTGGAAGCTACAAAAATTTGGAATTACCAGAGTCTCACTAAATTAGCATAATCAGCAAAATCGTTAATTAGCATTTGTTTCATAAAACTTCTGAAATATCTTTATTGAATACTGGTAGATAAAAGCAATAAGACAATGTATATTTTCCAATCTGCACTGTAAAATTTTACTTCTAAGGTACAAACAGGAATGGCCAAAATCAAATATTACACTATGAAAAAATATCGTCGAGTATGAACATTGAATACATTCTAAATACGGGGTAAATTCTTGTGTAAAATCACATAAATCATAATGTTGTCATGTTGATCATTTCTGAAAATGCCATGAAATTCATTGTTTTCTTTTGAGTGAAAATGTTCTAAATCATCCCTAAATCCAAAATTTACTAAATCGAATATTATGAATTTGGAATGTCTTCAAATATTCGATTTGTTTTGAACACCCCAGGGTACAAATATTTTGTACTTTATCGTACACAATCTAATTTAGAATATATCGGAGATTCTGAAATTTATTTTCAAAATCTATGCAAAATAATGAATATTTGCATTGACCATCCCCAAGTGCAGTCTTGCAGTTGGTTTTCAACCCGCTAATCCACATTTATTTCCAATAATTTCAATGGTTCCCGATTTATACCTGGGAAAAATGGAGACATATTCATTCCGCCAAATCCCAGTGCCGCTGTTTTGGGATCAAATTGAGCCATTGGTTGTTCAAATAATTGTTTTAATTGCTTCTGCGCATCTTTGCTTGTAGGTGGAGGGTATCCTCCAAACAGTGCGGCTAGACTCGCTGCATCAGCGGCATTCGGCATGCCTCCGAGTCCAAATAAAGCTGCTAAATTATCCGGACTAAACTGTGGCGTTGAACTCGTATTCGAACTTGACTTACTTGAGTGAGTGTGGTTCTGAATAGCAGAAGTAAATAAATAATACGAGATTTTTATATTGAGACTAAATTATACACATAATATACAGTGCGGCTAGACTCGCTGCATCAGCGGCATTCGGCATGCCTCCGAGTCCAAATAAAGCTGCTAAATTATCCGGACTAAACTGTGGCGTTGAACTCGTATTCGAACTTGACTTACTTGAGTGAGTGTGGTTCTGAATAGCAGAAGTAAATAAATAATACGAGATTTTTATATTGAGACTAAATTATACACATAATATACAGTATATATAGATAACTCGGTACTCCTGTAGTATGTGTACCGGGTTAGGGCATAATTTTATTTCGATTTTCCTTATTTTAGTTCTATTACGAGTTCAGGGACTGTCTGTGTTAGCTAATTTGTGAAAATCAAATTTGGATATGCAGAATAATTGAGATAAATATTGTTTCAATTAGTATTCTCTATTTTATTCTGTCAGAATTTAACAATTTTCGTCTATCATAAGATAATAATGTTTAAAAAGACATTCTTTAACGTTCTCTAATATTCTAAATTATTCCCAAAATCTAGAATTTTTTCCTAAATCATATATCACCAATTTCAAATGTATTTGAATCATTTTAGATATCACTGGTGTAACTGTAAACCATACAATATTTCGCTAGATTCGATAATGGGTAGGACTAAAATGTCAACCAACCTTATGTTTTTTATGATGAGATTGAGAACTAGAAGATGTTGATGAAGAAGATGATTGATGAAACATATTGCTAGAATCCTTTCCACCAGGATCAGGAATGAAAGGTGGTAAACCAGGAATCATTTGACTTGCTAGTAATGCAGCCATTTCTGAATCAAAAAGTGTATAATGTTACAATTTTTCTTTATTTATTTGGGAAGAAAGAGGGTTGATAATGATATGGCAGCTTAATAAGCATATAACAGTTACCAGTCAAAGTTGAGTTAATCGGTTAAATATTCAAAATGCATAGATTATGACAAACCGCAGCCACTAATCTGGTTACCAGCTGGAGTCGAACATTGGTAGGTATAGATTAGGGCTCTTCAAACTGGGCATACTGGCCCCACGGTGGGTCGCGAAAGGGTTCAATGCGGTTGCTGTAAAATCTTTTTTGACACTAAATTTAAGGTGAAACAAAATATAGATCAAATTTGAAAGATTTGCAACCAGTACTGAGACCCACCATCACTGGAATAGAATCAAGATTCAATCTATTGTGTGACAATATGCAAGCACTTCAGTCTCATTGAAGGTATTGTCTATTTAACTATTATTTTTTGAATTTTTACTGTAATATAAAATTTTTATTTATTTTTTTAGTTCGTGGGGGTCACGCGTGGGTTGTGATGAAAAAGTTTGAAGAATACTGGTATAGATACCAAATATTCACTACCTCTGTCGGTCTCAAAATATCCTGTTCTTGGTAAATACACAAGACTAATATCATATAACAAACAAATTTGCCCTAATCAAATTGTTGTTATAAAATACAGCAGTTTAGGCTATTTAATTTATAACATTGATAAGGCAAATAGTATATTCATACCAGACTATAATAAATTATAAAGATCAGAGCAAAATGAACTCAACGTACAATTAATACATCATCAAATGAATGTATTTGTATTATAAAGAGAAATGAAAACAATTTTGTTGCTGTAAACTCTTGACTTAATAATATGTATATCCTGATGATGACTATAGTAACAGTAGCACAGAAACTATGAATGAACGGATTAACCCTGTATATGACTCAAAAGATCAAAAAATCAACCAGCAACCTGTTAAACCAGGGTTAAGTAAATATACTGAAACCGGTAATTTCTTATGCGCAAACAAAGCCATCTGATATTTTTACACAAAATGGAATTTCCGTGTCTAAATATCATTTCCGTTGTAATATCGATTTTTAGTGCGTAATCATATAAAATTTTTGAAAATTACCCATTTGGTTAAATTTTAATTTTTTGTTATTATTAAATATAGCCATTATGTAATATAAAATAAAACAAAGTGTGAAAAATGTTTTTAGATTAGGAAAAGCACTATTTAATCATTGTACTAATTAATATACAGCGCTACGCCAAAACAGAACCCAGGTCATTTGGAACATATATTGGACAGAACTTTTGTGCGAAGCGTCCTATATAGCTTTAACTTTAGGGTACAATCGTACACAAACAGAAGTTCAAGCTATTTTAAATTTAAGAAATTTATGGGTTCTGTTTTTTTAGGAGTCACCCTGTTATTTTATGTAAAGTCCATTCACATTTTTCGCTCTCAAGGAATGCCACTGAACATTTATATACGATCAGTTCATGGATGATCATTGATTAAATTACCAGTTCATTTAAAGTAATATAAAACTAAATACAAATTATCCTTGGCCAATCATAAAAGTGTTTTACAACTGTTATTGAATGAAGGGGTACATTCATGTATTAGGGGAATTCAGCGAGAAAGTGATGTAATGTAAATTTGAGTAAGCTTGCGAGCATGTAAACATCCTATCATGAAACAGATAATGCATTGTTACGAATGTGAGAATAAGTAATGACGACATGATGATATATTTACCCACTTCATATAACATCAAACAGAGTGTTAGAGTGTATAAATTACGTCATATTGAATATAGCTTTATGATTCAAGGTCAATTTTATTAATAATAAATTGGTAATGGTAATAAAATAGCAATTTGATCATTTGGGTATATACTTTTATTTTAATTTTATATTAGATATATTTAAAAGATAATATACCAATATGGTCTGCCCAGACATTTAGTATGGCCCTTGTCAACACTCAGATTTTTCCCCATTAAGCATAAAATCCTAATCCGACAATTTATGTTTAAGAGGTGCTCTTATGGATAAAAATACATAATGCTTGACCAGTCAGTTAAGGGTTGCTACAATTTATGTCAAAGCTGATGCTGACAAAATATGCAAGAACTCAAAATTCAAACTGCCACAGTAAAATATTAAATGAATGAAATTTTGCACTGAGCATTTTTTATTTTGATGTGTACATGAAAAACCTAAAATTTTTTGTGTTGCCCAGTTAGATGTCCGAAGTTTGTTATAAGGCCCACTGACAAAAAACGTTGCACACCCCATTTGTAGAGGGTTCTTGAGCTGCCATGAGTCAGTAATTTGATATCTGGAACAGCTACACAGGATGTGTACTGACAATAAAGTACTGTGTTTCATGGGGTGTTTCAAAAATGTCGCAACACACTTGTCTCACGTGTTCGAATCTTATGAATCTATTTTACATGAATACTCTTACCTATTATATCTATCCTAACCAAGAATATAGCGAGATGGGTTTCATTACATTTGAACCCACGTACATTTGAACCCATGACAATTGCACCTGTATGCTATTGCACCTATGGAATTTTTTTTTGTTTCACGGATAGTTAAACCCATACTAACCCTAACCCATGGGTTTTAGCACCCGCATATAGATTGAACCCGTGGATATACGCATGGGTTCAAATGTACAGTCACCAGCGAGATGAATTGCACTTTTTATGCATACTTTCACCATTTGGCGATGCCCCACAATATATATACCCTAACTCAGAACAAGTGTGCTAAAAAGGGGACAAATGTGGAAAAAATGTGTGGTAAGTGGAACACAAATTTTTTTTAGACACCACTTGATAATTTGAAATGTATCTAGCGTGATTAGAAAAAATATATAATGATCTGTAAGTTCATATTCTTATCTATATCATTGCCAGATGATGCCTGAAACTGAAACAAAATTGGATGAGAAATGTATGCTAATCAACCAACCTGGTGAGTTTCCATATAAAGCATTCAATAATCCAGCGGAAGGATTTATCATCGATTGATTTATTAAACTTGCTTGATGACTGCTGATAGCTTGTTCTAAAGATCGGTCAAGTTGAGCTCTAGCGGATATTTCGTTTGTACGTTCTCTTTCTCGTTCACTCGTCCTATCACGTTCCCGATCACTGCGGTCTCGTTCACTAGAACGTTCACTATTTCTTTCTTTTTCATGTTCGGTATTTCTATCTCGTTTACGCTCTCTTGTTCTCTCTCCATCTCGTTCACGGTTTGATGACGACGATGAGGAGGATGAGTGAGTTTCAACAGGAGTTTTACGATGTTCTGAACTACCTGATTTTGAGGACTTCGATTTGCTTTCTACAGTCGAAGTAGGGTTCGAGGATGAAGTGTTATCGCTGCTACTCCCAGTAGTGGTTTGTTTTGTCGGTGACGATTCTTCGTTTAACTTCTGTCGTAGACTCTTGTAATCAACAACAAAGCCTAAAAAAGGATAAATTTTTGATAGTCTCATATCTGTTAGTATTTTAGGTTAAACCCTAAACCCTATGCTTATTACATGCTCATGTACTAACTAGGATAGAATTTTTTATATTTACCCTAGGTAGAGCAAATATGATAAGACAGCTTAAACATATGGAGAACCACAGCCAATGTACCAACCTCTGAGCAGGATTGAGTTGGTAGGTTGAGTAGGCAGAACCTGTATATTATGTTCAGTTCTTTCAAAAACAGCATCTCCTCGGGTATCAGTGTTTACGAATCAGATTCTTGTAAGAAGAAAAACGGATAACCAAGATTTTGGTTAAAAATTGCCTACCGAAAATCCTGATTGAGGTTGGGAGCATTACTGTTTTTTAATTTGAATTATATTGTATTTGAATTGAAAATGCATTTTAACCTGGGTGTTCTTTCAGCCAATCTGCAAGATCCTTATTCAAGGGAGCATCGTCACCTGTCAATTTCTTCTTTTCTGAAGGATTATAAACAGGAATTCTTGAATCAGGTGGAAGGACTGCAGGTGATATAAATCCTGATCTCGACTTTTGCATTTTCTAAACAAATTGAAAAAATAAAAATAAAAAAGAGAAACACACATAGAAGCACACAGACACACATTCAGATAACACATGAAAGATATTCCTTCAAATTATCTACCTTTTTTATAATACCCTTTTCCTCTTTCTTTTTAGAAATTGGGGAACCGAATATACTTGATAACTCGACTGCTTTATCAGGTTTGACGGGAACAAATTCTTCTTTCGAACGTTTAGGAGCAGGTTGTTCTGATTTTCCTTGCGGTGATAAACTCATTGCTTCACTTAATAAGGTCTTCTGCGGCAAATTTAATCTCGATAAATCTAAAAGATGATAAGTGATATGTTTGGGTTTCCACAAAACCAGCTACTTATTCTTCTTTTATACTGATGAACATATACGTGTGTAATCAGGCACGCAGCCAGGACTTTCAAAAGGATATGTATTTTTGCAATCTTGCAAAATCGTTATCGACGTTAGAAAAATCTCAAGATCTGATATAAAATCCTATAGAGTACCATTTAATTTAGTACAATAAAAATACATATAAAGTTGTCAGTAAATCAAAAATACATACTCATTGCCTCGAAATACAAGCGGAACGGCTTCTGAAACAGTCACGCCGATTATGCCATTTTAAAAAAAAATGGCTTTTTCAGTGATTTCGACCCCGAACCCCCCTCCCATGCATGCACCACTGCTGGTAACGCAAGGAGGCTGTAATATTAGTGGACGCCCATTTTTTTTATATGACATATTGATAAGCCTTTCTCTTTGAACAAAGCTTGGACAACCAGCCAGTAAGGGGATACTATAGTTTGAGTCTACCCAGTACTACACCATGGATGATGTTGTGGCTTGTGGGTATAGGATTTGAAAGCGTTTCAAGGCTATATCTATATTCACTAGGCTTCCACAACCACTAATTCTAAATTATCTATCCCAAATATTTCAACAGTACTGCGGCAAGAATTTGTGACAAGGTGTAGCAAGACACTTGAGTCATTTATGGAAGGATAAGTGTCACCTGCATTACATCTGTGTAAATCCTTTAGGTTGAATAAGAAAAGAATTTGAAAAATATAGTTTGTTTCCATAATGACATCATGGTAAATAAAAACTGCATGTTAAGTTTCAGACTTCTTACAACTATTTAACATCTGCATTAAGTGTGATAACAGTATATATGAATGCATGACAACCACCCTAATACCCCAACCATTTTTTTTCAGTTTCAACAACAATACCTAGTGCTAAAAATATGTACCGTAACAAGTCTTATAAATTTTCAATAAAAAAATACCTGATTGGAGTAACGTTTGTAACATTTCATTGAACTTCGTGTTAGAAAGACCAAGATTTAGCGATGGATCTGTATGTGATGATGACTTAGTATCAACCGGTGCTTCTTTTAGTAACGTTTGTAACATTTCATTGAATTTTGTATTTGAAAGTCCAAGGCTAAGAGACGGATCTGCGTGCGAAGATGATTTAGTATCATATGGTGATTCACCTTTCTTGAGAGACGAGAGTTTCTGAAATTAAAACAGATGCGTGTTTCAAGGATTTTGTTCAATTAAAAGCATACTAGAAAAGAGTGCTATATAAGTCAAATTATTATACTATGTAAAGGCGATGGCCTAATGGTTAAAATGTCAGACTTAACTAGATTAAACCGCAGGTTAAAATCCCGGGTTCAAATCCCATGCCCACCATCTCACCCATAGTGTAATGAGTTGGGGAGTCAATGCCAAACTGGAAAGGTTACGGTCCTTCGAAATCAGGGATGTGCTAAAGGCGGCCTTGCGGCCACAACCTGACAAGCCATTTGGTGTGGCCCTTGTCAACACTCCCTCTCCATCAAGCATAAAATCCTAACCAGACAGTTTATATCTCAAGGCGCTCACATGGGTTGAATTACGTAACGTTTTTTTGCTCTTGTCGCTATGTTGAACAGCAGATGTAGTCAGCTGACCAAGGAACATTTAACTAGTCAGTTAAAGGTTGCTATAACTTATGCTGATGTTAACGAGTCCCACTTGAACGTTAAATAAATAAAATTTTGCATTTGGAGAGTCTGATCACTCGGTTTACAATCATTAAATGACCATTATTTATGTGGAAAATAATATTCTACCAAATATTTAATACAAATGCAAAGGCATATAGAAGCACTTACCGGGTTTGGTATGATATCACCTTGTCCTTGTTTCTTTGGTTTGTAAGTATTTTTATTGCTGCCGTCTTCATTAAATTCCCTACTGCACAAAATAAAACGTTAAAATATAAGTTATGCCAACTTGAAAAACATGGTCAATACAAAAATATCAATAACAGAGTATTTTATAAATGGAGTAGGTGTCAATGCAGGAAGGTTCAAGTTTGATCGAATACTCAAATCAATTTGCAATTAATTATTGCTGGTAATTTAAATTCTTTATTTTGGGGTATAATTCAGAACACTGTCATTTCAAAAATAATCATTTCAAATGAGTCAAGTCTCACAAAATGATAAAAATTGCCTTTATTATGCATTTATTTTTGCGAGTTCTTTGCTGAACATGACATAATTTAGATTATATTTCGTATTCAAAAATATTATTTTAAAATGCATTTAGAATAATAGATCAATCAGTTTTAGCCATCACCACCATAAAGACACTCTAAAGACAGGGGAGATCACCCAAGACTAATCTCTCTGAAAAACCAAATCAAAAATCTTACTTTTGTGCAGCAATAATACTCAATATTTTTGAAGATGCTTCATCTAATAAATGTCCTTTCGAATCCAGAAGTAACTTGGGTTCACTCGCTGTAAAGAAAGCATGACAGATTTCAATTTAAATAATTAAATCCTGATAGAATCAAGTCAAATTTTGCTAGACATTGAGTGATATAATTGTCTCTTTTATAATGAAAGTTTGGAGACGAAAATTTAGATAATGGTAGAAAAAGTAATTGCATTTTTGGTTTTTAGATTGTAAGGGTGACCTCAAATAAGCAGAACTCATAAATTTCTTAATTACGTCCATGAAAATAAGAAGAATTTATTCAACACTTGAATTAACTATTAGTGTATGATTAAGTTATGTTCTTTCCAAAATATGTTCCAAATGATCCTGATTCTTTTTTTTTTTTTGGGGGGGGGGGGGGGGGGAGAAAAAAATAAATACCACTTGTGCTAGTTTTAGATGTTGGTTGTATGATTGCAGATGATGATGGTATAGTTGGCAAATTTTTCAAGAACGCCGCTTCTTCTTGTGCACGAGATACCGGCCATTTACCATTGATAATGCAGTAACAAATATGCTCGATTCGTTGTATTAAAATTCGGTCCTAAAATAAAACAAGACAGAAAATTGGCATCAAAAGTATTGATATAATCAATAACAATCGTTCTTTTTTAAAAATCGTGTTATTCAAAACAGCAAATCTGGTCTGACTCGATGCCACGTACTAAATTAGAGAAATATCACTTCAATTACAAGTTCCCAATTCTGCATTATCATATCACAGAGTTTAATCTTAACCAGCGACTGTAAAATCGGTCATGGTCGTTGGTCATAATCTTCATTGCTGTAAGACTAATTCACATTTTTGTGTGGACCAGGCCATATGTCTGAAGTTGGTTATATGGCCCACCGACGAAAAATATTGCACATCCCAGCCTTAAAATTTATATCTCAAAGTCAAATATAGAATTCATCTCACCTTGGGCCATTTCTGCATGTTATATATATGACTCATATAAAGTGGGTCATCTTCTTTCATGAGAGAACCAGCAGTTTGAAACATTAACAATCTAAAAAAGAGAAATGATGACAGATTAACAAATCAAATAACGAATTTGTCCTTCGACATTGCCTATTCACTTTATTATACCCTGTGTAAGGTGGTGAGCATAGGATTTGTGTGACCTGAGATGTCAACAGAATTAGGTCTGACAATTTACAGCTAGCTTTAGAAATTATTTATGAAATATAGCAAATTATACCTTTTATCGGTTTCACTTTTTTCACTGGTGTCATCCGATTTTTCATCTTTAGTTTCTGAAGACTCTTCATCACCTTTGAAAATCGTAAAGAAATATTATTAATCATCAAATATAGAAATTTTATGAATAAAAATTGATAACATAACAAAAATTGATAAACATACTCTTTTTCTTCTTTTCAGATATTGGAGCAGAATCAGGAGAATGATGACGTTTCCTGCAATGAATATCAAGTCAAAATCATCAATATGTCAAATTCATAAACAAACATAAGAAAATACTCTGTCTTTGTACTATTATATTTCAAAAAAACATACTTGAAGCAAGGACGCGCACACTGACTCAAAATTTAGGGATACCGACCTTTAAACAAAGTTATGGGTGAATACTGGAGTGTTAAAGTGTTACTGCGACACTACATAGAATTATGGAGCGACTCAGCGATTCTCGAAGGGGGTGATTTGCTGAGTGCGCCTCAAGAATTAACAGAATTGTGTCAAACATAACTAATATATGATTGAATAATTTATTATAAATGTTTTATCATTTCTCATTTTAAATGCTTTGTATATGGATCAATAAAAATCATTTACGTTTCAATGTTGTTCGTATTGTGTTACATAGCATATGCCTCCATTGTTACATAACAGTTACGGGGGCAGATATGGGAAAGAGGAGTTGACATTGCCTTTATTCTTTAGACATACATGTTTACAGGTACTCCCAAAGTATGTGGAACAAGATGACAAACACCGGAACATAGTATGTGTACCAGGTTAGGGATAGGCTATAATTTCAGGTACAAATACCACAGGAGTCACTTGGCTAGTCCCTGAACTTGTAATAGAACTAAAATAATGAAAATTGGAATAAAATTATGTCCGAACCCTAACCTGGTACACATATTACGTTCTGGTGTTCGCCATCTTGGTTCACATACTTCGGGAGTACCTGTTTACATACTTTAAAAAGTATAACATACACATTAACGATCACAAAGTTGATTTTTTATTCGAAGGCAGCAAAGAGTTTGCGAACCGCTGGCGCGAGTATCTATTGGAATGGTTCAAGACAAAATGATCAAGAAAACAGTTTACCTTCTCTTGTGAGAATATTGTTTCTGTTCATAATCATACATCGTCTTTAAAAACGATAATGTTGTATCGTTCAGAATATGAATTTCCGTTCTGGTAACACCATGTCTGGAAAAAAAAATTATAATTAATTTTTTATAATTAATTTTTTTGAGACGAAGAAGTTAGAACTACCAGTTACCACAACCTTATGCCCCAAAAGTGTATTCTATGATAACCAGAGTATTTGACCTCATTCAAAAGACATCATTTGAATATTTTGTTCAGGATATGAGACATTTAATTAAATTTTGTTTAATTTTTTTGGTTAAAGCCTTGTCCTGTCATTTTAAAAAATCCTAAAAATCAAACCGGATCAAACCTGTCCATTCCGATCAGAAGTTCTTTATCGTGATGACCTGGTTTCCACCAGACAGGTAGATCGATACTTCTTTCACATTTTTTCAAATTTTCTTCCAAGTGTTTGTTTTTAAGAACATCCAAACGAATTCGATTTAAGAGTTCAATTCGATACAAGGTTCTCGAAGCTCGTTCTTCTGTTACTTTCGTTACACTGATGTTCGCTACCTCTGTGAAATATTCATAAAGTTATGAAAGAGAAGCGATAACTGTGATACATAAGGCCCTGGGAGACTATCTTGATCAACAGATGACGAAGGAACCATGCAAACATGAATATTCCAATTTATTGAGACTGGTGGTTGGTGAACCATGGCCTCTCATAGACTGGTAATCGATTAGAGGCCGTGGTTAGCCATATGATTAAGTTGCCATATACTGTTATCGGCTTTTCTGTCCCTGGGGATAAATATATTAATCCTATCCTATTCTATTTGATAAAAGTATGACAGTAAATTGGACCATGATTGAAAATTTTACTGAAATTCCATTTTTATTAATTTTTTATACGACATATTTATATGTATTTCGCAAAGTCATACCTTTAGGAATTGGAGTTTTATGTCCGCAAGCTCTTTCACACATTGTTTTGAATGCAAGATAATACAGATCCAAGCTCTGGTCGCTCTTTTTATCAAGTTTAGCGAGTTGTCGAAATCGTGACCATGAAAATCCTTGTTTTGTATATTCGACACCAAACGTTGATACAGTTCGATAAAAATCTGCTTCTTCTCGTCTTGTCCAATGACTGTAAACGAAAATAACAATTAATTGTTTCCGAAAACGGGGTCGCCTATACGTGTCTAACGTGTATTTTTATAAATTCACCATATTGGGCCAGTTTTTAGAGTGTCTGCTTATATGCGAGAATATATGGTATAAAAAATTTCTAAGTATCTAAAAATCAAAAACTCTGTGAACATTCTATTACTTTCGAGTAAATAAACTGCTTAATATTAAAAAATCTTACGTTGTTTCTCTTGGTATTTCTCTCATTTTATTTTTGGGCGAATTTTGATCCATGTTCATCAGACGACTCCTGATTTGTTTGTGTTGTTTTTGGTAGCAAGAGATGATACGACGAAATCTCATGTTGAGATCTGTTGAAGATGGCCAAGCAAATGTCTGCACTTTCTTTTCTTCTTTCACTTCTGGGAATAAAAATACACCATGATGGACGTTGAATTCAAAACGCGAGCTTTCAACCAGACACTGTAAGTATATCAGCCAAAAAATTTTATTCTAAGAACTTCAGTTTTGTGGAATCCACTACCTCGAATCTATTTCATGACATGATCTGGTTAAGTCTCGTGTTGAACAGTACTTACTATCGTGCAATTCAACAATAGGATTTATTTATTATATGTACCCCTCTGAGGTACATATTCCCCAAGCGGTACATTTCAACTTTTCAATAGGCACATTAGAGTAAGACAGAGGATACTCTCTCTATAATTTCTAATCTAACGCAAACTATTTTTTATTTATCATCATAATTTGAAGAACTGGGTATAAAATCTATTCAGGAAGTCACATTTTCACCTCAGTAGAAGCTTCAACTACAGTAACTACAGAGTCTACTTTCGCAGTTTACATGATTTATTTTGCCCAATCACAGCACGCAAGATAAAACAGAATGAACAGAAAGTTTGGGAAACACTGATTTATAATCTCAGTAGCTCTTGGCACTCAAGTGGTTTCCTGTAACATTCAAATACCAATCTCCTATATTCCTGAGTGCCTCGAGAAAATTTCACTAAAAAAAAATATATATAACATCATTGGCTCGATGGTTAGATTCTTGTGCACTCTATAACACCGCAACCGGTGTGCCGCGGTGCACCGGTGTGGCGTGAGACGATGCACTGGAATTGCAATTTTTCTCTTTTTTACAAATTTTTTTATCCTTTTATTCTACTACTAGACTCTACTAACGTAAAGTTAACCTGCTTTTACGTTAGCTTGAGCGACACCAATTCAAATTCCTGACTTCCCCACTGTGCATTTGTGACGTAACAAGGAATAGGCCTATATGTCAAGCAGATATATTGTAAAGTCTATTGTCGAGGCTAAAACATAGCACGTGTAGTAATCGAATATAAATAAAACTTGAGCTTAACGAAAGAATTAACCCTGCGTATTCGAGGAGATTTCTTTGAAGTAAGAAATGACAGAACGCTAAGACTGAAATTCAGCGAAATTCCACTTGATGTGTTTAGGATTTCAATAAAAGAAAAATATAAGCACATTTCCAATGCAGCTATTGAAATATTGCTCCAGTTTTACACTACTTATGTGTGCGAACAAAGCTTTTCCTCTTTATTACTGATCAAAAACGATTAACGACCCTGTATAAAAGATGTTGACGACAAAATTCGAGTTGCTCTTTCACGTATTGTGCTCATTAAAACAACCACAAATCTCTCATTGAAATATGAACATAAAACAAAGTTACACTTTGTTTTTTTCGTTTGTTGTGGTGTGCAATCGAATTTGGCAAGATTTATAGGTGTGCAGCAAGTTTAAAAAGGTTGCGGAGCACTGCTCTATAACAGTTTAAAAACTATGGGGAACAACTATGTGAATAAAGAATATGTTGAACTGCGCACCACTAGAAGATGGTTTCTGTCAACTTTCAAGTCCACAGTCCACACATCTGGAACAATCAACTATTCACATTAGGCTATGTTTTGCCACATTTTAGTTGATATTCACGTAGCTGACATTACTTAAAAAAAATGATTCTATTTTCGAGTAATAGACAAAACACTTATAGAAATCTTATTTGAATTAATTTTTAAAATTTGGTATAGGACATGATTTGAAGAGGTATCCAATATGTTTAAACCTAAGAACACAAACCTTGCTTGATTTGTTCTTCCTCTTCAACTTTTTCTTCCTTCACATCTTCACTTTCATCATTTCCATTTTCCTCATCCTTTGTTTTCATGTCTTCTTCCTTTTCAGGTTCAGCCTTATCAGATTCAGCTTTTATCGCTTTACTATCTTCCTTTTCTGACTTTTCTGCATCATCGTCTTTCTCCTCTTTCTCATTTGGTTCGTCCGCATCTTCTTTCTCTGAAGGTTTTTTATCTTTTTCTTTTTCACTATTTTTAATATCCTTCGTTGATTCCTTTGTAGAATCGATAGAAGAAGCAGGAGATGCTGGAGCAGTAGCAGGAGTACCAGCTGGAGAATCCTGTTTATAAACAAAGAACAAAGCTTATGCCAAATGGTGTATGGCTAGATAACGTGCCCACATGGTATATTAATATGAAGCGCAGCTGGACCAAGTAGTAAAATGGATATAGCATAAACCCAGGCATAAATATAACATGAGGTTATATGCAACAGGATGTTAGGTCTTGGTGTTTAGAAGGTAATAAGAACAATAAAATATAAATAATTGTATGACAAAGTTTTTACAGTAAAAATTAAAAACTAGATGAAAGTAAACAAAACAAACCTCAAATTCAGAAAATTCACTGAAGTTTAATTTTGTTGGTTTGTACTCGGGATCCTCGGCATCTCTAATGAAATGAATAAAAGAAGATTTAAATTTGGAAATTCCAAGAAATTTAAAAAATATAAAAACTTAACCAAAACTGTGTTGTAAATGAGCTTTCAAGAAACACGAAAGCAATTCTTAAATATATAGATAACACGAAGATAGCGCATTGGTACTGGTGCAGTAAGGCTTTAGTTGTAAGGATTTGTGGACAAGCTTTACGAAATAGGTGTTCCCGAATTTTATAAAAAGTGTTCCCATGTTTCAAAATAAGATAGCAAAATTTTGGGTAAAATATCAGAATCAGTCTTATGGGAAATTTGAAAAAATAATCTTTGATAATTGGAAATTTGAAAAGGATGGGTCCATTCGTTGTAGATAAAGTGATTTTTTCCAACAACAACAATCGCCCCAACAATCAACGTCAACCCAACAAACAATGCAATGTGTTCAATAATAAAATCTTACTCATCTCCGCCATCATCCATGTCATCAGCCATTGATTTTTCATCTGGCATTCCAAATTTTACAAGAAAACAGAGTTTTGGATCAGCTCTGATCAAACTGTACTTTCCAAAACCTGTACAACATGATTAAGAAAAAAAAATAAAAAAAATGAGTAAAATGATGAATAAAGTATGTTTTATTTTTTTCACATAATTGCTTACACCTGAAGTGGGCAAAGTTTTTTTGCAAGAGACGCATTCAGAAAATCTTTTTTTGCAAAAGGCCGCATTGAGAAAAATACTCAATTTTTTCAAAAGAACATAACCAATAGTTACCTATATATTGTATATAATTTAATGTGGAAAATATCCCAAATTAAAGATTTGTTAGATGACAAAGTAAAAACATCAACTGACATTCATAATTAAAAAATAAAGCTGAATTTTGTGTGCAGTTGTAAGAAATTTAACAACTTTCTTTGAGAGCAGGGGGGGCGAACAAAACAATGCGGCAGGCGACAGTTTTCACATCCCTGGCTCAGACCAACAAGTTTGTTTAAATCTACTGCTTGCAAATTCAATATTTTTATGAACATAATAAATAAGCGACAATTTACCATGTTTATGAACACCAAACAGCAAGTTTTTATCGCATTCAAAATTCCATTCTGGTACGATAGCTTCAGGCTTCAGGTCAGGGAATTTCAACCTCAAGTTTCTGTACATGTAGGGAAAAAAGAAATTATTAGGAGTAAAAGTTACACAAAGAAAATGACAACCCCATAGTTTTAGCCTATTTTTGATAAACAGAGTGGATTATGGTTGAAAGTTGAAATTGTTCCTTGTTCATATTTGATATTCCACATTTGAAAATAGATTATTAGATTAAAATAGTATATTATTGGATTTGAACTATCTCTGTGTTGGCATCGCAGATTAAACACTCATGTTTACTGTAATAAATTGGGTGGACAATGCCGAACCGAAAAGATTCTGGTCCTTCAAAATAATAGTAGCTTCATACATATCGAATTATCGATATATCCCTGATTTTTATACATTTATATTTACATTACTTAACTTACTCTGAGGTCATTTCATTGATGTCTTCAGGTAACGAACAGAGTATCTCAGTCCTCAAGAAATATAACATTCTCACTCTGAGTAGAATCCTAAAAAATCAAGACATAAAGATAATACAGTATAATGGTTGACTACTTTTGTTGAAATAACTTATAACGAAACATAAAGCAGAGTGACCAATGAACAGTACAGTCATATTCAATGCAGTTCAGTGGGCCTAATGAGTCATTTTGCTAAATTATTGTTTTCTTGTTGCTGTTGTTGTAAAAAAATTCCTTTCCTCTTCAATTAATGAACCAATCGATATAACATTTTTGGTACTCAAAAATAAAAGTGGTAGGCTACAGTGGCTACAATGAATTTTTTTTGAATTTTGCTATGAGTGCAATATTTTACTCAAAATTTTGCTGGTTTTTCTGTAATCACAGGCATAAATACCCTCTTGAAATTGAGTACTATTATTTCAACAACTGAAAATTGACTGAAATTATGGCGCGTGCCTGAACAATATTTTTAATTTCGCTACGAGTGCAATATTTTACTCAAAATTTTGCTGTTTTTTTTGTAATTCACAGGCATAAATACCCTCTTGAAATTGAGTACTATTATTTCAACAACTGAAAATTGACTGAAATTATGGCGCTCCAGAAGTATGTGTACTAATATGGAGGTAACTAATTTTGTTCGACGACTTTACATCAAGTTGTGTAAAGGGATGGAAGCCTATGGCAGAGGGTATATTAACTTGGCTTACACGAACAGTCCCCGAACGCGTAATAGAACAAAAATAAGAAAAATCGAAACAAAATTATGGCCTAACCCTAATCTGGTACACATACTACGGGAGTACCGATAATTTAGCTGAAGTTGCAACATCCATATTGGATATTCAACCCCCATAATAGTGTCCATATACTTGAGTGATCACTATCTTGTTTTAAAATAATTTGCTCAAATCAAGGTCGCACATACTCACTCAGAACTATGAGACTCCTCTCTATGCAAAGTTATTCAAATACCAAAAATTCATTTTTAACAAATCATATCTTAAAAATAAAGTTTTACTAATACAGAACAGAATAGTAGACCATACTTATTACAATGATGTTGTAAATGCTTCTTGAAACTTTCTTCTTGTAAAACTGCATTCACATCGATTTCTTTAATCCATTCCTGCGCTATTTGATCATAACCAGAAGCATCTTTCGATTCCTCTTTAGCCGTGCGACCTTTACGACCTCTAGCGACTGGAGTGGTCAATCCTAAAAATAAACAATATAAGAATAAATAATCATATGAAATTAAACAAAAAAGCAATGCTGAGAAATATGGACATGATGGTTAAGTTACTAATATGGTGACCGCAAAGTTAGAAATACTCCAGTCAAGTGTTAAAATAATTGTATCAAATGTCAAATGAAGACGTGCCTGTGAAATATAAAGAAAAGGACAAGAAAGAAATTGAAAAACAATGAAAGTAAAAGCTTTCTTTCATTTCATACTGTATATTTAATATTTATTGCGGAGAAAAGCAATTTTTCTCACAATAAGAACATAAACAATGTATCAAAGCAGTCCTCGGTTTCTACTTAATGTACATCAATACAAAAACTATACAAATTGTTACCTTCCAAAGCTGAAACCAAATTTGCAGATGAACAATTTGCAGGTGTTATCAAATTCCACATGAAAGTCTAAACACAAACAAAATGTCATTGACATGCTAAGCTATCTATCAGTAGAGGTTATGTGAAACTAAATCTCAATCCTTTCACAATGCCTTTGCGTTAGTGGAATGCTAGGATGCTGTAGCAGGAATACAAATGACCATACTGTGCAATTCAAGAGTCCTGCTACATACTAACACAAATGAATTTCTGTAATGTTTCGTCTGATCAAAATCGGACTTCGAAGTCTTATTTTGGACTTTTGAATTGCATAGTGCGAACATGCTAAGCTATATTGATTTTGACATTGTGATTTTTGACCAGTAAGAGCAGCATGTGACTTCTGTGGTCTGCTTACAAATATAGGTTCAAGGTTCAAGTCTTACGAATACCTGTTATTTAAAATTAAAAATACAAAACAGATACAATTCTTTTTAGCATAAAATTGTCTAACTTAAAAAATAATTTTATCAAAAATGTGTAAAACGAATAATACAAACCCTGATTTTTTCATCTCCGGTGTAGAATTTAAGACAATACATTAATATAGCTCGACAAACTGTTTCTAGTTCTTTGTCTTTCATCTGAGCTGGAAAACCACCTTTCAACAACATGTGATTCCATCTTCCCCATCTTGAAAACAAAGTATGTTGGTAAGAAGTAGAAATATTATTAGTCTATTTTGGTAATGTATAAAAATTTGAAGGTACTCCCGTAGTATGTGTACCAGATTAGGGTTAGGACATAATTTTATTCTGATTTGCCTCATTTTAGTTCTATTACGAGTTCGGGAACTATCTGTATTAGCCAAGTAACTATTTTCCTGCCCGTGGGTTTCAGTCCCTTTACCTAACTTGATGTATAATAGGCGAACAAAATTAGTTACCTCCATTGAAAATAATATTTGTGAATTTATGGAGCATAGTCATGTGAGAAATTTGACCAAATCATTAAATTGAATTCAGAAAAGCAGAATAGCAGAGCATATTTTGCCTTAAATAATCTTTGTTGAATAAAATTTTTCGTCTTGCCAAAAGATATTCTGCTCAAAGTGCTTATGCTGATGAATGAAAATGGTAATAATCGAAATATGTCAAAAAACTAAGAATTTACTATATCAAATATAGCTAATTTCCATAAATGCCAGCAAAATGTGAAAAACATACCCAAATGCTAGCAAGCTCTTTTGAACTCTGAAATAATCCTTCTTTCCCCACGTTTTCATTTTTGACTTTTTCGATCTTTTCGATTGCATTTTGTCGTCGTAATCTGAATCGGAATCAGATCCTATCTCAGCAAGAACTTCAACATCTTCCGTCATTCCACCAAATCTTCTGGTTTGTTTACGTCGACGAGGTTCTTCAATAATTAACTTGTTCTAAAAAGCGTAATGATAATTGTTATGAATTATTTCATCAGACCAAAGTTGAAGTAGCCAGTAAAAAAATTGATATATTAATTAATTATTAACATTATTTCAATGTTGACTTCAATGTCAGACAAGAACAAAAACAAAAAATGGAGCTGGCAAGCTTATGGTGGTGTCCTCAACTCTGCAGGGATGGCCAATATCTAATACCAATTCACTATTTCGAATACATTCAAAATTATCATTTTTGAATATGACATACTGAATATATTCGAAAATAAAATCAAGTAATAGAACAACCCTAAGTAGATATTCAAGGCTAAAACCAGATCAGTAATCACCTATTGAATGCCCACTTTTGTACAGTTTTGCTATAATCAAAAATCAGCATCTTTAATTAAAACTTGTTCTTCATTGCCATTTTGTCTATTACTGGGCAGTGGTGAACAGTTTATATCTCTTTATTCAAAGAAATAAATAGAAACAAAAAGGGTGAGTGACAAAATTTGCTAAGTATGGGAATATTGGCATTGGCAACAAACATACATTCAATGATTACTTTTTAAATTAGATTAGACATATAAATATATATATATATATGTATTTTAACACATAATTTGGTGACTGACAACTTCACAAATATACCTTTTTGCATAACTATTTCGTTTTTTATTTAAGTATAACATTATACTATCACTCGTTCTAAGGTTCTTATATAAATAACTACCAAAATATGAACACACAATTGGAAAATGTAAAAAGCAGCATATTGAATTTGAACATACATTAGTCAGTCTGTCAATATCCAAATCGGCTTTCTTCGCCCATTTTTCCCAGAAATCGGGATCATTGAGAGAGATTTCAGATCCTTCCTCTCCAGAGATGAAACTTGCCTGAACAGAATAAACTCAAAATGAATATTCAGGAAATTTTACTTGAAACAAATTTATATCTGTAACTTTGTAGGGCTGTACCATAGTGGTTAATTAAAGCATTAGACCTAACTAATTCACAGAATAAAGGCTCTGTGAACACAAATGGCAACACTATCAAACTAATATACATGAATAGATCAAGACATCAAGTTACAAATAAATAAAAGTTTCAGTAAAATATGCATATGTAAGGTGTTTAATATTTCTAATAACTATTTCAAGACTCTTTCTTAGTTTCTTATAACAACGAACCTAAACTTTAAATTATCAGTACCACTGGGGTTTCCGAGGTGCCACCCAGGGTCGTTATTTGTAAAAAAGCTAAATTGGGAAAACAAGACGTGGACCAAATAACTAAATAATTTAAGATGACCGAAAACTTTCCGGTTCTGTTTTGCGGCTTTTGCCTATTCAATTTATTACACGCTAGGTAAGGCGGGATCATGGGATTCGAACCAGAGATGTGTAATCTCCGATGCTAACACAGTTAAGTCTAACTGCTATACCATCGCGCTTTTCTTGCTTGTACGGATCCTTGTTTGGAGTGTGATAATATATAAAAAGTGCTTTGCGAACTGACCTTTGAAAATGTTGACCCTTTCTCTCCAGGAGCAATAGTGATTGTATGAGTTCTCCTTGAAAGAATCTGGTCGATATCTTCTTCACAGAATTTCTTAGAATCCTCATCTTCATCCATGATGGCACCATATGCTCCTAACTTCAGTAGATTCTCAACTTCTTGTTTCGTGAGTGCAGGTGCTGCATTCTGCACAAAATTTACAAAACAAATATTAAAGTTGAATAAAGAAAAAAGAAAAATTACACTCAACCATACAATGTATGTTATATTTATTCAAGAAACGTAAAATGTCGGTTTCCTTATAAAACAAGAGTACTGTTTTTGAGGGTCAGCAATAAAGCATAAAGCACTCTTTATCCATACATTAGGTTTATAAGAAACACAATCTATTTTAGAGAAAATTTTTTTACCTGGTTAACTTCATCCTGTCTTCCACTGATCGACTGTAGAACAGCTTTGTCGAGTCCAAGCTTAAGATTAGCTTTGTCGAACATTTCTCTTTCATATGAATTTCTTGTGATCAGTCTATAGATTTTGACAGTTTTTTTCTGACCAATACGATGACATCTAGCTTGGGCCTATGAAAAGAGAAAACATGAAAATTTGTGATGTTGAGACTGTACTTCAAAAAGGTGTGTTTTGATTAGGATTAGGGCAAAATATAAGAAATTTTTTTTTATTCGCATGCACTTTTTCATGCCTGTTGGACCAAAGAAGGCCATATACCATTTCAACCGCGTTCCACAAAGCGACTGAAGGTGAGCTACAATGCTAGGCACAGAACTGAATTTACTTGTTCTTTGACAAGAATTCTGCTTGTTCTTCCAAGTTTCTTTGCTCTAGAAGGATATTTCGCAGGGTCTTTACACTTTATTGAGTATGAATTGCCAAACATAATGTGATTTGGAATTTAGCAATCACGAAGTTCACCAATACCACTATAAATACCACTGGAATGATAAACAGGGTCACTGATATTTAATGTGAGATGCTACTAATATATATATAGCAGTGTTTCTGGAAAACTTTTTAAGCTGTGGTCCCTTTTTAGAATTTGCAACGCCCCTCAAAATCTGTTTACAACACTGTTTGAGAGGGATTGGATACTTTCCAGTTCTTAATTGTCCAGCAAATTTTATTACACCTTTTGTGAGGCCGGGTGTTTGAACCGGAGATGTGCAATCTGTGATGCCAACAAAATTGATTCTAATGCTTCAACTGATAGGACACTCATTTAGCAATGAATTATAAGAATCTCAATATAATATTGTTATAAAAATTATTGTTTTTTTCTTGCAGTTTGATTTATTTGCATGAAGGAATTATCAGCTGAAGCAATCCACATTACGACAATCATCAATGCAAAAAAAGGACACATTTGCACAAAATAAATGCTAGTTTGGGAAAAATAAATAAGAATTATAATAAAGTATAATAAAATTCATATATATCTATATATTGCTACATGCAACCATACCTGCAAATCGTTTTGTGGATTCCAGTCTGAATCAAATATAATAACAGTATCTGCTGCTGTCAAGTTAATTCCAAGACCACCAGCTCTCGTACAAAGCAGAAACACAAATTTGTCCGAACCTAAACAACAAAAAAACAATACTAGGGGAACTTGGATATTGTGTATTGAACTGCAGGTCCTTTCTCCTTGATTACTTTCTACTTCGGATCCGTATGTGGCACTCACCACAATCCATACCACATCCACCATCCACCCACCACATCCATATCTAGTTATAGGAAACTCAATAATAGACCAAATTTATATGATCTTTTATATTTACAGTTATATCTTGTATTGTTTGAAGAAGTTAGACCATGATCTAACGAAAGCTCACAAATATGCTTACTATTTCGTTGAAAGAGATCATGTTATTTTTACTCAACAAAAAAACAGGTTCATTTATTCTGTGATTTGAAAAATGGAATAGTTACCTATGACAAAATACTGAAATACTCAAATTTTATTCAAAATTAGGAAGAAAATCGTGAAGTCTACCGTATAGCCTCGCATATAAGTCGAGTTTAAAACTCGAAAAAAAAAGCTGCCAAATTAAACTCCAATAATGGTTAGGGCTATCATTTTCATTAATTCTCTTATGCACCATTTGCTGTGATATGTGCGTACGACGTGTTACGATTTGTAGGGACGGTTTATATGAGAATTTTTATAAATTCACCATTCTCGGGCCCTTTTTAGGGGATCGGGTTATATGCGAGGATATATGGTAAGTTATAAATTTGTAATGTGTAAAAACTAGTCTCATTTTGCCTTCTAACTATTTTGTCGCAAACTAACTTACCAGGTTTACTATATCTATCAATTGCAGCTTGTCTGTCATTTCCTCTTATTCCTCCATCAATTCTTTCATATGGATATTGACTTTGTATCAAATAATCTTCCAAAATATCCAAACATTTCACCATTTGCGAAAACACAAGAACCTGTAGAAAAATAAAGGTTTCTTAATTTCAATAGAACAAGTTTGAAAAATGAGAAAAAATTTGAAAAATTGAACAAATGTTTCTTTTAATTATTTAGCTTTCCTATAGATTGTGTAATGGCAAGAATAATGTCACTCACCCTGTGTCCCCCAGACTTGAGTCTCGGAAGTAATTTATCGATTAAAACTAATTTTCCAGAACTTTGAATCATCGTTTGCAAGATGGATAATTCATGTCCTTTCTCTGATAATATTTTGTCTTCAGCACCTAAAAATGAGCAATATAAGGATGAGTATAACTCACTAAAGCAGAATTTCAATCAACCTGAATTATGCAATATGAGATTTTAGTCATCTTGTTTCAATGGATGGAATAAGCGTCAAAAGAATTTCTCAGGGGTAAAGGGTGGAGAAATGTCCATAAACTCTGGACTATGTGTAATTTTAGATATTATGGTTCAAGCCACATAGGATCCGGCAATACTAGAAGTAGGAACAAAGGTAGACAGTTCTTAACAAGACCTCACAACATGGCTTAGGAATGATTGTATCAAATTAGCGGGATACCCTGATAAGTTTTATTATTCGGACTTCGCTTGAGAAAGTCAAAAATCCATTCAAATAATACTATATCGAATATTTTTAAGTGGAAACGAAATAAATTTGAAACATTAGTAGAGATCATATATGTTTTGTGTCACAAGTTGCATACTGTGGAAATGTTTCGTTGATTTGAAAGCATTTTAAACTATGGTTGGGTATAAATGATCCAGTCTCAGTGATTTTAAAAAATAATTTTGTCTAGGCAAAGCAAATCTGTGATCTGTACATAATTTTTAAACAAAACTACCTTTGGTGCTCCCGAAGTATGCGAACCAAGATGGCGGACATCAGAACGTAACATGGGTAACTGGTTAGAGTTAGGCGATTATTTTTTTCCAATTTTTCCTTATTTCAGTCCTATTATCAGTTCGAAGACTAGCCAAGAGCCTCCCGTAGTATTTATACCTAGAATTATGGCCTAACCCTAACCTAGTACACATATTACATTCCGATGTCCGCCATCTTGGTTCGCATACTTCGGGAGCCCCCTACCTTTTATTAAATATGGATGATTGCAGCATTTCCTCAATTCCATCATCGTATTCATAAGATTAGGAATATTTCCAGTAACTGCTCCTTTCGATAAAAATTCAAAATTTCTTTCCATAATTGCTCTGGAATGATTGAATGCCATATTTTATAGAATATTACATCCTCAAATAAGATAATATATTTATTTACACATTGTTTTACATGAAATCAGAAAAGTAAAAATAGAATTGATGTTACCATATACATTCAAAATTGTCATGAGAATACCATATAGATAACTAGGAAATTGTTCTAGCGGCTAGCGCATTATTTTGGAGCCATGGATAATGAAACAGAAACTGGATATAAAATGAACCAATTCTTTCGAGTCATAGCTAGTCAAGGTCGAGGTGAAATCCTCAACTTTTTATATTGGAGCCATATTTTTAAGATGCAATTTTGACATAATTATGACTCTCATATTCCTAGTAGTAGTTATTGATGAAAAACGTTTCCTATTGTGTGTGAATGCTTGACAAACTATAAGTGATAGATTCTATGTTTTCAATCATTGATGTGCCTGAAGGACACATCACAATAAAAAATTCACATACAATTGAATATCTTCCAAATTCCAAGTATTCGAGATCCGATTCAAGTTGGAAAAATATTTAATTCAATTATGAAATCATAAGGTATTCGAGACTGCCCAGCCCTACTGCTAGCAACACATTTTTCCATTCAATATCTGACAATCTTATACAACCACTACATCATAGTCTTAAGAACTATCAAAATCTCAATGAAAGTATGTTTACTTGTCTTTCTCACTTGAATAGATCTATAAAAGCTATCATACATATCTTCATATCTCCCTGTCGAAAATTGTCTTCATCATTCCAAAATTTTTTAATGAAAAATGAACAAATATGGACTTTTTAAAACATAAAACTATTTTTCTCTATAGGCTATTTTCTATTCTTTGCTAAAATACACAATCTACTCTCTTTGATTGTACATTGATAATACAAAATATCTCCACATTGACCATATATATTCTACATTTTAATACAACTAAATAGTCTGCCATCTAATCCGCACTTGATCACATCGTAATATGAACTTGAATACAATCAAATACTAAAATGAATTTTAAACTTCTAACCTTGCGCTACAATAACTTTTCTAGACTTATCTCAGAGGAAGGTAGTAAAAAAATCACAAAAACCTAATCCAATCTTATCTATTTTCTTCTGATAAGTCGATTCCATTCTCTAAAATTATATGAACTGTATCTGCAACTGAAAGCATGTTACATTTTTAGAACATATGCTAAAAAGTATACTTTGGGTTAAAATGGGATACCTGTAATATTTCTTTTGCATGTTAGTTAATTCAACTTCAATAATTGTTTCTTCTTTTGGTGCGAGTGATTTTTCAACATCTTCCTTCAATCTCCTCAGCATCATCGGCTTCAGTAATTCTTGCAGTTTTTCAACCTAGAAATAAAACAAGATAGCAATGCTTAAATATAAGAATATAAACATTAAATGACTACCCTAATGTTAGCAAAATTCTAGACAAATGTTGGAAGGATAAGGGAGCAATGCCCAAATATATGGGCACAAAGACCAAAACGAAGTGGCTTCGAATCTTACAGTACCGGTAGTGTGACCACGAGATCGCTGAAATGCAATCACATATCCACAGCAGGATTTTTTTATTTTGATGACATCATCACACTAAATTATAAAGTGAAAAGCAAATTACATAGAGCCAACAGTAATTTTTCAAATAAAAAATAGTAAGAGCTTCCTAGCGACAATAACAATCTTTAACCACTGAAAATTTCAAAGTAGTTTCCAGTAGTTAGAGATTTTTCACAAAAAGATGTAAAAATACAAATGAAAAAACGATCCATAGATCATCTTCGTGCCAAATTTTGTGTCGGTGATTTATCAAAAACCAGCAAAATTTGAGGTGAAATATTGAAATTACTTAAAAAATGAAATGAACATAAAAAACAAATACATTGATTGGTTTTGATTTAGTTTTCAAGATGAAAAATCTCATACCTGTGAATTGTTTTTCAAATCTCCAAATTCAGCCATGAAAGCTTCTGATGAATCAAATACTTCTGGTTGTAGGAAATTTAACAAAGCAAAAAGTTCTTCTACGTTGTTTTGAAGTGGAGTACCAGTAAGTAGTACTTTGAAATCCTAAATAATGAAAATGAATATTAGAACCAATGAACAATATTTAATTTAATAACAGGTTAAACTGACAACTCAAACATCAAAATTGAATACCGTTTTTGGTACGTTTTCCCTCAAAAAAATTCAATTCAAAACATCACTGATAATTACAAATTTTTTAGGAAAATTTGTTCAACGCAAGGTCACTCGCACTCACTCAGAAACGAAGGAGACTCATATTTGAAAACTTACTCAAAGCAAGTTCACTCACACTCATGCAGAAGTAAAAGAGATTTATCTCTGAGAATTTGTTCAAAGTAAGGTAACTAGCACTCACTTGGAAGTGAAGAATACTCATATTTGAAAACTTACTCAAAGATAGTTCACTCGCACCCATCTGAGAGTAAAAGAGATTCATCTCTGAGAATTTGCTCAAAGCAACGTAAATAGCACTCACTTGGAAGTAAAGAAGACTCATATTAAAAACTTACTCAAATCAAGTTCGTTCACTCACACTCATCCAGAAGTAAAAAAGATTCAACTCTATTAGCTCAAAGCAGGGTAATTAGCACCCACTCATCATATGATACATACAAAAACACATATCTACAAAACCACAGAAAACCACTGAATGACGATTTGCATGAAAATTGAGGCAGTCAAGTCAATAAAACAGTGCAGTGAGCTCCACATAACATAAGTTCTTAAACAAAATCTGAAAATTTTTTCTAACAAATTGTTTATTTCAAAATCCTATTATTAAAATCAATAATGGAACATACTAAATGCATTGAACGAAGTGAGTCAGCAAGTTTACAAGCTTGATTTTTCAATCTGTGTGCTTCATCAATGATTGATCCTCTCCATTCAATTTCTTGCAAGTGAGAATTCTCAAGAACAATCATTTCATAGGTGGTAATAACAACATTCAATTTGTATCGACCAGGCATTTCTTCCAGCTAATAAAAAATATTTTTTTAGTAGAACGTCTATTTTTTAAATAACATTGCCCTACTGTCTGCATCCAGCTTTATTAACAAAACTCATGAGTTTATAAACTTAACTATAAAGTCGTATTCATATTCCTGCATCATTATTGCTTTTCCCTCAATATTTTATATCTTATCTCTTTTAAAAAAATTTGTCCATAGCAGGGGGATTGCATTTGACGCAAAAAAAAAACAGAATCAAAATCATTTGGAATATATTCTATAGAAAACATTACTTAGTGAAAAGCGTCCTAGATTAGGGGTGCACAACACCAGGCACGCGTGCCAAATTTGGCACGCCATACGCTCAAACATGGCACGCGAACGGTTTTGTGAACAAAATTTTTTTTATTTATGATATACATTAAAATATCACGTTTGGGTACGATCATAAACAAACAAAAGTTCAAGTGTTAAATAAATTTTCTTAATTTCATGAATACTATTAGAGTGAAATATTACACATAAAGGCAAGGAAACGAATACCCTAAAAAACTTACATTTTCATTTCTGCACAAGAATTCATAAGTCTTAATCATATCTCTACTTGTCTGACTTCCATGATAAACAACAGCGTTTATTTCAGTCCAGGTTGCAAATTCTCTTTGCCAGTTACATATTGTACTCAAAGGAGCAACAATAAGAAATGGTCCCTGAAAGAATACATTAAAAACATAGCATGAAAGTAATAAATCGAGTTCTTATCTGTGAGACTGTGATTCAGTTATTTATTGAGGTAAATAGATCTAAAGTGGATAATTGTTGGAGAATGGAATGTCTAGAACCGAAGACTCTTCCAAATACACTTTAAAAGAAGAGAGCAATGCTCAAATTGAATCAAATATATTGACACGAAAGCCAAAACGAAGTATTACAGTATGCAATTTGTCACAGAAGACGAACGATTCGTTTTTTACTTCGAATTTTCGTGTGATTGTGTGCTGTGGTTCCCTGATCACATCTCAGTGATCTGGCAGCCAGACTACCGGTTCTGTAGAAGATTTGATACTACTTCATTTTGGCCTTTGTTTCCATATACAGCAGGCCTGCCCAATATTTTTCGTCTCGCTGGCCACTTTCACGTGACGAAATCGGTCGCAGGCTGCAAACGTTGTACCAAACACTAATACCAGATAAGTCCTGATTTTGGTGTAGGTAATTTACATAATACGTAATAAAAGGCGAGTTTATTAACATGAAATCAATCAAATTAATAATTGCTTTCTGGTTACTGGGTAGGGCTGGCAAATTATTCGAATATTAGAATAGCGGTTTACTATTCGAATATCTGGTAAACGGGGCGTGGACATAACACTCTCGGGCGACCAAATCAAAGAATCAATCAATACACAACATACCGTAGTTGTATTTTTTTGGCGACCACGCAAGAAACACACACATCACGTCAAAGTTGAATGTTACATTTGCGTTATAGTGTTTTTATTCTTTTATTTTCAGTAGTGACGATACTGCTTTAATGTTTAAATGAACATAATGTGCGTCAATGTCGCGTCAATATCAAGTTTTAGTTGACCGTTACATAAAATTTGAAACACTAATACAAGTATTTACTGAAGTAACATAAAGAAGATTTCTGAACGTATAGTCGATATATATTGATTTGTGACTAATTAGTAGCAATGCCATTACGTCAATTTCAGAATTATTGACGAATAGGCAGTGATGACATGATGACTTTATAGTTCATCAAACAAAGTGCACAGTTTTGCGAGAAAAAAAAAAGAATGACGTTTATGTCCACCAGGGTGCAAGACTTGACACATACGTTGTAATAAAAAACCGGCATTTGAACGTAGATAGATGGCAGGAATAATTACACCAAAATCACGAAAGATACTTATGTATAGTAAAAATTTAAAAAGTCTGCTTATAAACTTCATAGGGCGGGCTCCAAAAAACACTCCGGCGGGCCGCGGGTTGGGCAGCCTTGCTATACAGGGTGTCCGAAAAGTTCCGCCCGATTTCATAGCATTACCAATTGCAAATATGAATAAATTTTGTTGTATGATAAATGGGAACAACAACATTCAACATCTATAACATCCAATTAGAAACAGGTTTACTATAAAAAGACTTTACAATCGGGCGAAACTTTTTGGACACCCTGTATTTGGGCATTGTTCTCTTGTTTTTATTTAAGTCAAACTGAACTGACAAACTTCATATAAACAATCCTTTTTTACCTCAATTCCGTGATCGTAAATTTTCTGTAAAAATGTTATGCTTTGTATAGTTTTTCCGAGTCCCATTTCATCAGCCAGAATACAATTTCTTCTGTTGTACCAGTTAAATAATAACCAGTTAATTCCTTCCAATTGGTAGTCTCTTAGTTCGTTATTATTACGGAATTTTCCATCTGCCGGTGTTAGTTTTCGGAATGTGTTTTTGTGAGGAATATTCTGTAATATAAAGTATGTTATTATTAGGTACACGAGTTTCAGAAATTCAAATAAACATCAATTGGAATTGATTCGAAGCAAGGTAACAAAAATACCAATTTGTAGCCTTGATGGCTAAAGGTGCTTCTCAACCTTTTTTGTAAAATTCCTCCCCGTTTGGGAAGCAGGGAATGAGACTTAAGTGTGTTGGCATCCCAGATTAAACACTTGTGTTCTAATCCCATGTCCTATACTCAGGGTGTAATAAATAAAATTCCTCCTTATTTTATCCTTAATTACTTATCGATCTTGATCGGTAAGTATGTTGATAGGTATTTGTTTGTTTGTTTGTCTGTCTGTTAAACACTTTCTTATGTTACGCAATATCTCACGAAAGCGAGGTTGAATCTGCTCCAAATTTTGCATGTGCATTCATCATATCTCGGACCAGACGCCTATTAATTTTGGATGAATTATGTCGTATAATTAGCGAGTTATTAATTCAAGGTAAATTAACTGTAAAAACGTTTCAATGTCAAAAAATGCAACAAGGATAGGAACTAAAGAGTAAACAAGTACTAACTGGAGTAATTTCTGGTGGTCTGTATTTACATCTCCTTTCAAATTCTTCAACTTTTTCAACCGGAATGTCAGTACCACTCTCCCATGTACTATCTTCATACGGCAAAGAACACCATTTGATGAAATAATGTTTTTCACCCTGATAAAAAATGTGGAAGAAAATATTTAAAAAGACAAATGCGCCCTTCTAGAGAAGAGATCTTCAAACTGGAGGTCCTAACCCCTACCCAATGGGTCGCGAGAGAGCTCAATTGAGGTCATGCCATGTTTTAAGAACATTTTTGAAGTATAGATAAGAAAATGTTTTAAACGGATGAAAAAAACAGAACTTGACGTGACCAATCTGAACATTACAAGCCTGAGTGGGCTGAGAAAATTTTATTCAGAGAAACAATGAAGTACACATCTCCCAGCCAGAACAAAACCAAACATAGACGAGTAATTATTTGTGACGGAACTATGATTACAAACATTGCAACATCAATAAAAACACGACATTCTTCAACTTTACAGCCTGGAATGTAGCTACTGCCTTACCAATAAGGGAGCAAAAGATATCACTTTATTCTCGAAATTGGTATTATATTCCCACGTTGTAAGGCTTATTTAACAAAACATAACGAATAGCCACACTTACCGGATGATCTGAATCACCATCCTCATTCTGAGCAACGTCCAATACTCTTTCTACTTCAACAAAGTCAGGATTAAATGCATCCTCTATATCACCCTTTTAAAATGAAAATATTTTTTGAAAAACTAAAATAAATATTAAAAAGACAACAATGCTAAAATATACGGGCACAAAAGTAAAACTACGCAACGCAAAATCGGGGATGAAATATGGAGCCCCATAGTTTGAAAAACAATGAAAGCGATATCCTTAGACCAGTGGTTCCCAACTTTGTCGTTAAATTTCTGCCTTCGACTATTTTGGAACATTTTATTCCTCCCTTACTATGCATAAAAACTATTTTATTTATACAATTTTTAATGGATCCTTTGCTAGTGTTATGCACAAGTTGCGTTTCACTTTAGTACAGTTTAGGTAGTTTATAATGTAGCCTACGGTATATATAAATATTCATTTTGCTTTCAATGGTTGCTGACAGATTTGAGGAAAAATTGAACGACGGAAAAAAGGTTATATACCTTCATATATTCAGGCATCTGAGCCATTTTTGTTTTATATCTTTTGATTTTGGCATCGACTCTTGTGTCCTGAAATTCATCCCTCGTTCTCCACTCACAATGTAAATAAGAACTACAAAAAAAAAGAGAGAAATATCGGTTAAGTTACCAAGTCTCGAAAGGAACATTTCTTACAAAACCAGTCACTGAGTACAACTTCTGCTGCAGACCCAAGTTTGTGAATAAATATTACTTACTAAGTTCAATCATATTCTTCATAAGAGAAGATTTCATATTGACTATATATGAATTAAAGTAATCATTGCCACTGTATTTTACGGACGATAAAGCCCACTCCAATTACCCTTTTTCTCAAAACTCCGATTGTGCGCCTTTATAGGCCAGTGCTCCTAATGTATGAATCAGGTAGTGCTTTATAGCCTATACTAAAACTGGTACCAGTAACGATTGAGTCTTACAGTCTGGCGCGCTTTATGTATGAAAAAAACAATCCAAGCAATTTATTGACAGTGCAGCATATGGTCCGTAAAATTAGGTCAATTGAGAAATAGTATTCGAATAGATACTACCCGTAAGCCGCTAATGAAAAAGGACAAAAACCTGCAAACCCAAAACCAACAGATGCAAATATAAATTTAACAAAACTCACTAATTTTTATATTTGACAAAATATTCTTCAACTTCATCATATTTATCCGGGTCAGTTACTTCTTCATTTCTACTAAATAATCGTTCCCTTGGTTTATTTTCTTGATTTTCTTTTGAGTTTGATTTTTGAGTTTGTTCCGAATCATCCTCATCTTTTGTATTTTCCTGTTTTTCATCAGTCTCCGGCGTCTCTTCTGCCTTTTCTTCCTTATCTTTATCGTCGGATTGTGGTTCTTCGGCTGGTTTTTCGTCCTTTTCTGATTGGTCAGTTTCCATTAATTCTTCTTCTTCTTCTGACTTATTTTCAGTCTCTTTCTTTTCATCATCAATGGGTTCGGCTTCAGTAACTGGTTTTTCAGTCGTTTCCTCCTTTTCTGTTTCTGTTATACAACATAGGGAAAATTATATAGTAGGCTTATAATTATAATAAGCTTTTTACAAGAAAATATATGCACAATTGATATAAATTATATGCCATTGTGTCAAACTTCTATACTGATAAACCGACATAAATGAATAGATAAAAAGAATGGTCACAATATTTACACAATAAAATAATATCTACTTCTGTTTGTGAAATCTAACTTGAAGAAAAAGTGAAGGATAGGATTTACATATTTATCCTGGGGGAGTGGGAAGACGATCAAAAGGCGAACATGTACTCTAGTCTGAATCAGCGAGATATAAATTGCTTAATTAACGAGAAATCGAAATGAATTACATTATTAATCTAATAATTTTGAGCCTATCTGCCAAGCGAAAAACATTGTATGTAAAAAAAATGAATATTATTTCAAATACATACCTTCTGTAATTTCCTTTTCAGGATTAGCTGTTATTTGCTTGGGAACTTTTCGCATTCTCATATCTAGAATTTTCTCCACTACTAATTTATCATCATTGTAATCCTCAGCCTAGAATAAGAAGAAATTTCAATAACAGGCAATGTACAAGCAGGCAGAGGTGGTATACGCGACTTTTTTACACCATCCATCACTCAGTACCAGGCTCAGCACAAGTGGCCGCTGATACATAAGAATCTACTATTTGTGGAAGGGGTGAAATCCTTTTGGTTTGTCATTGCCTACCCAATTCATTGCTGATGATCAATCATGGCACTTGGACACAAAATCATTAATCCGTGATACCAACGTAATCAAGTCTAGTGCTTTGGGCTTGACAACTTGTGCATTGAAGTCAATGCATTCAATTTACTGCTGTACCATTACGCAAACAACAGAAAATTGACAAACAGTTGAATCTATTGTACCTTGTAACCTGTTAATTGTCCTTTGATTGCTGTCATATTATCAACACCCTCAGCATCAGATAATTCATCAGATAATTGACCTTCGTAACTTTCTGTGTATTGTTTTCTTTTTACATTTCTAGAAGATCTTCGTTTCTAAATGGTAGGAGAATCATGAAAAGCAAGATGGTAATAGCCTGGCAACTACCGTATTTTACAAACCCCTTTCGCCGCACTTTAATTCCTTTTTTTTTTCTTAAAAATCAATTGTGCACTGTATAAGCTGGTGAATCTAATGTGCAGGTAGCGCTTAAGGCTTTATTACCCACACTCAAAACCTGTACTGTTAAAAACAGATGTGTCTTTTGACCAGTCTTATGTATGAATAAAACCCAATCTAAGCAATTTATGACGCCCTATAATATGGTTGGTGCACCTTATACAGGCACATACATTCAATATATTTCTTTTAATGTTTGGCCAAAATTTTGCTGACATTGTAATAGTCATTTAACCTTGGTGACCATATATGTTTGAGCACTGCTCTCTAATTCCTGTTAAATATTGACATCCTACTTACTTCTACATTGTCCATGACTGCTGAAGGCAATGGAAGATCGAAATCATCCATTTCATCCCCTTTCTTCTTCTTTTTCCTCTTCAGTTTAAAAGTAGCAGGAGGTCTATGAATATAAGATGATTAAAAGGCTAAAAATTTCTTTTTAGTATGTAAAGTATTTCAAGTTTATTAAATTGGTATAAGATTTTTTAGCATTCTTCAAACATTAATTTTGATGTGACAATTACCTTGAGGGAAACCTGTGCCAGAATCTCGATAGATGATAGGTATTTCTATATATAATTAGACTCCTCCACTCATAAATTTTGAACGAGCTATTGTCATTCAACTTATCTCAACGTCATATTTTGCAAAAGAAATTTAGAGGTAACAACTTATATGTGCTTTCGCTTACGCTAATTACTACAAAACGAACGTCTCACAACTGCCATTGTTACGACATACATCCATGGGCAGATAAAAAGAAATTTGAGCCTTATTTTTCAATGGATTAAAAATGATGTCGTTCGGAGGCCACCAAAAATGTCTTTCATGGCTTGATTTGTTTGGCCGCAGTTTGCCTACCAATGATCTAGAGGGTTTGTCATATGAAATTGGATATAAACCTACTCATAACAAAGAAGTATACATGAAAATAACATATAACATACTTCTTTTTCCTCTTTTCAGTAGACTTGGTTGGAGGAGGTTTTTCAGGAGCTATTGGTGTTCCATCGGGAGTAGTGACTGTTGGTGGTATAGCTGATATTGAATAAACAAAGATGCATTTAATATTTTCAGTTAATTTCATCACCAGACAGTTTATAAGAGGGGTCGGCTAAGTTTTCGGACTGAGGGCCAAAAATTTTGCCCATTTAGACTAGCGGACCATGTAAGTATGGAGTAGACGTTCCATTTTATGGACAATTTTTACAGTGTTACAAAAGCAAAAGTGGGAAACGATAGGCCTCGTGCCAAAACTCAATTTGATCGCAATCCCAACAAAATTCCCTGAGCTATTTTTTGCTAAAACAGCAAAATTTGGTTGTGACAGCATCAGGCGGGCCAGATTGAATTACCCAATGGGGCGGATTTGACCCGCAGGCCGTAGTTTGCCCATTTCTGGTTTATAATCATAATCGGAATGTTGCAAAATACCTGATTTAGCAGAAGTCTTTGGTGTCTTCTTCTCAGACGGTTCCTTCTTTTTTCTTTCTTTTCTAGGTTTCGATGTACCATCACCATCCTTTGCTTTCGATTTTCTAGGAGTCCTAGCAGGTTTCGCACCTGCTTCTAATGGTTTTCCACCTGCTTCACCAGGACCTTGAGGTCTCTGATCCGGTCCCATTGGCTTCATTGGGCCATGCCAGCCAGGAGGTATATTTCCATCAGGATGATAAGGATAGGAATGCATTGGTCTTGGAGACGGCCCACAAAATTGTTGCGGCATATGCTGTGGTCGAGGAATTGTTGAACCAGGGGGCTATTAAAAAAAATTAAAATTACATAATGTGTTGTACTTCGTCATCAAAGTCAGAGACTGGGGAGAGTGAATTCATCCAAAATATACATCTCACTTGGATTGGTAACCAGACAAAGCCAATAGTTAGCTATATTAGCTTTAGGGATATATTAGCAATATTAGCATTAATGGCTTCGCTGCTATTGTAAATGCGAATAAAATAATAATATTTTTAAAATATGAGGATTGAAAATTTAGACATTAGGAAATATTTTTTTGTTGAACAAATTTTGAAATTTGAGAGCTTTAACCCAAAATGACAAAAATTTAAAAAAAATCGCCTTAAGAAAATTTGGAGAATGCATATTATTAATTTTTAAATTCCTGTAACTTTTTACTGGTTCATCACAATAAAGTTAGAAATTCAAGGAAAATTTTTTTGCAATTACGCAGTTAACAGAACTCGACTGCTTGAAGATATGTACATTATTCGACATCATAAAAATTACCTGATTTTATCCAGACCTAGAGTTGAAAGAAGTAGATATTATACAAACCTGCATTCTATACTCAGGTCTTTGTGCATAATAAGGTCCACCCTGAGGTCCATACTGTTGACCATAGTTTGGTTGTCCTTGATATCTGTATGCTTCTTGCCCAGGTCCACCGGGAAAACCTGGCCTTTGGTATGCTTGTGGCATTCTATGTGGTCCAGGTGGCATACCACCATGCTGTGATGCAGGATACATATTCTGTCCAGGAAGGCGAACTCCAGGTTGTGGAGGGCGACCTTGTTGATAACCTTGCGGTGGAAGACCAGGACCTTGGGGGAGACCAGGACCTTGAGGTCGACCACCCACCAGAGGGACGCCTCGTTGTGGTGAATGATGGATATTTTGACCAGCATATCTAGGAAATGGTTGTCTTGCGTGAGCTCCTTGCGGAGGCATTGAATGCTGTGTAGGAGGGTAAGGACCGTTAGCTGCATTTTGAGACTGTTGAGGAGCCTGCATCATGCTTTGTGGATGGGGAGCTGTGGATGATTGGACTTGTGCGCCAGGCATAAGTGGAGCATCTCTTCGTGGAGATGAGAAACCACCATAAGGATGGGTTGAAGTTGTGCCTGGCTGAGATATTGCAGCACCAGGCATTCTAGCCGGAAATCTCTGAGCAGGAAAGTTGGGCCCAGGAGCAGTTGGTTTAGACTGGGACGTTAGTGGTCCATCAATGGCTGGAGATTGTAGAGCCTTTTGTGTGAGTGGTGCCTGTGAAACAGCAGTTGAAACTAGCTTTGTGTCAGTTTTCTGGTCAGATGCTAGTTGGGATACAATGTCAGGAGTGTCAGATGCTTGTTGTTGATCACCATTTTGTGTTTCTATGCTTGTTTGATCTCCTGTTTTCATTTCAGAATCTGGCTGAGGTTCAATGGTGCCAGAACCCGTAACATTAGATCCAATTTGTCCTGGAATCTGCACTTTGTCTTGAGATCCAGAGACAGGTGTTGACTGTTCCTGCGGTGGCATAACATTCTGTTGAGATGACATTGCGGCCATTCCTTCAGAATCATTTATATTAGGAATAGGAATGGATGAAGTTGTTTTTACATTTTGCGGCAAATTGGTGGCCGGTGGCGAACACATAGCGATATCTTGTGATTGAGATTGATTAACATTTTCTAATTGAACTTGCAGAGGTGGTACGGCAACAGACGGAATTATTCCTGTAGCTTGATCCCCATCTTGTGTTGGTGGAAACGAGGCTTGGGGTTGGGAAATTCCGCCAGAATTTATATTTTGTGATGGATCAGGCATGTTACGAACAGGAATAGGTGGAGAGAAAGGATCCGATTTTGGCAAACTTTGTTCAACGTTATGAATTGTCTGAAGAGGGACTTGAATGGGTGGAGACTGGAGTGGTGCAGGAGGCATACCATGTTGGACATTTTGGTTTGTATCTTTCATTGGTCGAGGCGCTCCGGACATAGCATGTGAGGGAAAAACAGTCCCAGGAATAGATGATGGAATTTGCGGTTGGCCGACAACGGGTGATGTCTTTCTATGCATTATGTTCATGGAATGTGGAGGAGGAGATGTCATATTATGTGGGGGCGATGACATGGGTACTCTTTGAGGAGATCTGCCAAAATTAGGTGGGTTTTGATATGATGTACCATACTGGGGCCGAGGGGACATCATTGACGAAACTCTATTCGGCGACGGATCTCTGAAACCACCCTGACTCGTCTGATATGCGTTTGGCTTGGAGCCCATCATAGGCACGTTAGGCTGTGGTGATCGTCCAACATTCTGATAGATTCCAGGGCCTTGTTGAGGGCCAGGGCTACCCATGGGCACACGCTGAGGAGAGAGCATTACATTTGCTTGGCCCATAGAAGACTGAGGACTGAGTAGCTGCGACTCTTGTCCAGGCATGGGCATTGTATTCGGCTGCGGTTGACGGACATTTTGTGAATACATATTAGACATCCCTGGAACCATAGATCCAGAGTTACCAGACATGATGCGCTGTCGTGACTGGGGCATATTTTGTGGCATATTAGTGTTCTTAGCTAACCCCATAGCTCCTGCCTGTTGCTGCATTGCAGCATTGGTTTGCATGCCAGGCATCGCAGACTGCATATTTTGCCTCATAAATTGAGCAGATTGATTTTGCTGAGCCATATTCATAGTTCGATTGTTTGGATTGGGAATGGCAGAAGCATTCACTGAATTGGCACCTACTTGAGAACTTGCATTTCCTGGGACGTCATCTTCCAATTGCTGCAATAGACTCCCCCCAGCACTCACAGGATCATCTAACAAACTGTCAAGATTAAAATTTTCAGAATAACCTTGTTTTACATTAGGTGCTGACATATGCATTTGTCCTTGCTGTGGCATTGAAGTAGACAAATTAGGCGTCGCACGCACACCAGATCCTTCGAAAGAGGTGTGACGACTTCCAGGGCGGGGTGCATAACCTGGCATATTATTCATAGGAACTTGGGGTCTATTCGTAGAATCTTGAACCATTCCTCTCATTGGAGAAGCTGACTTCGCAGTTGGAGACATCATGGCAGGGTTGCTACTAGGATTCGGATAACGATTTGGATGACCGTATGCCATAGCATTCGTTGTAGTTTGATAATTGCCTTGATATTGAGCAGATTGAGGATTTGCTTGTGCATATGATTGTTGAGATGCTAGTCTGTTTCCATATTGTGCCTGACCATATCCAGGATATCTATGCTGCCCTTGGACTGCAGAGTGAGGATAATTATATTCTACTCCAGGCTGATGGGGATGTGATTGTCTGATTTGGTCACCCCTGCCAGCCATTTGCATTTGCTAAAAACAGAAAAATTGTATTGCTTGTAAAAATTGTAAAGCGTCATAGATTACTGAAACTTTTAAATACAATCTAACACAACCATGAAATTGAAGCGTTAAATAATTGTTTTTCATTTTTCTAATTCTTTTGTTATTTTTTGATCATTGTAAAGAGGCTCAATAACATAAAATAAATTCCAAGAACTGTACCACGTAAAAAAGAATATTGTTATTTTTCCTTGAGTTGGACAAAAAACAACTATGAATACAGTATTATAAGGAACTGATGTGGAGATTTAGACAAATACTTCCAAAATCCTTAATGAAACTTACCATTTGTGAAGCATACTGCTGTGGCACGTGTCGCTTTGTCCCATCGTAACCCATTTCAGCTATAAAATTGAAAAATATTATTAATGGAATAGATAATTAACGTTTTTTTTAAATTTTGATAACGGAACCAAACGAATTTGTAAGGATGAAATTGAAAATATGTATTTTTTATCCTGCTTGTAAAAAATATTTTTAGTTCATTTTCTGAAATTTATGTTATTTTAGCATGACATTTTAGTGATAATAACTGATCAAAAATACAAAATGCAATCATTCGTACTAGTACAATAAAGCATGATCAAAAAACTTGCAAATTGAGCTTCATGCATATAATATAGGAATGCATTTTGCACAATGGATTTATCAAAATATGGATGTTAAATAATCTGACAACAAACAAGATACAAGATGTTTACAAAGTCTTGTTACAATTATAATATTGTTATGAAGTCAGTATATCCCTTAACCAGGTTTATTTTATTTTAATCAGAGTTAATTCAAGTTTTCACTTCATTTGATATCTTTATATGCCCTCAATTAGTTGCAAGATTTGACTAGACTTTGAAATTTATAACCAATCTGTACTAAATTTAAACTGATAATTTTAATACGTCACGATAGAGCCGATACTAAATATGATATGACCACAGTTATTTCTATACTAAGTGTCAAATAAAACTTATATATTAGTCTATGTGAAATTCAAATCTCATGACTTCCAGCCGCCTAATCAATAACTTGTTACTGTAAACTTCAAAATAGGAAATGCTATGGATATGCTTGGTGTATCCAATTGCTCAATATAATATGTTAATGTTCAAAACAACAATGGGCTCAATTATATCAATTCATATGCTCATTCATTGTAATTGAGTCAGGAAGATATAAATTCAAATACCGGTATGTTCAATATGGCATATTAAATTTGAAATATCAAGTATATATCTTGGCCTTGGGAAGCATGATTTTGGCCACGAGTCGAACAGCATGAATTGATATATCTCTTTAATGAAAATTGAATGAACGGAAGTATAAATAAGATTGTTTGATAGTTTTTCTAAATCTATATATTGTTGAATAAAACACTATGAATATAAGTATATATTTAATTGCTCAATTTTAGGACTAAAAATATTCACTCATTCCAAACATTCGGTGCGTTTCAGTCATTAACCATTGGGAATAGATTCATAGTCAAATAATTTAGGTATATCTATATAATGTTGAATAAAACACTATCTGTCTATCTAGTCGCGCAATTTTAGGACTAAAAATATTCACTCATTTTATTAAACATTTTTATTTTTTTCAATATCTCAAATTTTATTATGATTAGGGCATTACTGACTTTATTTCAATACATTGCTAGTGCTGCCAATGCCTTCATAACTTTTCTATCATGCATGGATGTAATACAGATTTGGTGCTTCATCCTATATAGTCTTGATATCTTAATTATTAATTCTGTTTTGTCAATTAACAAATCATTGAAAGATTACAGATTCCTTGAAAAAAAGCCGAATATGAAGAAAAAAAAAATCACCTGACGCCATACTTTGTTGTTGATATGTTCCCTGCATTTGGGCAGCCCTGTCTTGTCCTCTCATCATGTTTCCATCAGGAAATGATCTAGAAGCGTTCGCTGGGTCTGTTTGCGCTTGTGGATATTGTCCACCTGGATATGATTGTCCAGCATTCTTGTAGTAACCTGGGTGCATTTTCGCTGAATCAAAGTTCCCATAAGGACTAATTCCTCGAACTTGGCTTTCCCAAGGATTTCGTACGGCCATTCCTGGTGTCTGCATGCGTGGCGGGGAGGTGAAATTGGAGCTGTCCAGTCTTCTTTCCATACTATAACCATATGTGTTTGGTCTTTCACCGTAAGTTTGTGGCCTGAAGGATTGTGCAGAATCAGATGCATATTGCTGCATTTGTTGTGGATAGGTACTGTTCTGTGGTTGTTGTTGTTGATTCCAGTTACCCTGGCCACTCATTCCATGATACATAGTGGCATTTATATACAGCTTACACTATTTTACAAACTTATTAAATAATGATTTCAAACACTTCCTAACTACATTACTTATATTACTACAAAAATATGTAAGTCTTCTTTTCCAAACTGCAAATACCAAAATACAGGAAACAGACATTGCAAAAAAACAAAATTTTATTCTTATAATCAGAGCAAAATTGATAGATTACAAAATGATTTTTCCATAATTCGAAAATTTGAGCCGGCCGAATTATCAAATTATAAAATTTGTGACATCAGATTAGTATAAGTTTTAACACTTTTTTGTTTGTTACCCTGACCATGAGGTGTCATTAAATGGATAATAATACACACCTAACCTACATTAGAATTTATGGGACATTTAAGAACAGTTGGGATTGCACAGGTGACGACAAGCGCAATAGCAATGCGGTAAATGAAGTGTGGACAAGATACAACACTGACTATGACCAAATACAGAAATATGAATAATCAGATAACAAGAGCCTAAATTCCTAACTGGGCACAATTTTCCAGCAAATTTTATGCATAAAAGGTCTATCATTGATATATGAATAATAATAATAAAATTAGAACTTTCAAACATGAAACATCTGTCATTATTCGATAACCAGTATTAGTTTAACACGCCTCTCTTCACCCTGCCATATCCACATTTCTTCATTACATATAAAGTGTATTTTCAGTATAGTGAAAAAATTAAATACTATCTTACCGGTATTTCAGAAACAGTTTCAATTTTAAAATCATTAGGAACTAGTAATGTTATCATCGACGATTTTTTTATAAAATTGTAAACTGTTTTTTGACCTCATTGATTAAGTAAGACAATATGTTCATGAATGTGATCCTGGTATATATTATTTATCTATACTTGGATCGAACAAAATATAGAAATATGACAAAGATATTACACTGTAACACCAGAACACTTTCTTTATCTGAAAGGAAATTTTCCAGGTGGCGTCATGCATCAAATTTACTTCCGGGGCAAAGTGTAAAGTCTTCTCTGAATTCAGAAATTTAGCAAAAAATGATCTGTGTGAGGTTAACGCAACTAAAATCTCAATATTTTTACAGAATCTACAAAGCAGAATTTTAGGTTTTACTTAAATCTCGTACAAAATCATTCAATTACTCTAACAGCTTAATAAATTATGTACATTCACATTTCACACTTTGTTAATGTCTTTTACCGAATGATTATATTTTGAAGAGAATAACATAAGTAGGAGCGAAGCCTGCATTGTATAGCAAGCAGTAATTTTTTAGAAAAATTTAGTTTTTTTGACAAAATATCAATTAGACTATGCAACATTCAACATGTTGAGAATAGATTTACACACAACAGCATTTTTTCGTCAAGATGGGTTGCTGAAACAGGTCTAATCAACTTTCAGTATAACCTAACCCCATCCAAATTCAAAACCGGAAGACTGCAGGAATTGAGACAGACTTCAATTCCCAGATTCCAGAATTCAGCGATCTCAAAAAAGCTGAAAAGTATGAAATTCTGGAAACTACACACTCATGCCCCAATGATTCGCAGCAATTTTATTTAAGTTTTAGATTTGACTTGGGTATAATGACAAGCCTGCAAGCCGTGACAAATCAAAATTCAGAAATATAAAATAATAAATGAACAACGATAGCCTACCGTACCCGGCGTACCGCCGATAACAGGATAAATAAGCATACAAAAACATACATTTATATCAGCCATTATTGGCATGACATTCTACTACCTATAACAGATTTCGAATGCAAAGCAGAAGTACCGTAGTTTGATTCGTATTTAAAATAAGGTTTAAATTCAATTGAATTTCCTCCAAATACGATCCAAAAAACGACAGGCCTGCTTTCCCAACATTTTTTACGGATCTGTGACGTCATTTGGCTATCCTCAGAATTCAGTATGTTTTAAAGCTTGCAGAGTCATTTTTTAAATCCGGATAACAGAAATTTCTCATATTCTCGTTAATAAACTATTGAATAATTTTGATGAAACTAGAACGAAACTTTTTCGTTTGATTTAAAAAATAAAATTCTGCTGATTTCACACAGGTATAACTCTCGTAACACAGCCTCATTACCGGGTATCACTGCGAATCAAAGAGAGAGAGAGAGAGATGATTTCAAGATATGTCAGACATGAAATAAAAAATAGGCGGTTAACGTAATGGACCTTTCCCCGAGCATTGATTTCTTTGTTTACTTCGTGACATTGGCTAATCAGCAAGATGCAAAAAGTGACGTAACAATGCTCCCTTTTCGCATCCGCTCAGACACCTTTTTCACTCAGACAGATTTTCAAGCGTGGTCGTGAACATTACCTCGTTTTCGCATTTTTAAACTCTTTTCGTGAGTTTTCAGTTGTGTTTTAAAAACAGAAATATAAATCAGATAATTCAATGATCACTCTGTCTTCATAGGAATTTTAATTTAATTGCAGTAATAAAAAATAAGTGTAGAAATAGCTGTGATAGACTAGGCTAAAACTCTTTATCGGAACTTTAAAAAACATATTAATGTATTCGATGAATCATAAGGATGGTTTGAAACACATACCCCATTTTACAGGCGCCAACTCGTAAAAACACTCTTGAAATAGCCCCGAAAATTTTGCAATGGTAAAGTATAGGAAGAATTTTTCGGGGGTCAAACGTCTTGGGAAGGTCAACAGCTAATCGGTTCCCTCTTCTTTCAAAATCGAGTATGGATATGGAACAAATAACTGGCTACTTAATACCATACTATTACTCGACATGAACTGGTAGAACATGAACTGCCGTGGTAATTGCCTCCAGTCCGTTTTACTTTATTTCAATTGAAAGGTTGCCCGTCAATCTTCAACAAGTTTTGGAAGACTATTTGTCGAAGCAATTTTTTTTTTTTAATTTTTTTAGCATATGAATTGGCTAATGAAATATATAATTCATGTAAAATTTCTACGTTACATTCAGAAAAAAATTCAAAACTCAAAATCCAATTATTTTCATACACGGTAATATTCTCTTAAAAAATCGTGAAATATGGAAAATCACCGCAGTGACGTCTGTTGGTGTAAAGCAGCAATTAAAAGTGAGTCAAAATCAATTTTTTCAAAGGAAATTTGAATTATAAGTAATAAATCATTTTTATATATATATATTAGCGAAGTTTTTGTATTGCTTCAAGTTTTTTTGAATTTTGCATTATTATGCAAATTTTGCATTTTCCCAATATATTGCATGATATGAGGATGTCAGAATTGGATATATATAAATCCCATTATCTAAGGGCTTGGTACATGCAGTTCTTCAGACAATAATAAATTCAAACAAATGGATTAGGAGGTGGAAGGTTTAGTAGATGAAATAGAATATAAAATGCGAAACTAAGACTGATGGTGTCCGTGGACGTTTCCACGACCCTTGACACCAAAAAATAAATTCCTATATTTGCTACTTGCTTTGAAGATGTTTTGGAGAGTTTGGAGAGTGTACAAACTGATTTGCAAGTTCAAAACCATCATTCTAAAATAAAATATTTACCCATGTGCCGTTTACAGGTACTGATAGCTAATTTTAGCCAAGGCTCTTATAGCCTTTTTCGGGACTAATTTTAGATTATTGTAACTAAACTAAAAACATATGAATGCTTTGAATCAGAATGATGGTTTGCAACAAATACCCCCTTTACAGGCGCCAACCCGCGAAACCACTTTTAAAATAAACAACGAAAATTTTGCAATGGTGGAGTATAGAATGGATTTTACGGGGGTCAAAGGTCGGGGAAAGGTCATTTGCCAACCAGATTATTGGATTACCAACTAATGCTTGGAAACACAACTCAAAACTGACAAATAACACGTGAAATCGCATAAATGAGTCAATGTTTGGATAGGATAGGATTTACATTTTTATCCCGGGGGAGAGGAAAGCCGATAAGACGGCTTATCCATATGGCGAACCACGGCCTCTCATCCGGTTACCATTCCATGTCGGGTATGGGATTAGTTAGTTACTTGTTTTTCGGAAGCATGAACTTGACGGTGGAGGAAGCCGTAATCGACCAGCGGTTACGTGAACCACCCTACGGCGGCGAGGAGTCCAGCAATCCTCTCGCACATAACCATCCCGCATGGGATTCGAACCTGCGAACCCACGCAGAGTAATTAGAGGTGCGGTGGCGAGCGTATTCCTAACGCTTATCACGATGAGCCACACCGTCGCGCCAATGTTTACAACCATGCTTGAATATCTGTCTGAGCGACGGCACATATTGGTATTCTTGCGTCATCGTTGACATATTACTATTTAGCAATTGTTACGGAAATAAACAGAGAAATCTATACTCCGAAAAACACCCACCAGACATAATACCAACAAAAACACACCTAAATAATAATACTGAAAAGAAGTAGGTATATAAATATAATTCTTGCCAATGATATAATGGACCTTTCCCCGACCTTTAACCCCCGGAAAATTCTCCCTATACTTTACCATTGCAAAATTTTCGAGGCTATTTTAGGAGTGTATTTGCGAGTTGGCGCTTGTAAAATGGAGTATGTGTTTCAAACCATCATTATGATTCATCGCATACAACGATTTGTTTTTTAAAAGTACCGGTAAAGAATTTCAGGCTAGTCTATCACAGCTATTTCTAAACTAATTTTTATTACTGCAATTTAATTAAAACTCCTAGGAAGACAGAGTGATCATTGAATTATCTGATTTATATTTAAGTCTCCGAAACACAACTGAAAACTAACGAATAGAGTCCGAAAACGCGAAAACGAGGTAATGTTTACAACCACGCTTGAAAATTTGTCTGAGTGAGAAAAGTGTCTGAGCGAATGCGAAAAGGGGGCATTGTTACGTCACTTTTTGCATCTTGCTGATTGGCCAATGTCACAAAGTAAACAAGGAAGTCGATGCACGGGGAAAGGTCCATATATCTTTTAAACGTATACACTTTGTTTTGATCAAGTTCTATTTTAAATATTTTTTTCAATTGTTTACCTTTCCAGAGCGCTGACTTAGCTCGTGGATAAACTTTACCCGGTGGCCTTAACAAAACCAATGACCCGTATGCGGAACCGTTATTCTCACAGTGACGTCACAGGGAATTTACCATTACTCATCAGTGTGAAATACGTCACGAACAAAGAGCGTGATACCCTTCGCTTTTTTCTTTAGGGAGATAGCTTCGGGCTGTAATTCTTAGGGAACAGTCGCGTAGGTTCGATTACAGGATTATAGTCAGATAGTCCAGCACAGCTGTATGTTTTGTTACATAATTCCAGCAGAATTTTTTGATAGCTACCGTAACTTACCACTGGAATATAGAACATCAACCTGTCTGCAGCTTCGCCAGGGCTGGCATCTGCGACTCTCTGACTCTGCATCTCTAATAACAGAATAAAGTAATACTGTAATAACTGAATAACAAAATAATGTAATGCGATACCGCTAATATTGTGATATTTTGATAAATATACCAGCATATAGGCTAGGCAAGTGTGTACTCGGGTAGCAGTACCAGCTCACAGCAACAAGTACCGGTACAGAAGTACATTAAACGTGATCAGACGCCTGGCAGCCTGGTACCGTATTATTCTTTCTTTATATTGGTATTTCTGTATTTAGTCTCTGAGTTTGGTATACTACAACACTTTAAACCTTCTTTTATATCAGTATTTATTGATGACCTCTCCGTTTTTTGATTTATGTTGCTGTGCCCTGTGTTAACTATTGAATTATACTTACTCACTTATATTTAATGTTACAACAATCAGACAATTGAATATGGCGCTGGTGTAAAATTTATTTTTATTATTTATTCAGAGACTAAGGGATGTGCCTACAGCGTACGTTAAATCTGATAGTACAAAGTACAAAAGTATGGTCCCAAAATTGAAAAAGATGACCATTGACAATATTTTTACATCAAATAAATTTATAAAACTTTGTTTGTTCGAGTGATAGTAGAATAACTTAATGTTTTTTCAATTTAGTTAAAACATGAAATAATAAATGGTTTTCGTGTAAAGGTGTGAAACTAACTATTTCAGTATTTACAGTTTCAATATAATGCAGTCCTTTTAGATGTACTGAGGAATTTGAATGATTCATTTTTTCATAGCTCCACTAATGAAGTAAACATTCTTTCAGTAAAAGAGATTGATATGCAGCATGAGTGGATTGGAAAATCCTATCACATACACTTCAGCGCTGGTATTATAGTATATATATTAAGATACAAAAAAATATCGAGTCAAGTACATTTTAATACAATTTAACATCATCCTAATCCGTGGATAATGATAGGGTAAATCAATCAATCGTTTATATTAAATTTGTCTGATAGATAAGATTTCATCAACCTCTGCAGGTAGAGAGGTCTGAGAAGTAACAAAGTAGATAATCCGGGTATTTGTGACAATGAATCACACACACTTATGAGGTATAATACGTGAATAGCAGGCGTGGCCAACAAACACGTCCGTGGGGTCCGTGAAGCACTTTTGGAGGGTCCACGGAACAAATCTGCAATATGGCTAATAGCTTGATAATCCAAAAATTAAGCGCCTAAATTTGCAAGTAAACATTGCTTTGTCGCCTTTTGCTGCTTCGCAATCATCGCTGGAGACACTGATTCTTCATTTTCTGTTTCAATCACGCTGCCCCATTGTGATGTCACAGAGCTGCCTGTGGGCCTGTGATATCACAGAGAGTTTACTAACTGCAGAGCCGACGCTGCCCTTTTGCACATTTACTAAGTATCGAAACAGACTGGATGTCACACATGTCATTAGAGTTGCGATTTATATTCTTTTGTTCATTCCACTATACGGCGCATTGATTTTTTGTTGTGATCTTTTAATGTCTTGTTTTAGTGCACAAGGCCGGGAATCAATAAAAAAATTGCATGGGGTCCGTCATGGAATTTTTTTTAAAACTTTGGGAACCACTGTTCTAATCAATCTCAGACCAACCCTGGTATACAGAATTGAAGTGAATTATGTTACCGAAGTGGATTTTAATAATGTACTTAATTTCAAAGTTGTGTGTTAAAAAAGAGCAGGACCAAATTCAAAAGATATGCCAAGATCATATGGTGGAATTGAATGGCAAAAATAGGATTTCAACAAGTGTATTTGTATTATGTTCTTTATAGTTGCATACCAGCATGTTTATTACAGCTATTTCGACTTCTGATAAGGACTAGCAGTCTTCCATTCAAATATACGATACTATTTAGAAAAATAATTTCATTCCTAATTTTTGTCCTTTGTTCTCTATTTCCAAATCTGGTTTGTGAATATGATCGAAGTAACACAGTGGAGATATCATTATAACATTATTTTACGTTTTTAATTCGGTATTGAAACAGGATCAAATTTTGCAATGATAAACTCATAATGGCATGTATAAAAGTGTGAACCTAACCTAAAATTGTGAATGATTGGAGATCATCAATACAACATTCTGGATTTATAATTTGCTTATAAAAATGATTGATTCCGATGTGTAGTCAATATGAAAAATTACTGATTAAGCCTAGTTGTGTCGTATTGAATTCAGTCAGTTCGATAAACTTTTTTGATTGAATAAAGTCGAGTGAAATTGTTGTACAATATACTTAATCTGATTTAAAAAAACATTTGAAGACATTTGATGTATCATGTTATTTAGATATATTTATATATAGTGCCAAAAATGTTTTTGGTGGATTTTTTTCGAGGATGGCTCCAATACCTTGGGTTGATGAATAAATCCGGAAAGCTGATGTTTTTGGGCCTGGATAATGCTGGTAAAACTACATTACTTCATATGTTAAAAGACAATAAAATGGGAGTCCATGAACCTACGCTACATCCAAGTGAGTTCAACTTTCAATATGAGACTTACGGTAGTTTTTATTTTTTGCAGTTAGTGCTTTGTTTTATCTGCTATTTTTCATGTTTCAAATTCGTAATTTCAAACATTTTTCACAACAATGAAAATCTTTGTTAAATGGTATACTTCTTATCTTTGTTTCCTTATACCTCAAAAGTTCTCTATATAGTACCGGTACATATCTTTTATCTTTATGCTCTGTATTTAATGGTCTCTCAAATGCATTTGTTTCATCTTTACTTGTTCATTATTAATTCATCCCAACAGATAATGAGCTGTTTTAGCAATATCAATATTAAAATACTTTTTATATTCAGCTTCTGAACATTTGACGATGGGGAATATTTCATTTACAACATATGATCTCGGTGGACATAGTCAAGGTATGATATATATTTTGAAATATCTGAAATAAAGTTACTGATATTGAAGACCCGCTAAAATTGTAATCTATAGATAACTATATTATAAAGAATACGAAGGGTGTACAGAAACCCCTGTTACAATAAAGATTTTGTTATGAACTCTGTTCTCAATATATCTTAAACCATGTTTGATTTCATTTCAATCAGTGTTTATTCATTTTTTACTCCATAATTACAACAGTATATTCCCAGTTTCCCACCATCAGTTGCACGAAGCACATTCTGTTACCTGATAACTGATTCAATGCTGGGCTTTATGAACATTTTGTACATGTATATATTTAAAATCTGCAACTCGCAGTAGGCCTATGTTAGAATTATTTTTCCTATTCAATGTATGTAAAAATAGGTAATAACATGGTTTTATTGTAAATAGGTTGTGATTCAGCTTTAATTATAATCCCAGTTGGGATGTAGTTTGCTTTTTGAATTATCAGTTTACTGTGAAAATGTATATCACTTTGTTATAACAGCAGAAATTTAGTCCACTTCTGTTTATTGTTGTTCACAACCTTCTAAAATCGTCACTTTTATGCTTTACTTATTTGGAACAGATTTATTGTTTGTACTTTCGTATTACCCAGTACAGATGACTCATGGTTCACGTAGGCCTTCCTGTTTTCATCATTTATTTTGGTGTAGTTCTCATTTCATATGGATGAATGACTCCTACAGGTTATTAAGTTATTTGTCACATACGTTACGGTCCATTCTCTTTTATTATTTATTATATCCTGGTTAGAGTATTTTTTTGGCTCCGGGAGATATATTTTAAAATTTTATACTGGTTGAAAGACCTGATCAAGTATGTTATAGCATTGGTTTTTGAAATAAGAAACACAATATTTTAAAATTATGTCGAAAACTCAAAACCTTACCAAAATTCATTTCTGCTATGCTTCAATCTAGTTTTTTTCCCTATTTTTTGTAATTTAGCAGGACTAGAATCAAAACTATTTGGGGATTTACAAATTCTGACATACCGGTACTCAATCTACCGGTAGTTAATAAAAACAATTGTAATTAGTTACAAAAACTTCATTCAGTATGTCATACCTGGATTGGAAAACAACTATTTATTATTTTATTGTCCTTTCTAATTCCCACATATCAATTATTTTCATATTATAAATATTGTAGTAAAATCTTGAATATCAAATTTTGCCCTCAAAGGGCTGCATTTTTCCCTTTTCTAAAATTTATTTTGAAAACAAAGAAACAGAAACTAGACTGAACTATTTTAGTCTATTTGCCCTTTTGTTTTGGGAAGCTCGAACTGTTTTTTTTTTCTCTGGAATCTGCTAATTTAGATTTCTTTAATATAAAAATTGATTGTAATGTAGAAATCGCTTTTTTTCTAACTATGTCATTGCATTTTATAATTTATACAATCATTTTTCTTTCAGCTCGCAAAGTTTGGAAAGATTACTTCCCTGCAGTGGATGGAATTGTTTTTCTTGTTGATGCAGCTGATTCAGAAAGGTTAAACGAAGCTAAAAACGAACTAGATGTAAGTTTAATTATTGTTATTTGATCAAATTCATATTTTAGTTAAAATATAATCGGTCATGTCCAAAATTAATTGGATATTTGAATATACATGAAATTGCGTTTATCCAATATATGAAATTGTTTATTGATGTGTGCAAATTCTTAATTGAGCAATGGGTATTTAGTTCAATGTCCAAAACGAATCAAATATTTAAATACATTTGGCATGAGTTTTATTTGACATATTTAATTCTTGATGGTATGAAGTATTTTGAACGTTAACTTCTAAAAAATTCAATATTTCAAGCATTTAACATATGATAGTTAAGCAAAAATAAACTCAATATTTATCTAACTATTCTGCATCACCTAATTCAATTTTTAAAAATCTGCAATTATCATTATTGAGCATATGAAATTTTACAATATAAGGTTATTGATATTCTACGAGCAAAAATATTTATCAGAATGTATTAAAAATAGTAAATTCATTCTATTTTGACCATCCCTGCATGTAAACCTCTCGCTCTGTTTTATAAATTCAAGATTTATGTCATTTGTAATCTTAACAGAGTCTATTACTGGATGAACAAGTTGCAAACGCTCCTGTATTGGTCCTCGGAAACAAGATTGATTCTCCCAATGCAGTAAGCGAACATGCACTTCGGGATTTCTTTCAGATTCGAACAACTGGCAGGGTATGTGCAAAGGCATTTCATTGATAAAATTCAATGCAGCCAACTCAATTAAAAAGTGTAGTATATCCTAGTTTGCCGGTAGTGATATTAATTATGGATGTTTATATGTAAATTATTTTGCTTTGTATTTAGGGGTGATAAATTTAATCTTAATTATATTCTACTAATGATATTACCCTAATTCCAAATTTGATTCAAAATTCTGTGGTCATCTCTTTTAGGGTTTGTTAACTTAACACAGATTGGCGTTTGTAAACAAGTCTGGCATGCAGGTTTGTGTGTCTGGGCATGACATTGCATGCTATCGAGATTCTGAACCTCAAATGTCTTATTTATACTTTACTTAGATGGCTTGAATACAGACAAATATCTTCTTTGTTTCTTGCTATCCAGCTCAAAACCTATTTATAAAATCAAGTTTTCATAATTAAAGCTAAGTTGAAACAAAGAATGAACAAATACCTGTCTGAGAAGGTTGCCTTAATAAAAATTAGTTGAGTTCAACCCTGCTCAAACTAATTCATTGACATGTCTTGTCAGCAACTAGCTGTGTACTTTGAACTTTGCCCCTTGATTTTTTTATATAATATTTGCATAGCAACCTACAATCCGCATTCATTAGTTGAAATTTTTATGAATAGTAAAATGTTTAATGTGAATCTGGTAGATATCGTTATACATACATACTGTCATCATTAACAAATATTGAGACCCCATAAATTGGAAGTATGTGTCAAATGTTAGAGCCAGAGCTGGGGCCTAGCCCCAAGGTAAATAATGAGCACTGGAGCTTTGGCCATTGTGCTTTCGAACAAGTTCTCCAAGCCCTCTTCGTAACTCCTCTTTTATTGAATAAGTGATTTTGATCTGGCCATTAGTGTACAAAAGAAATGAGTGTGTGTGCCACTGTTAGACTTTACTACTCTATACTGTAGTTTTATTTGAAGAAAATCTTGTTTTTAATATAATTTTCATTCGTTTAGGGTCAAGTTCCACTGGCAAACTTAGGAGGAGCAAGACCAATCGAACTTTTTATGTGCTCAGTTCTCAAAAAACAAGGATATGGTGAAGGATTTCGTTGGCTCAGTCAATACATCAATTGAAAGCTCCGACAAGATCACCTATAATAAGCACCGTCTTCGAATCCAACGCAGAAGTCTATTAAAAATATTTCTATATCATGCAGATACGTCTTTCAGTTGACACCGGTTTTAGCATTTCATCTCCTTTACTAAATATTTATTATTATCAATGAAGGTCGCTTGAAACGACCAGAGACTTATGCGGCAGCTGTCCGAAGTGTACAAACCCCCTAGTAGAATCTATTCTAACTGTTTTAGTTTTTTTTCGTCACTTTGTGTTTTGGTTTAGCATGGGTTTATTGGTGAGTCATTTCATAATGGTGGGACTTGACAATCGCTCATGCTGGGATCTAGCATTGTGGCATATGTTGTTAGGCACAGGTAATGCAACTATTGCAACGTTACTACAAAAATATTTAGATTGCCCTTCCCTACTTTTTGTTCTGGGTGTTTCCTGGACGTTTTGCCTCCATATTTTTGACCTATGTTTTGGACTCTGTGAGAAAAGAATAATCTTTACTTCTTACAATTTAATTATGCGTTAATACAGTTATATGCTACTATTACATAGCGTTTGAAAAATAAAATTGACTATTTTCGATCCATCTACAGTTGTTTGGATTTCATGTTCTGAGAAACTTGATCAGGTCAAGATTCCAATCTGGTCGGGCTAGAGTTCCAGTGATGACTAATTCAGTTTAGGGTGTTTTGGTAAGGAAGGATATGTTTAGTAAACCCATAGCATAGAAAGTAGTTTGTAGGCTAGGCCTGTGGCGCATGACTTGAGTGAAACTGAGCCAAGTAGAATTTAAATATTTGACAGAACTATGCCTTTGATTAAAAGCAGCTTGACTTCCAAAACTAGATTCTGATATCTGGGTTTTGATCAGCAGCAATAGGATTATTTCGAGTCGCCAGTTTAAAATATGGAAACTCTTCAAATATTGAGGAATATAAAGCAAGATCGCTGACGTTTCGAATTTCTATACAGAAAAAGACTTTCGCACTAGGGTTAGATTATCCGGTAAACCGAGAGTTATTTTACTATCTGATATCCTAATATTATTGTGATGGATAATGGAGCAGTATAGCGGCATTAGTAATTTTTTTATTTTTTGTTTGAGTGGCGACTAGGGTTGCCAACCGTCCTTTATTTCAAAGGACAATCCTTTATTTGAGGTTTTTGTCCTTGTCCTTTTTAAGATGATAATTGTCCTTTATTTTTCCAACGTCGTTTTGCCCGATAGTTATTGTCAGTATAGTACTGTGTTTGACATTGTTCCGTTCTTACATCGCCTCTGATTATGTATTTGAAGCTTTTAATTATTCCTTTTAATTTCGCTTTGGTCCGGGTCAAATAGCCAAAGAAATACCAATTTTATTTACATTTCAAATATTTTACATTAATTTTCCGAAGATGGACAGCGGCAACACTCCAAGATTTGAGTAAATTCTAGTTCAATAACTGAAAATTCAACGTATAACTGGTCTCTATGACGCCCACAATCCAATAATGCTTGTGTAATCATAGTATGTTATCGAATTATCTAGAACTAAAGCCGACGAGATATAAATACGCTCGCTCGCAAGGAAGCTGATATTTTTTAGGTCTAAGTTATTTAACGCATTGTTGCTCGAGCTAGTCCTTCTATCTGTGGCCCCTTAACAGTTTAGGGCATTTTTCATCAATAAAGTTTGATTGGAGGTCTAAGCTGTGTGGTGCTAGGCTAGGATTAATATTGATCGACAGCTGTCTATAGTATATTGTTCTTTCCTGCAAGTTACAAAATAAATGATGACGGTAATACATGTCCTTTATTGAGACTTTTCATAGTTGGCAACCCTAGTGGCGACTGACACCTATCTCATAGAGCAGGGGTTCTCAAACTTTTGGTGTTGCGGAGCCCTTGAAAGGTTGAATATTATTCGCGGAGCCCCAAAATAAATTTTAAAATTGTTACTTTCAGATTATTATTCCCGAGCAAGTTAAAAGTACTTTATTTATTCTAAATGCTGAACTTTTTTTAATAGGGTTAACATAAGTCATAAATAAATCTAAATTTTATACTAAAGCTGTAAATTTGACACTTGACAAACATATTAATAAATTAGGGATCGAATCTTTTTCTTTTTTGACATTTTTGACCTAATTAAGACCTAATTAAAAGGCCGTTAGTAACGTGCGCTATTTCATTTTGTTACAATCGCCGATTTTTTCCGTCAGCATGGCGTGTTTTAAACATCTTTACGCCGCTGTTTATTCTCCCTAAATCAAAAATTTCCTTCGGCATATACATGTATTGTTACACAATGACGACGTTAATTGCTTTTTTGTTCTCGTGGGGAATTATGAGTTCAATGTGAAAAACATGTTACCATATTATAGTCATCGGCGACGAAATGCTAAAAATAATAATCAATAAAAAGGTAAATCCACAACTCAAATTTCTTGATTGAAAAGCGGCATTCTAAAATATTTAAACTGAAACTTAAAATGGAAGATCACACTTTGGTTTCAGCAGACTCATCTCAGATTGAAAACGCTTCTATAGACATTGTAAATCACAAAATTTGGTGTTATGTTAGGTTTTTATCGTAGTAGCTGCGAAATCGAAACACAGTCAATTGTGCGCGCGATTTACCTTTTTTTTCATTCTGAAACTACCGACGCAGCCGCACGCAATCAATGGTGCGCGCGATCCGCGATGTACCTTTATTCATTCTGAAACTACCGACGGAGCTGAATGCAATAAAATAATTTTCAATTGTTCGTATTTTCCCCAGACATTGTGATTTTTTAAACAGCGATATCTTGCTTAAAAATAATCTCAAGTGCGAAAGAACAAATCAAGTTTGACAAATCCCAAGATCGCAAAAATACGACACCAATTTATTTATAGTTGGCAGTTTATCACATATTTCATGTTATTTTAGAATAGTATTCTTTCATTTTAGTAATCCTAATAGTAATCTCGAATCAAACGTGAGTAACGATGAGCACAACTACATTATACCGACGAGACACGTCAAATGCTCCATCGGTCTTGGATTGAATATTTTACGCAACAGAAATCTCGTTATCCGTTTTTTTAATCGCGAAAAATGTTGCGCGGAAATTTCCGATTCCAATTTTGAACCACCTTCCTTTTAAGAATCCTGGCTGCGCTACTGCTCATAAATAATGTCATTTTTTAATTCCGATCCTTTACCATATTTCGAGGCTATATTGTTGTCAGATGTTATCAAAGCTGTTATTGCTTCTTTGAACAGTTACAAAATTTTGAGTCAGTATTTTGAAGAGTAATCGAATAGCTCGCGGAGCCCCTGGGTTTCTCTCGCGGAGCCCTGGGGCTCCGTACGGAGCACTTTGAGAACCTATGTCCTAGAGCATATAACAACGCCCTTTCTTCAGACAACTCTGCCCATATTTTAGCCATTCGTGAAATGCTGGAGTGAACCCTCAATATTACATCACAAAACATGCATAACAAATGTGATTATTGCGTGTTTGCGTTATAGAAGAGCTCATTCGCTTTATAAAGTTAGATTGGATGTATTGTACAGACTAACTTAGCAAGACTAACTTAAACAAATTTAGCGCGTATTGAAGGAACGCATTTCAGGATGAAATAAACCAGTTTGAATTTCGAGGACTTGTTTCACAATACTTCGGATTACGTGTAATCTGTGTAGCATTTCAAAATTTTCGGTACACGAATGCAAGTAATGTGCATGTTTTCAACTTTCAACAAATTTTTCTATTGCGCAAAATATTCAATTTGTGGCCGATTCGAGCATTTTAAAATGTCTTTCCATAATAACTGTGTTCAACTATTGCGTCGACACACGGTACGTTAAAATAAAAGCACTTCTACTCTAAAATGCCACCGCATTCCACATATATGAAAATACGTGGTAAGCTGCACGAATAAATCCAGTTTTAATTCGTGTTTTTGCGATCTTGCGAATTTGAGATATTCACAATAGAACTGTGTGGTGGTGCTTCACAGCAAAAATCTTGTGAAATCGGATCTCTAAAATTTGCAGTGACTATCCGATTGACCGGATAGTTCAAATACGAATACCCGGATATATCCGTTATCCGGATAGTAAAAATTATAGGTATCCGAACTAACCCTATTTCGCACCCCAAATAGTGCTTACTGAAGCATGGTTGCAAATTGAGTGTTAAAGATGGAAGGCTGATAAATGGGGCTGGGAATTGATTTGATTAGAAAACTCAGCGGTTTGGCTACTACCGTGTTTCCCCGAAAATAAGACCTAGCCTGAATTTTTAAATCGTTTTAAAATAACCCCTCCCCTTACAAAACGACCTAGTTGATAGCGCAAATTTTTTTTTGACCTAGTCGATAGCAAAAAGCAGTGGCGGCGCGTCAATAGGGCCAACCGGGGCAATGCCCCGGTTGTTTTTTTGGTATAATAAAAAATATTCGAAAAATACCTCAATATCGGTTGCACAGACTGACTACATTAGCCATATTCTCCCGACATGGTTCATTTTTCGCTCGCAAAGCCTTCGCCGAACGTCGACGGGGCGACGCCGATTTTGCCCCGGTTGCTCATTGTATATCGTATTCTCTCTTTTATCTTCCACTCGCCGCGTTTGTCTCGTTTGTTTTCTGTTTCTTTTACTAAATCATCGGGGCCGATCGGGGCTAGCCCCGAAATTATGACGACACAATGCCGACGTTTCTTACCACAACGTGTTGACATATTCACGCATTCCTTCTCGTTCGTTGGTTGCTTGAAGAGTTGATAGTTTCCTCGCCTTCGTTTTTGTCGCTTGTTTCGCTATTTGAATCAGTTAGAGACCTTTAGTCCATTTGCTTTCGATTTTCCACATTCCTTTTGAGCTCCTCACTTCTTTCCGGCTTCGCATTTCTTAGCCTTAGACCTCATAATGAAAATTTCCCATCAATTTGTTGGCTACTCTTTCCAAATTTTACCCCATGATAAACGTGGGTAAATTGGAAAATGAATTGCGATGTATATACACCAATCAAACTTTTTTGAACATCACATCAACTAGCGCGCTCTATGGGTTCCTCATAGATAACACTCTAGTAACTACCTTTGCGGCGTCTGCAAAATTTCTGAACATCATTTTGACGACGCCTATTTCTTCCGCCGACGCAGAGCGAACATTCAGCACGCTGAAGCGTATTAAAACGTATCTCAGAAACACAATGAAGCAAGATAGATTAAATTCCTTGGCTGTTTTATCCATTCACAGAGACGTTATTTCTGGGATGCATGACTTTAATCAGCGCGTTATTGAGCATTTTGCTTCCAAGAAACCGCGGCGTGTTGCATATATGTTCAAGCAGTAGAAGTCTAGCAGCATATATATCTATGAGTGAGCGACGCATGTCCTTATCTTTGCATTAACTTTCCTTTCTTCATAGTAACGTTTTAAACCTTATTTTAGGTTTTGTCTGCTTTCCCGAAGTTTCTGTTAATATGTCATTGTATTTATCTGGGTAAATATTGCCTTTCCTTTTGAAAGAGGTTTCAAAATAAACTATGTCTATATTTATTAATCCCTTGACTTGGACCGGTTTTAAAGACACTTTCTTATCGTTAAAAAT